TGTAAATAAAAAAGCATACAAGTAATCCAGTGTGATTTCTCTTTTGTTCTACATCCTCTTTAGATGTTTTTCTATTCTCTCTTTAGATAATTCCACTGATGGTAGCTGTTTTTTTTTTAACACAGTGGTAATCATTTTTCTTACTAAAGAGATATCCTTCTTCTTTTAACTTTGTCCAGCAGGTCCTACCGAGGTCTACTCTCTGAAGTGCCCCAGGCCACCCCAGGTGGGTGAGTCTCCTCAACTCTGAGGAGGGGCATCATGTCTTCCTTTAACCTTTTCTGGTCTGGGCTAATAGGTCCAGTTCTTTGATTTCTTTCAGTGGTAGCATTTTCAAACCTCTCTACATCCTGAATGCTATTCTCCAAAGTACTCTACTCTATCAGTGATACTTTTATAATTCTTCAAAATTGAATGGAGTATTCCACACGTCAAGGAAACAATGAGTGGGGGCTTTTAGTGATGCTAGTACTTCTTAAGTTCTCTAGATAAGCAAAGATTGACAGGCTTCCTTTGTGAGTTTAGTCAGTTTCTAATTTTTCAGTCAGATCAGCTTTATTTCTTTTGTGAAAAACACACTGGGGGAGGGGTGACAAAGAGAAAATGATGATCACCACACAGATTGTTGTTCAGTTGCTGGTACTACCAGCTAAGTCCAAAAAGGCAACAATATCATTATGTAGCTTAGCTCTGTTACAATGAGCTCTTTGTGGACTATACATCCGTTGTAGAGGGGGGTGGAGTGGGATCTTCTTAAAACAGAGATTCCAAATATTCTAATTGTGGAAATTTCAGAAACTTAAATCTTTAACATTAAAGGAAGTGATGATATTGGATATAATGTTTGATTTTGGTAGTTGACAGCAGGAATTGATTTATAGCTTGCCGTTCTGCTGGCATCACCCTGTGTTTTACAAATACACGATACTTCATGGTTTATATTTGGACTCAATATCAGTTATTTTTATAATTGTCAGGAGTATTAATAAAAATTAACAAAAATCACTAACATATAAAATCATCACCACATTTCTTCACATGGTGGCATTCTAAATGTTAGGAATAATTTTCTGGTGTAATTTATTGTTTAAATGAGAAATGAGCAGAAGACAGGTCAATGAAAAGAAGGAAGTGAGTAGCTTATTCATAGATAATAGTTCTGTCCAAAATATGGAACCAAATCATTTGCTGTTTCCCAAGCTGACCTCTTACTAAAAAGCATGTCCATCTCTTCCATCCATGTCTGTCCACCTGGGCTGTTGACATACATCTTCAGTAACTAGACAGTCACCATTTGGGAGACAGCAGTACTTCCAGGCAAGATTCATCATCAGTGGATGCTAAAATTTGTGGGCTAAAGTATGATGAGAAATTGTGTTTATGTAGTTTCAAAGTCTCCCCCACAAAGAATGTACAAAGGGAAAGCTAATAATGTTACAGTAGAGAACCTAGTAGATAACAACCATAACCAGGTGATCAGACTGACCGTCATCAGTAGGGAGACATGGTCCTTATCATGTGCCTTCCGCTGCGATGCACTGAGCAGGGCACAGCAGTACCTCTTGTTTTGCTTGCTGAAGTGCATAACCTGAATTTAGTCATGAGGAAGCATTAGACAGAGCCAGATGAAGGAACATGCCACAAAATAACTTGCCAGTACTCCTCAAGTATCAGGTTCGTGAGAGTCAGACTGTCCCAGATGGAAGGAGGCCTGACAGTTGCATGCAGTGTGTGATACTGGACCAGAAAAAGGACATCAGTGGGGCAGTTGGCAAAAAAAGAAAAAGAAAAAATTTTATAAGGGTGGCTCTGTATCATTTAATAAATCTTGTGATGCTTAATTTCCTGGTTTTGATCATTATAACTGTGGCCATATGATATGTCAACATTTGGGGAAGCTGGATGAAGGGCACACCAGAATTCTTTGTACTATTTTTGGAATTTTTATAAATCTGGAAGTATTTTCTTTTAAATTCTTATCCAAGGACATGCTTATTCATTTTAGAGAGAGGGGAAGGGAGGTGGAGAGAGAGGGAGAAAAGCATCAGTGTGAGGGAGAAACATCAATTTATTGCCTTTCCTGTGCACCCCAATGGGGAACAGAACCCACAGCCTAGGCATGTGCCCCAACTGGGAATTGAACCTGTAACCCTTCAGTTTGTAGGCCCAACCAACTGAGCCACACCAGCAAGGGCTCTTTTTTTTGGAGGGGGGGGGAAGGTTGATTGATTTGAGAGAGAGAGGAAGGAAGAAAGAGGAAGAGAGAGAGATTTGTTGTTCCACTTATTCATGCATTCATTGGTTGATTCTTGGATGTCCTCTGACCAGGGATCAAACTCGCAACTTCAGTGTATTGAGCCAACACTCTAACCAACTGAACTTCCTGGCCAGAGCTGAAGTTCATTTCAAAATGAACTTAAGCCACAGCTACAATATAAAATAATTCAGCTTAGCTGAGATACTAAGACTTTCATGCTTTTACCTTGTGACGTCTCTTTTGATTGCTTAGGGGTAGTTTTTCTTTGCTTCCTAAATCTCCACTGTGATCTGGGTAGCTGAGGTTTCTTATTAAGGAATTTTGGGATAAGTGAGGCATCGCTGGATTGAGTGGCAGCTACATTTTGAAAGGTTTTGTTTAATTAATTAATTTACTTATTTATTTTTGTACAGAGCTGTAATTACATCTTTGGGTTTCCAATGACTCTGTAGGTTATTTGAGCTTTACTCTTGTAGCACCAGAATCCCTAGCTGGAAACTTAGCTCTGTAATTAATTTACTGGTTTGTTTCTGTTTTTGTTATTATGTTTGAATTTAGGTTAGTCCTATGAATTCTTCTGCTATGTGTCATGAATTATTGAATTTCTTGTTCGATGGTTGTTGCCTAGGAAGAGCTGACTTTTGTATAAAAATATTTTATTTAAAATTGAAATACCATAACAGATATCTTACTTTTCTCTCAGAAAAGACAGTTTGTAATTTTTGTTAATAATATGAATAAGCAAACTTATACTGGCATAAGCACCAAGTGCTAACATTAGAATTTATTAGATAATAATTAGAATGGAAGAAAGTAATACATGGAAGTGTTGCTGTTAGTAGGAGCAGTTGTTAAGATATGACTCACAGATTCTTAAGTCTAGAGGCTGTTGTGATCAGTGTGGAAGAGGAAAGGAACATGGACTTGGGAGTCAGGAGACCTAGTTTTGCATCGCAGATTCATCACTGCTTATTCTTGTATCTTGGACAGGTCATTTAGTGTTTCTGAGCCTTAAGTTTCTCATCTGTAAACTGGAATAATAAGAGCATTTTGTGCCTTGGCTGCTGTGGCTCAGGGGATTGAGTTCTGTACTGCAAACCAAATGGTCACCAGTTCAATACCCAGCCAGGGCACATGGCTGGTTTGTGGGCCAGGTCTCCAGCAGGGGTATGCAAGAGGCAACCACGCACTGATGATTCTCTCCCTCTCTTTCTCCCTCCCTTCTCCTCTCTAAAAAGAAATTTTAAAAAACACCATCTTGCAAAGTTATTGTGAGAATTAAGTAGCATGCAGTGTGCCTGGCCTAATACAGGCATTCCATGTATGCTGTCTCTGTTCTGGCCTCCAGCTAGGTTGTAACTACACTGTCTGCAGTTGATGAGAATCTGTTTTGCTTATAAAGACCCATAAAAAGAAGCTAGCTTGTGTCAGTAAACTCTACCAGTATTTCACAAGTCTTTTCCTAGGGGAGTTTTTCCTTATCTCTTATTCTAGAGAAATTATGTGTTCACCTCATTAGCTGTTACTCCAAAATCTGTTAGACAAGTGTCACTCGTTTGTGAGATGCTCCTTCAGGTTTTAGTGTTCTTACTTGAAGTCATTTGATAGAAATAACATTCAGTTTATTTTTGGAGAAAGTCTTCTATGAGGCAAAGGGAGAAGAAAATGTACAGGCAGTTGCAAGGACGCATTTCCACATACAGTTTTCTTTCAAGTTTTAGGTTTGAGTTGGCCCTCTGATCCTCTGAGAGACCAACTCTTCCTAAAACTTCAGTCATTGTTTCTGTTTCATTCTGTTTTCAAAAGTGCTTTCATTTATTTTTAAATGTTCTGATTTTAATGTACTGTTGTTTCGTGAGTGAATATCATTCTTTTCAGGAATTACGACACTGAAGTGTTTAGAGCTGAAGGGGCATGTCTGCAGCTTACTCTCAGATGGTTAAGGAAAAGCGCATTGTGTGTGTGTCTGTGTGTGTGAGTGTGTAGTTGCTGTCTACATGTAGAGGAGGGGAGGCGGAGGGAGGGGAGAACGTTGTGGTAGCTCTGGCAGTGTTAGCAGTTGGTGGATTTGGGTGAAGGGAGTTCTGTGCTTTCCATACAACTTTCCTCTAATTCTGAAACTATCTCAAAATTATATTGGATTGAGATATATTCCTGTACCCTGAGGCGATGTGAGGGGCAGTTTCGGAGGGAGGGAGGTTAGAAGCACCTGGGGAAGCATAGACAATAAGGCATAAGTGAGTAATTCAGTAAATTCACTGGCAAAAAATTAAAATCAGTTGTTCCTTTAATGAACCTTTTTTTCTTAGCCAGAACAGAATTCATTTTGTGTAGAAGGCTCTGTATAGATACAGAGTAAGCTTTTTCTGTATTAAAACAGAGAAAACTAATTGGAAGTGAAATCAGATGATAAAGAGTAAAGAATTTTTAAATATACGAGGGTAAAAAGAATATATAAGGCAGAAATACTAGTACTTTAAAAATTATCCAGTGCTTGGGTAATCTTTTTTATACCAGAGAGATACAAGTTAACATTCTACCCTACCAGTTAATAGATAAATGTTAATTGATCCTTTATTTTAAATTTCTATTTGGTTTCAAAATTAATATTTTGTACTCTTAAATTCACATGATGTTTATTATCATTTTTGTCCTTCAAAAAGAGTCTTCTAAACTAAAAAAATGTTTTTGAACCTTCTCCCTTTCTTTCATGTCAACGATGCCATCTCTCTGGGGAACTCAGAAGCCAGCCAAAGGTAAGCGATTTGGGGTATTATGGGATGCTTGTAACCATCTTAGGTGCATATTTTTGATGTATTGGTAATTTTCTTCTCAGAAGTATTTTTCTTCTGAGAAGAAAATTACTTTTGTAAAAGTAACGCAAGCTCTCAGCCTGTTCATGAATTGGAAGCCATTTATTGGCTTCCCATAGAAGGGACTGGAGGTTTATGGAAAAACTGTATTTGTACTTTGACCAATTATGGCCGGTCTCCTGGCGACTACAACACAGATTCCTTTTGTGCTTTGCTGTTCACTATGGATTGGCTCAAAACTGGTCGTTCCAAACTGTGGTCAGACTGGGCCAGGCAGATTCCTCCTCCCAAGACAGCTGGGGACACATCCTCAAGCCAACAGAAACCCGCCCTGGCCCGCAGCTTTCTCACGGGGACATGCTTTCATCTTAGATTTGAGCCCAGATTCCAGAGAAACTCCAGTGGGCTGTGCCAGCCCTGGGCTCAGGGAACTGAGAGGTGTGCCAGAGTGGCACTAGGGCCATGTTTTCCAATTGACCATTCTCTGAAGTTACTCGGAACTTTCCAGGAAACTCAGATTTTTATCTGCATTCTTGGAGTTTTGTTTTTGTTTTAGAGTGTATGGTTGAATTGTAATTCCATTCTCTGTTATTGTTGTTCAAGTATGTATAGACAGGGCTGTTTGGGACTGTGAGTAATTTAAAAAATAGTACAATTTGGCACTCATTTCTTTATATATGTAAAACTAACACTATTAGTTTTACCTCATCTTTTTTATGTTAAGGTACTGGATTATTTTTCTTTTCTTATTTTTTGATGTGGAATCAGGGCTGGTGATTACAGTAAAGATGTGAAGAAACATTATATGACTATTTTAAAACTATTCATGTTTTATTTAATGCAACTGTACATTCATGTTTAGAGAAAGTGTGTTGACATAAAAACTGTGGAAGGACCAACAGCACATTGTTGAGTGTTCACCTGTAGGGAGTGGTATGCTTGGTGAATGGAAAGCCTTTATTTTTTACTTTATGGTTCTGTGTTATTTGACTTTGTTATATGAATTTGTGTTTTTTCTCTGTTACTTGAAAAAAGTTTTATTTAAAAAAATTTTAAGCAAACATGTTCATTTAGAAAGGAACGACCTGGTCTGCTTTAGTAAATCCATGGCTGGAAGATCCCTATACCTATAGTAATTTATAAAATTGCTAAAACTTAAAGAGGACCATTCAGTGTTGTTAGTAAGAAATAACGGTTCATTAGTTTCCAATTTTGTACCAGGCTATGGGGCCTTCAAAAAATTGGGAGAATAAAGCTAATTTAGACCAGTAGTGGAGAACCTAGTGGTGAGCAGGCACTGGCTCAAAGGCTGGGTTCAACCCCCAGGTCCCCTTCCTGCCTGCCACCAGGTTCTTAACCACCTTGAACCACAATGGCCTTTTATCTCAGTGACCTAGGGTGGAGTTACTAGCTGTTGTTATAGTTACTTTAGTGATAGCTTCTCTCCTGGAATTGATAATAAGAAATATAGTTGTTTAAGGAATCCCTGAATTAAAAAGAGAAAGAAAAGAAACCAACTCATAATAATGGAAAGAGGAGTACCATTCAGAGCCTAATCTTTGACAGTGCACAGTACAGCGACGGGACTGTGGAAATGAGGAGATCAGGCTCCAAGAGCAGAGTCAGGATGGTTTCTACTTAACCTTATCACAGGATTAAATAAAATGATCAGGGATGAGTGCTGGAAGCTAGAACAGAAGCATCTTAATTTGAACTTCACGTTTTATTTAATCTTACCATGCTGAAGTGATTCTCACCCTGGCTGATGAATGTAGGTTGAAAAGCAGTCCCTACCCCAAATTTTGATACACAGTCCTTTGGGACCACCTTCCACCTTCCACCTTCTTTTCCTCCTCTTCCTGTTGGAGAATTGCTGACATAGTGAGCCACCACCATTACTGATTGACGTATGTTCAGCTTTGGGAAAATGTTGAGAATTAGTAATGTACCACGTGGTACTGCAGCTGGGTGGTAGCTTCCAGGCCCCAGGGCCCTGCCCCCTTGGCCGTTGCCAGCCATTGGGCTTCTGCTTGCCTTCCTGGCCTGTCCTCTGCATCACTGCCCCAGCCCAGGGAACGTACGCCTCCTCTGCCTGCTGGTTTGCTCAAAGTATGGGTGGTCTTATCCTTCCCTGCTTTGAAGGTGTTTTTATTTTATTTATTTTTAATCAATTAATTTATTTCTAGGTACCAGGCATTTAAATTTTTTTGTCAGTTACAGTTGACATTCCGTGTTTCAGGTGTACAGCATAGTGGTTAGGCATTTATATAACTGATGAAGTGACCCCCCTCCCCGATCAGTCTAGTACCCACCTGACACCACACATATTATTACAGTATTGTTGACTACATTTCTGGGCTGAGCTTGACATCCCTTGACTATTTTGTAACTGCCATTTTGTACTTAATCCTTTTTGGTTTTTAAGCAGGCATCCTGTTGGTGGCCCCAGGGTCCCCTCTTGGTCATTCAGCTGTCGGCCTGGTGCGCTCACTCCCGGAACTGCTCTGTGCAGCCACCTCCTGCTGCGCGGTTTGTCTGTCGTCCCTCTGGGGCTCCCACTCCGCCTCACTCCCCGTCAGTCTCACTGCAGCTGTTTTTCAGGGATTCTCAGTTTCTGGTCCGAGTGTAAGAAAGCAATTCTGCTTTCAGAAGCTTGTGCTTCTTTCCCCCTTCTTTTTTCTTTTGGGCCCTTCCCCTCCATCTCTCCATCATTATGAGTTAATTTCAGGTGGATTGGGGGATATATGGTTTATATAATTTACTATCCTCATCTAACTTCCTTTGTTAAAAAGTAACTTTAAGACAGACCTCTGGTTCAGATAACCTTGTGAGTTCACACAGAAACATGCTCCTGCCAATTCCAAACTCATAGTCAGGACAGACAAAATATTTTAAAATATTAAAATCCCATCATATTCAAAAACAACATACGTAATTTTGGAGACCAGCAGCAGGCTGGGGCTGAAGCAGCATCTCTACTGGTCCTTAGGATCAGACACAAGTTCTCGGGGGTGGTAGAAGTTTAACTCTTGCAGATTACAAAGGGTGCTGGACTATGGTTGAGGGCTGGAGAAGCTTGCTATGTGAAAACTGATTTGGGTGCAGCTCCACCATGAATGAAGACTTAAAAAGTGGGTTTTGGCCACCAGTCCTGAGCTAATGTCTGTAAATAGGAGGGAGTAGAGACGTCACTGGGCTTTGGGAAGACCACAATCTGGGCTTAAGTAACTGGGATTGGCATTAGGGCTCATCGTATAAAGGTAGTTAAAGGGAGAGGAAAAAAATAAGCACTCCATAAGCCACAAAACACAAATTGCCAATGCACTTGTAGACCAAGATACAAGGATACAAGAGGCAACCTGTCATCAGGAGGCAAGGCAACAAACACCAAGAGTGGGAACATTCGAATGCAAGCTGAAGTGAATTTAAAAATAATTATACTTCAGATCTTTAAAAAGACTAACCTATAAAACCTGAAATCCAAAAAATGAAAAACACTTTTCAGAGATTCCAAAAACACCAATTTTAGAAAGTAATAAATGTAAACAATCTAAACAAATCCATCTGTGATGTCCCACCAACTGTCTGTTCTTCCTACTTTTTATTTGTGTAGACTTTTGTACAAATATGGGATCGTGGTCCGGACTCCCATAACTTTTACATTAACATGTAAACATTCTTACCAGTCTCTTACAATCTGGAAGCTATGCAGTATTGCACATGGATGTGTTATAATTTATTTAAAGAATCTGCTGTTTCATAGCTATTTCCAACTTGCTATATTAATCATCTTTACACTTTGTTTTTCAAAAGTATTTCTATTTTCTCAGAAAAATAAAAATATAGACTATATAAAAATGCAAAGAAAACAATACTTATCATGCAGAAATATACTTTATGTGTATGTAACTTGTGTGTGTATGTTTGTGTAATAGCCATCATATTGTACATATTGTTTTGTAACCTTTTTTTCATTTAACATTGTGAAGTTTTTCGTGTGAAGTAAAGATTTATATCATCTATATGGTGCTTGTTGTTCACTGTAAGACTATACTATAAGTAATTTAATAGTCTTCATTATGGGACAGAAAATTATTTTCATTGTATGTTATGAATAATGTTATGACATTGTTATTATAAGCATGTTAAAGTTGTGTTCTTAATACACACTGTTATTTTCATTTTTCAACAGGTGTTTGCATATGACCATTGTTTCTGGTCTATGGATGAATCTGTCAAAGAAAAGTATGCAGGTAAGAGTACAGCATCCTTTTAACTACCAATAATATAAAAAGGTGTTTTAATATTTTTCCATACTTTATCATAGTATTATTTTGTATAACTTTTAAAACTATATAGAGAATTTCCTCTGATCTTTGCCATTAGCAGCATTGTTACACTGGTTGGGAGATGGGAGCGTCACAGTGTGCTGTTCATGGTTGAAGCAGGCGCAGTTAGATCAACATGCTGAGGTTATCTTACATGCATGCCCAGGCCTTGCATGGCACCAGTGGCACACAGCAGTCACTTGGGTTCCCTTAGATGCTCTGTGATGTACTTAGAGGGGCATCTTGGTGTGACGAGTGACCAGCCACAGAGAAAGTGGAACCTCGAGTGTAAGCCAGGCTCTACTCCTGGCTGCCCACTGTGACCGAGTGAATCACTTAAGCCTTCCCTGTTCTGTTTTCTCTAATGAAGAGGACCATACCATGTTCTTTCTAAATTTGCTCTAGAATTCTATTATTCTCTTACTGTCTTCAATGATGACTGTCTCAAGCCCCTTTTCACCACAAGTGTAAGACTACAGTGACAGCCTTTTATTCCCTTTACTCATAACTGCTTACAACACCTGTTTCTAAGCAATCTCTTTTAGATATGAGTGTTACGTTGTATTGGCTTTCATCGTGAGAAACAGTAGTGCTACAGCTGTTTCAGAAGTTAAGGTTGATTCAGTCTAGCTGGCCTGATGATGACTTTAAGGAATGCTTCAGTATCGGAAGTATGGTGATGATGTACTAATCTGGTAAATTAACTAGGAAGTAAGGCATAATGGAATGCTATTTATAGCATTTAAAACATAACAAACATAACAGCATCCGGATCTCTCATACTTAAAGTGTGTCCAGATCCCAGTTCTAGTTCATGGGGGCAGAGGTATTTCCCCTGTATCACCAATAAGCAATGCTGCAGACAAAAGGTGGATGTCCTATAATTCAGTTCAATTCTGACACTGTTTACCTGGAGACAGCATCAGATTCCACAGGTTAGGACTGCCCCCCACCTCTATGCCCCACTTCAGATACCAGTCTCAAGTCCAGGTTGTTACCTGTGCTTCTGACCAACCAGCTCTACACTGCAGATTTCGGTGGTCCCCTCCTTGGGCTAAAAACACCAGCCACAAGTTCAGGTTGTTTCCTCTACTTCAGACCAATCGGCTGTAAATCATAGGTTCCCACCACTACCTCCTTTGGTTCAATTAATTTGCTAAAGTGTCTCACAAAACTGAGAAGAGCATTTTACTTCTAGGTTGCCAGTTTATTATAAAAAGGTATAACTCAGGAATACGCAGATAGAAGAGACACATAGGACAAGGTGTGGGGGAAAGGAAGCTCCCATGCTCTCTCCAGGTACACCTGTCTCCACAAATCTCCACGTGTTCACCAACCTGGAAGCTTTCCAAACCCTGTCCTTTTCGGTTTTTATGGAGGCGTCATTATATACGAGATATGAGTGATTAAATCATTAGCCACTGATGATTGATTCTCTGTCTAGCCCCTCCCCTCTCCCTAGAGGGGTTTGGCCCCAAAGTCACCTCATTAATATAAAAAGACATATTTATAACTTTTAACACTTAGAAAATCCTAAGGCATGTGAAAGACCTTCTTATAAATCACAACATCACCACAATATTCAAGACTCAAAGTTGAATGGCATATTTAATTTAGCCTGTAAAGGAGTGTTTGACCCTATTATTTATATCCATGATAGAAGGCTAGGAGAAATTTTCAGTATCTCCCACCCTCCCCTAGCTGGCATATGTTTTAGACTCTGTAACCTAGATTTGCCACTGAGAAAAAAAAAAAACAGAATCCCTGGAGAACTGCTACTCGCTACCACAGACCACTGGTTCCAAATGTTTGGCCGCAGAAGTAAAACCAGCTACCTGTGAATTTAACCACAACTGTATGTTTTTATAAAGACACTTGAAATTTTGTTCCAGGGTAGTATTTTCTGCCTGGTGAGACCATTTCTGCATTATAAACTTGTTTAAAAAATAAAAAGTAAATATTTCCAAATGAAAACACAGATCATTGGGGAAAAGGAGAGGGGATTGATATATGTGATTGTTTTGAACTCTAGTACCTACTGAATAAAATATTACGTGAGTGATACATAGTTAATTTCAGGTCCACCTAGGCCCCAAGTTTACATTTTGTATACCTAGGATCACAGTTTCCTGGATTAGCAGTTCATTAGCTTTTTGCATTGCAGATTTTAATCAGTGCTTACTGATGTAAATTCATATTATCAGGAACTTTTTACTCGTTTTGTCTTCTTATGAGCTAACTAGAAACACCCTGAAGAACATTACCCTTTGGAAGCATTCATCAAGTTTAAAAATCTTTTTGGAAATAAGCTAGGAAAATACATTTCCGAGAGGTTTTTTTCTTTAATTATTCATGTGTGGTTTTGGCTTAAAACATCCTCTCTCTCTCCCTGTCTTTTAGGTCAAGATGATGTTTTTAAGTGCCTTGGGGAGAATATTCTTCAAAATGCTTTTGATGGCTATAATGCATGTATCTTTGCCTACGGACAGACTGGTAACATTAAATATGTGGTTTTTTAAGCCTTAAGGGTCATAATAGAGAATATACCAAAAAGGATACATATTGTTAGCATCTTATCAGTTATGATTGATAAGGAGCATTTTGACTTCTGTACCTCTGTGGTCAAAGGAAAAAAAATCTACTCAAAGCGAAGGAATTGCTGTATTAAGGGCATACTGTATGGCTTGTCCAGTCGAAAACTATTCTTCATGGACACGTGCTTATATTTTTAAGAGGCAGTGTGTATAATGGTTACAAGGGCAACGACCCAGCTCCAGCCCTGCTCCTGCCATTGACTAGCTGTGAAACTTGAACCTCAGTGTCCTTATCTGTGAAATGTTGACAACCTTCCATACAGGGTTGTCACAGTGAGTTAACACGTTAAATCTTTTAGAGAAGGCCTGGGACCTAGGCAGTGGTGTGTTAGTTTTAGGTATCATGATACTGATAAAGTGATGGGTGACAAAAGCAACAACTTGTATCTAAAGGTGTGTTTACAAAATCACTGCTACAAAAAGGGGGAAAAGTATACTGAGGACTATGAGTGCTTGAATTTTTTTATTTCTATTTTCTGATGTTTCCTAAATTGTCTTTCATGAATATGTAGTCTTGATACAACAGAGAAAATAACTTTATAGTAGAAAAAATTACGCTGGTTTCTACACCATTGCCAACGTAGGTAACTTTGCTCTGGGGCCTATAAGGATAACATATATTTTTGACACTATGGTTGAAGCAGGCACAATAATATTATTAATCAGTGAATCTTCCCAGTTGATTTTAGAAAACTATTTTTTACGTGTTTTAGGTGACTTTTTAAGCTCTGAAGGTGCTTAGAGAAGGTTTTTGTTTTCTTCCTAAAGGATATTTACTTTTGACTTTTTCATGTGCAGTAGGAAAGCTTCAGTACTTAGTCTCAACATTATATTTGGGTATATTTCTTATTTTATTTTGGGTATTTTCCTAAGTGCTAGTAATTTATTATGAGCACTGGAAAGAGGTTTATGTGTTTCAGCTTCTCAAAGAGACAGTAATAACTGTGATTTTCCTTTTCTAGGATCTGGAAAATCTTACACTATGATGGGTACGGCTGACCAACCTGGATTAATCCCAAGACTCTGTAGTGGACTCTTTGAACGAACTCAGAAAGAGGAAAACGAAGAGCAGAGTTTTAAAGTAGAAGTGTCCTATATGGAAATTTATAATGAAAAAGTCAGAGACCTTCTTGATCCCAAAGGGTAAATAACTTTGAGGCTTTAATATTGTAATACTATGGACCAAAACAGACTTGATAAATTGGCTTAATGAAATTTTTTTATATTGCATTCTGGTAGAGAATTATTTATCTAGGTATTGTCTTTGTGATTTTATCTAGTTGTCTAGTTACTGTTCTTGTGATTTGCTGTTAGTTTCATTGAGTGGCTTCCTGCAGCCAATTCTGGGCTTTGGAAGTTTGAGCTAAAGTGGGACAGAGAAGGGGTCGAGCTGCATGCGTTTGGATCACACAGCCTTTCTCATATGCATCCAAATAAAAAATGTGTAATGAAAATTAAGTTACTTAGTATCTGAATAACTGGTATCCTTAATCAGGTAGGTTATTAGTATTTTTTTAGCCAAGAAGTTTCAGGGGGAATTCAGCTGTTTGGTGACAGACTGTGAAATGAGAGGGAGGTGCATAAGCATGGAACCTGGACTTTAGGACAGTTAAATTTAAAGATCCGGATTTTTAAAAGTCCCATTGTTTGACATAGACTTTGAAATAGAAGTGGCTCAGAAGTATTAGGAAGCCTTAAAAAATGCTGTTGTCACTCTGTAGTCATATCTGAACCTAATGAGGAAGATGAGGTATCTGAGGAAATCTGTTCATTGCACAGTGTTCTCTGAGCTCAGATTTTAAGGAAGTGCAACAATGGAGAGAAAGACACAGATAACAACCACAGCTTGTGGCTTATTGACATAAAAGCAGTGTTCGGGAGGTCAAAGAGCCAGATGAGCCGGGGTTTACAGAGCATGTGGAGGGTGATGAGGAGACATGTCCTTATGTTTGGATGAAGATGGTGATCAAGGGAAGATGGCATTAGAGTTGGTGAGTCATTGCGCCATCACAATGAGTATCTTCACCCAGAGAAGGGGAAGATTCACTAGAACGTGCTTGAATAATTCTGTGCGGAGTAGGAGTTTGTTTACTGTGAAGTTAGGTGAGAACCAATCAAACATAGGGGACAGCTCATGCCAAAGTATGTTCAGAGAAGACCCTTGTTTGGAGAGGGACCCAGCTGGCCAGAGTGGCTGGAGGGCTGTGTGCTGGGAAGTCGGAACAGCACAGAAGGAGACCGCAGGTAGGATGGCTATGGCCTAAGCTCCCACATCTTGCTGAATATTATCCCTTGTGCTTTTTCTGGCTGTCCCCTGAATACTTTTTCTCACACCTTCATCTTTGTGAAGACCATCATTTTCTTAGAGGTCCAGTCCACAGCTACTCAGAAAGCCTTAGCTGGCTTCATTCTTGTGTTTTGTATTCCACAGTACTTGTGTGGCATAGGTTAAACTTTATCTACAGTTTTTTCATAACTTTTCCTAATTTCTTACATATTTATCTTGTTTGTGGTCTAGTAATTAACAGCTTGGGCTTTGGATTTACCTAGGTCTGGATCTGGGTCCATTAATTGTTACCTGTTGACCAAGGTCTTGTGCCTTCTAGGCCTCGCTTGTGCAGAGGGCATGACAGTATTACAGAGACCTCAGGGGGCTGTGTGAAGGTAGGCTGGGATGGTGCACGCGAGGTCTTAGACCTTCGTGGCGCCTAGTAAGTGCTTGGTGAGTGTTCGCTGTTGTTGCCCCCTGGAAGTTCTGGAGGTTTTTGTAGTGTTTCTGAACAGTTGAAGTGAATAGATTAAAAAGTGTAAAAGTGGTACTTTTTCAGTGAAAGGCAAGATAACTTTTGTTATTCAAGTACTAATTTTATTAATTCAGCATGTACTATGTGTAATAATGTAATTACGTTTTACTCAGGAGATAATATGGTATACATTGTCTTTAAAATAAAGGGGAAAAGGGACAAGGAAAGGGTTATAATATATTCCAAAGTCAGAGCTAAGTTAAATAATTGTTCTGTGTCTACTTTATGCACAGTTTTATCATAATAAGCGAAGTTTTAAGTGGTTGATCCTAAGGTGATAATAGAGTCCACATCACTAGAAAACATTTTTACATAAAATAAGAATCCCCTGTAATCTCACCATCAGCAAATATTTTTACAGTATAATGATTTTATTTTTTAAAGAGGTTTTTGAGATATAATTCACATCATAAATCAGTCATCAACAAATATCTCTAGTATTTTTGGTTGATATTATTAACTGTGGTATATGCTCTAGGTTTTTGGCAGAAGTTGTTCCCTGGGTTTATCAGTTCTTTGTTTGCTAAGAGGCTTATTTTTTTAATATTTTATTTTTTTAAGATTATTTATTTATTTTTAGAAAGAGGGGAAGGGAGGGAGAAGGAGAGGGAGAGAAACGTCAGTGTGTGGTTGCCTGCCACATGGCCTCCACTAGGGACCTGGCCTGCAGCCTAGGCATGTGCCCTGACTGGGAATCAAACCTGTGACCCTTTGGTTCACAGCCCACGCTCAATCTACTGAGCTACACCAGCCAGGGCCAAGGAGGCCTATGTTTTTTAAAAAGTATGAGTATTTAATTTTATTGAAAACTTTATCCTTTGTTTATTGAAATGACCGTGCATTTTTTTCCCTCATTGGTCTGTCAACGTGGTAAAGACTGTGACTTTTTCCAGTTTTAGAAAACCCTGTGGCCCTGAGATAAGCCCAGTTTTAGGTTTTTCAGTTGTCATCAGATTCATTATTTGCTGTTTCTTGCTTGTCTTTATCACGATCAGGGTTGGCCTATAGTTCTTCTTGTTTGTGCAGTTAACATTTATTGGATTTCTGCACTCTGCACTACATTCTGTGATGGGACAATCAGATTGTTTGTATTTATCTGACCCTGCATTCTTTGTGGCAGTAAACAGACGTCCCACAGTGTACCATTTTGAGTGATGTGCTATTTTACCACATTGTGAAGTTTTATGACTAGTCGAGATTTAAAATTTTGGTTTAAATTCTTCTGGGAGAAAGTCAATCGGTTTTATTTATATGGGATCTTTGTTGAATTCAGTATGTATTTTGTGGTGCACAGTTGAGTCCTATAAAAAACAGGTTGTTGTTTAAAAATTGTTTCTTTGTTTTGAACGAACAGAAGCCGTCAAACGTTAAAAGTCAGGGAGCACAGTGTGCTGGGACCCTATGTCGATGGACTTTCTAAACTGGCCGTCACCAGCTACAAGGTAACAGCATCCTTTGTGTGAACTAATCAGATCCGGGTAGCAGTTTTTCTGTTTAATTTGTGATTATTACTATTTTTGAAATTAAAAAATCATAGCAGTATCACTTAATAAAATTTTTTACAACAATTTTTACTTAAAAAGCTGTGAAAGAATGTATTGATTTGCAAGACACACCTATTCATCTGTTGTGAGACATAATTTTTTCATGTTTCACCAACTCCAAAGTTGTGATGTTCTGTACGATGGTAAATGTCAGCTTTTTATCTTCCCTAGTAGTACATAAAATAATGAAGCTGTTTATGATTTGGTGGATTTAATGAAATCAAATGTACTGAGTTGAGTAGGTGGAGTTCAAATCCTGTTTCTCATGTGAGAGAATCACTTACTGGCCTTCTGTCAGTTCTCTTCATATCCAGACTTCACGGTTGTGCTCTGCGGGAACCCGTCCAGCTTTGTGCATTGGGGAAGTAGGCATGGGGTGACACGAGACGATGTGGTGGACATTGACTTAACATTCAGTGCAACGTTGATCTGGTGACACTTAATCCTTTTGTACAACTCCTGCGTGACTCCGGGTCATTTACTGTACTTCACTCACCCTTTTTGTCCAAGTTTTTAAAGTAGAAATTAGTTTCACTGTTTTGACTACCTAATGAGGTAGGTTCATTTGTTTTTTGTTCATTAATCAGTTCTATCATTTAAAATATTGTTGATACTTCATTTAGTAATTATCGAATACCTGTCTTGTGCCAGTAATTGTGCTGGGTGCTGAGGCTATAACAAATGAACGAGATGGTCCGTTACCTCTGTAAGCTTCTGTAGGCTTCTTACAGGTACTATTCAGGTATTATAAAACAACGTGGTTTATAGTGCTGTGACAGATGCACATTCAGGGTTCAGTGTAATTTCAAGGGGCGTACCTAACTTAAGTGGATATGTAGGTATCGGGGGAGGGTGGTGTCTGGGAAGGCTTCCTGGAGGAGATCAGATGGGTTAATGCAGGTGAAGAGTCTTTGAAAACTCTAGAGTATTTATATACAGGTTAGGTATTGTTAGTACATTAATAATGACCATTTGAGAACATATTTGTACAACATTGGAGAGAGATCAAGATTGTTTTGAGAGCTCAGAGATTGAAAAGTATGAAAAGACCTTTTGTTGTTTAAAAAATTAAAAGGCTAAATACAGAGTGCATACATGAGACAACAGATTAGAGACCAGTGAATAAATGCAGACTACATGGGGTGAGGCTTTCACACTAAGCCTCAGGACTGTCAGATTTAAGGGATTCAAAGTGGAGTTAGAATGGATCTAGAAAATTGTAATTTTTTTCCATTTTGGTACCTATATATATCTCTTTTTGCAGTTAATGTTTTTAAGTTGGGGTATTTTACTTATAGTACTGACTTTTTCCTTAAATATTATTCTTCTTAATTTATACAGCACCTTAGGATTTTCAGAGGTTTTTGTATGTGTATGTGAGCTAGGATTAAGTTTGGCTATATATAACAGAAATAATGTCACAGGATTTAAATTTCTTGGAATCTGAATGATTATGTTTTGATCATTCTGTGTCCTCAGTATCTTAAAATGTACCTGGCACATAGTAGGTGCTTTCAATATATATTTGAGTGAACGATGAATGGTGAAAGGGCTGGTATGTTGATTCCAAAGGTGCCTTTAGGAACCTAGATTTCAGCCAGCTCTATGGTAATGCCCTCACTCTCATAGTGTAAGATGGCTCTGAGAGCCAAGATGCAATGGCATGCCTGCCTACTCCCTTGTAGGAGAATTTCCAGTGACCCGTATCATACTTTACCTCTCATTTGCTAAAACTTACTCATATGGCCAGGCTGAGCTGCAAGGACATCTGGGAAATGTCCCTTAGCTCTGCTGCCATATGCTCACTGAAGATTGGGTTCCTTTACTGGAAAGAGGAGGAGACTGGATAAAAGAAGGTAACTGGTGAACTCTTTCACACAGACCATCTTTATTGTTGCTCAGTTAAGTCTTTGGAAGGTAGATGGTGTTAGAGCTCTGTATTGTTACTTATGAAACTAAAATTCAGACTGATTAGGTAACTGTGTTATAGCATATGACATTTTAAAAAATGAAGATCACATGATCCTTCTATATTGCACCATGCTGTCTTCTGTTTTAGCAGTAACAGCAACAGAGTAGTGCAGAAAATTAGTCTCCTGAAGTTTTTACTTTTAAAAATAGTTTTGGTAAGGTATACTTCAAGGATGGTAAGGTACTACACATCCTGCTTGAGGGGGGTAACAGATTACTTTTGCTTGTTGCTTATTCATGTAATCTAATTTGATTTAACAGTCAACTTCTATTACTTCTGTAATTAAAGAAACTAATTTTTTTCCAGATTTCCAGATGAGGATTGGCAGGGCATATTTGTCGATTTTGTGAGATTCAACACTTAATGTCTAAATTTTTCTAACTCTCAGTTGAAGCTGCCATTCTGCACACACAGAACATAGTGTGTTTTGTTTTCATGGGCAGTGTGGCTATTGTGCTCTATGGGGTTTCATGTTCACTGAAAAACAAAGTGTAAATGCCAAGTAGGTCTGCCTAATAGTGCAACTTGAAATGTATTTTTGTAGTATAGCAGTTTTACTATATATTAGGCAGATAACGAAATGTGTGTCTGTGACTTGTTCTTACTTAGGATATTGAGTCTTTGATGTCTGAGGGTAACAAATCGCGCACAGTCGCTGCAACCAACATGAATGAGGAGAGTAGCCGATCCCACGCAGTCTTCAAAATCACCCTCACACATACTTTGTACGACGTGAAGTCTGGGGTAGGTGTTCAGATATCTGACTTATTAAAAAGAGTTTTTGAAGTAGATCATGGTTTATCTTAATCCCTTCAGGTGTTAGATGACTTAAAATCCTAACCAAACATGTATATTACATGGGACATGTATGTCCACAGTTAGAAAACAGGACAAGAAACAGAAGTCATGCTGGGTAAACAGGAAGAGCTTTAAAGGAGGGATTTGCGTGACTGCAAAGTTATTGAAACACCTGAGGAGGAGGGAGTTCTAGACTGAATCTCCAGGAATAATTCCCAGAACAACACTTACTCATAGACCAGGATGCTACCTCTGAGGCTACCTCTATGCTGTGAGCTAGGAGTTCCAGGCACGCCCCATAGCTGTGATCCAGGGCAGCATAGGGACTTCATGGTCAAGGAGCGCACAATCCTGCTTTCCAGCTGAACAACCCTAAAAGAGGCATAGGATGACCTCTGCTTTCCTTCTCATTTCCAAATCTTAATCAAGTGTATCTGACTGGCAAAACCTAAGCCACGTCCTGAACCCCGGCCTGCACAGGAGTGTGAGTAATACAGTGTTTAGCTCTCCACCCTCTCCAGCCGGAGGAAGGCAGAGCAGAAGTTATACAAACAAACGGTCCAAAGTCTTTGCCACAACATTTTTTTGACCCATAAACTATGATGGCTAATGGTATAAGCTAATGTTAATATTCTAGCTCATTCAGTGGAGGTATTTTTGAAATACTACTTTCAGTTAAGCAGCTAAGTATCAGAAGGAATAAATTGCACTAGGGAAATTGTACTGTCAGATTGCTGCATTAATGGAATAAATATGGAGTCTTTGGTCTTCAAACTTGTAAGAATAAACAGAACCAGAGATGTATATGCTTCTACACATGGAAAACTCCTCTCTTGACTTACACATTTGTTTCCCTCTTTTAATATGAACTTTTGCATATTTTGTTATGACGTGGAACCCCCAGCAAATCAATTTCAAATACCAGAAGCTAAAATTACCACCCTGGCAAAGTGCTTTATTTTGGCAGGATTTTTGTTTGCTGAAAGCATATTTTTCTTCTTTTACCATCACAGCAATATTAGTAAAACAACAAAAAGTTCTTTGTTTCCTATTTCCTTTTCAGCATAAAACAAAAAACACACTGAAGACTTTTTTCTTTAAACCAAATGAACTTTTGATTTGGGAAGCTGAATTTCCTTTTGTGGTAACATATTTATTTATGGAAATAAATACAAATGTATATTTTAAAGGAAAAGTTTAAAAAATGATCCAGCCTATAGGATTTGGCATCAGTTTCCCATATTTTTATTGCTGCTGAATATAAAATGTTACATGTGTGATTTAATATAAAACATTTTTAAATTTTATTTTTAATTATATTTTGCATCCAATATTATTTTATATTAGTTTCAGGTGTACAGCATACTGGTTAGACAATCATATACTTTACAACTCCTCCCTTAGGTATTTCCAGTACCCACCTGGTGCCAGGTGTAGTTATTACGATATTGGTAACTGTACTCCCTGGGCTGTACTTGACATCCTCCTGACTGTGTTTTACTGCCCATCTGTACTTCTCAATTCCTTCACATTTTTCATCCCTCTGACAACTGCCAGTGTGTTTTCTGTATCTATGGGTCTGTTTCTATTTTTTATTTTTAGAAAACACTTTTGATGAAGGAGAATATCAGTATATGTATGTATACATTTATATACCATCTGAACTAGAGAACTGTATAAATTTAATACCTGAATTATGAGATAAGAAAATGACTATATATAAATAACACGAAACATTTTAGAAAGTGTTGAGTTTTTGAGGGATCCTTCCATTGTATATAAGTCAAATTAATTTTTTATGTCAATAAGAATTGCAAATATTTTTTCCTTAGAATTATTGGCAAATATTTCTGAAATTTTAAGCATAGCTTCAAATTATATCAAAATTTGTAACTTATAAATAGTGTTTTTGTATACTTCCCTATGAAAATTTTATTGAGTTCCCTTCAAAATGTCTCATTTAGGGAGGCTCTGTTTTTCTGAGACCACTTTAACTTGGTCCGGGATAGTAGAGTTTGTATAATTTTGTGTTTGCTAGATTGTACAATTTTCTTGCACTGGTTTATAGCAGCACAAACTAATTTTGAAATAACAGTAAGTAACTCTTTAGTAAAGGATTTCGATAATAAACTCATTCTGTACAGATGGTATCACCTTTTGCACTGCTTAACTGTGTGTTTGCATTTACCAACTTACTTTCTAGACGTCTGGAGAGAAGGTGGGCAAACTGAGCTTGGTCGATTTGGCTGGCAGTGAGCGAGCAACAAAAACTGGAGCGGCCGGTGACAGGCTGAAGGAGGGCAGCAACATTAACAAGTAATTTTTTCAGGAACTTACTTTTTATTGCTTTTGATTGAATAGCCAAATATGTGAATGCATGTGGTTATTAAAAGAATAAGATTCTGGGCCCATTAAGGCTATAATGAATAATAGTTTCAAATTTTCGCAGATGTATATTTTTGTATAGGCTTGACCTATTCTATGTTTTGGTCAGATGTTTGATGGGCTGAGGAGCACAGTCTCAGTCCAGAGGTTTCTCGAGAGCAGCCTTCTTGAAACTGGGCGCCTGGCAATTCTTCATTCCTGGTTCCCGTGTATTCTAGGGTGTTTAGTGGCACCCCTGGCCACTAGGTGGCGGTAGTCTCTGCCACCTCTCTCCCCTCATCCTCGGTGGTGGCACCCAAATTATCTCCAGGCATTGTCACCTCTGCACTCTGAGGGGGCCCAGTCACCTTCAATTGAGTATTGCTGTTCTGAGCTATGGAAAGTAACAGTCTGTCCGCCTTGACCTGCATTCACTGGCTGGACAAACAGCAGCATGTGTACCGGCCACGTCTGGCTTTCCCGGTTATGACTGCTGTGCTGCTTATTTATTCCAAGAGGTTGGGGCTTTATGAAGCAATGTTTTGTTCACCAGTTCTCTCATATGGTTGTATTTTATACCCCAGGCTACATCGGTAGCTCCTGTGGGCAGGGTTCTTCTCTGTCTTTGTGGCTCCCAGAAGGACACACAGTGAGATAATGAGTCATCAGTAGCCAGTTGACCAACTGGAGATCCTCGGTGTCACAGGACACCATCATGCTGATTCTGTGTTATTATCAAATGGCTATGTGTGTGCAGTTATGTCTATAATTTTTGCCTGTGATTACTTGTACTATGTTTCTGGCCTTCTTTCTTAAAGATGTGTGATGTTTGTATCATTATCTTGACTCAAAGGTTTATGATTTACACTTTTATTTATAAAAATAGGGAAAACTGTGCTAAGCAATTTTATTGCTTACAGTAGCATATGAGGGATATCATATCCCTCTTTTAGAATTTATGTATTTTTTAAACAAAGTAGCTAAATGCTGACAGCAGTGCCATTTTCATTCAGGTTCAAAGGCATCTTGATGTTCAGTCTTTGTGCTGAAACACGACACTTGATTACTCGGTCTTTCTGATTGTCATCATCTGTTGCACCATGCAGGTCCCTCACAACCCTGGGTCTGGTTATCTCGGCCCTCGCAGATCAGAGTGCTGGCAAAAACAAGAATAAGTTTGTTCCATATCGTGACTCAGTTCTCACTTGGCTGCTCAAAGTAAGTTATTTTTTCTTTCCTGGTCTGCTCTTGGTGGTTGGTAACAGGAAGAATAAAGGGTAGAATATTACTCCTTTCCAGTTACCCTTTCCTTTCAGTGTTCAAATTTATAATCATTAGGCTTTTAGGTGATAATTACAATTTTGATTGATGAAGCACAGGTTTCTTCCTGAGCCAGCAGAACCTAGAAGCAGTGGGAGTTCTGGGCACACTGGCCCGCACTGTTGCCTCAGACTCGGGGACTAGGAGAAGGACCCGGTGCTAAACTGACAGGCAAGTGAGTCGTAAAACAGGAGTTTGTACTGTCGTGCAGACCAGGCTGCACTGCTGTCTTTCTCACCCACTCCCCTTGTTTGGCTGACGTTTTGGACTTGGTATTTCTGTTCAACTTCAAAACTACTCACGATTATTTTAATTTGCTTTTAGCTTTTTACAGATATTGTTTAAGAATACAGAGTAGGTCACAGAGTTGTTCATTGCCTGATTTCATGTCAGTGAGAGAAATGGAAATGAGAAGGAAAAATAAACTGTATGAAATGTTGAGGAAAACATAAAGGAGTGTAAAACACTCTTTGCCATTTACTTGCTTAGAGTCTAATAAAGGAACAATGTTTACATAAAATACCATAGTGTGAATTAGTGATTCCATAGGAGTGAGAGTAATGACGTGTAATTGGAGTTCGGGGAAAAGAGGTTATTCCCAGGTTTCCCTTAGCCTTGGTGAATTGGGTGTTGGCCCGGGAGCTGGGGGTGTGCAATCTAGTGACAGTTTAACTCCTTACAGAGTGGCCAACCTGGGACAGAATATTTTTTTACGATTTTTTCTATTCAAAATGGAGAAATAATTTCATGAACCCTATTTAGTCTTGTGATAGCTTATTTTCTCATTGATCAATACTTATGTATTATACAGCTATTACTCACAGTGGCAGGGTTTGAGAATATAAAGATGAGTTAAGCAAAGGTCCCCAACTAGCTTAGTAGAGGATACAAGTTTGACTTAGTCTGTGGCATGTTTAGAGAACTGTGATCAGCAACATTTCCTGATCATTCATGACTATTCCCTGGATGTGTTTGTAAAGGGAGTAGAATTTTTTTCTACTTTCAACACCCTCTTAAAGAGTTTCTGGTATTCAAGTTTATGTTCCAAAACTCTGCACACCATCTGAACTTGCTTTATTAAGTGTAATTTGCCACAGCAGAAAATTGGGTACATTGCTTCCTTTGGTCAAACTGCAGTAAAATTGAAATTTAAAAGAATAAACAAAGGAATTTTGTAAAAAAAAAAAAGAACTTTAAATTTTATTTTTCAATTACAGTTTATAGTCAGTACCATTTTCTATTAGTGTCAGGTGCACAACACACTGGTTACACAATCACATACTTTACAAAGTGTTCCCCCTGGTATATCCAGTACCCACCTGACACCATATGTATTTATTGCAGTGTTATTGACTATATTCCCCATGCTGTACTGTACTTCCCCATGACTGTTTTGTAATGACCAATTTGTACTTCTTAATCCCTTCATCTCTTTCACCCAATTCTGAATAAACCTTGAATTGAAGGGATACTACAAAACATTTTACTACCAAGGAAATCATTGTACTGATCTTCAGGAACTAATAATTAAACTCATAACAATTAATCTCAGTTGTTTAATTTCCTTAAGAAATCTCAATAAGATGCTTATTTTGTCCTCAAACTTTTCACAGAAACATTTCCTGATCATTCATGATTATTCCCTGGATGTGTTTGATTTTAAAGACAAAATATTCATTGTCCTGTTGTTTGTGTTGCTACTTCAGTCCATTTATGGACCATTTATGGACCATTTATGGACTGAAGTGCTAAGTGCTATATAAATAATAAGAAAGTGCTATATATATAATAAGAAATATCTTGTGTTAGTTAACACAGTTACAATGACCTAGGTGATTTTTCGTGGCCATTTTATAGGCCGAAGGCCAGGAGTGCTTGTTCTGGGAGAAACATGGGCCATGCTAAGTGCTTTGTGCGCATTACCTCGGTCAGTCTCAGGAGGTAAACGTGGTGTTCCCGTTTTGCACGTGAGGCACTGGAGACAGAAACAAGGGTGGAATCCAGGGCTTTGCTGCCTGGGAAGAAGGTTATCAAAGGTTTTCTTGTGATTAGGAGAAGCACTTGACTGTTACCAAGCATTGATAGAAAGAAACTATTGGAAAGAGTTGAACTTGATAAAACAAAACACTTTCTTAAAAAGTTCAGTTTACCTTGTGTTTAGTAAAATTAGGTTAAAATTGTTATTTCTGTATGCTAATTCTCAGGCTAAAGAAAGGAATACTTTTCTTGATTTTTGTCTTTTTTTTTCTGAAAAATTACGTGACCTTTATTTTGTTTGACTTTTACAGCAAGGTGTTAAGTAGGGGAATTTTTGCAAAATGTATTTTGGGGTATAAACAGCTCTCCTGAAGGGCTCTCAGAATCCATTGTTACAAAAAATTGTTCTCCTTTAAAATGGCTTTCATGTCCCTATTACTTTCTCCTTCTTTTAATTCTTAAGTAGTCTAACACTCCCTGATCTTTGTTTGACCTGGTATGATCCTGGTATTCTCCAGTGTAACTTGTATTAAACTTGTAAATGTGCTCATCATTTATCAGATTTGTATTTTTTAAATTTTATTTATTTTTAGAGAGAGAGTGGAATGGAGGGAGAAAGAGGGAAAGAAACATCAATGTGTGGTTGCCTCTTGTGCACCCCCTACAGGGGACCTGGCCTGCAACCCAGGTATGTGCCTGACCGGGAATTGAACTGGTGACCTTTTGGTTCTCAGGCTGGCACTCAGTCCACTGAGCCACACTAGCCAGGACATCTCTCAAGCTTTCTTAGTCCATTTTGTTCTTTAAAATGAGGTTGCGATTTCTTTCTAAATTCATATACTTTTTAAACTTGAGTTTCTTTAATAACTGTCCAGAAGCCCTTACAATCAAGTCCAAATTCTTTAGTGACTTGTGATTTACTAGGCCCTTTGTAGTCTGACCACTCCCTACTTCTCATTATTCATCTTCTGCTCTTGACATTATCAGTTCCAGTTAAGTGACTTCTAGGACTTTGCTCTTACTTTAGGACAATCTTCCTCCTCTCCTCAGTTTCCTCCTACACTGCTCTCCCACCCCCTTTACATGGGTGATGCTTATTTGTTTTAAGGTCTCAAATGCCACTTTCTGTGGGAATCTTCTCTAAACTGTCAAGGTGGGGCATTCTGCTTTTTCTCTGTTTTCCCAGACCACGTTGTATTTATCCCCACTTCAGTTCTTATCATACAGTGTTTGGTCACCAGCATCACCCTCTAAGGTAAACTCCATGAGAAGCTGAATGAATGGACATTTCAGTTCTACTCTGAACTAACGTTATGACCTTTGGTAAGTCCGTCATTCTTCCCTGGTCTCAATTTCTCTTCTGTAAAAGGAAATCGTTTGATTAAATGACTTCAAAGAGTTTTCAGCTTTAAACAGTTCTGACTTCCAAAATTAAATATCTTTCCTAGGTCCATTTAATTTGCAGTTGCTACATTCAAGACAAAAGCTCAGCTGATTTGCCTAATGAAACAATTAAAGAGTAAACAAGAAGCTTTATACTTTCTCCTTGAATAAGTGCCAGGTCTTTTGTTGCCATTTCCTTTTTGCTAAGGCCTGAGGCCATTTCTGAATATAAGCATATTGTTACTGCTCATGCACAAGGGCTTTTAAAATATCAAGGATTTGTTGTTTGCCAGGTTTCCTTTCCTCAGCACAAATTGAAGCACAATGCTCATGCTTTTCTCCTTTGCTGCTTGTTGTTACACATTCCCTTGTGCCCAGTAGCATTTGCTGTTTATGTGGGCTAAGGGAACGCATGGTTCTGGGAGGGCAGCGCTCCTCCACGGCACTGCTGGTGAACTGGATTGCCATTTGAGATGCAATTCCTGTGGTCTTTATATATGGCATTGGAATTCCACTAATGTGCATGGGATTCTTCCTTGACATTTTTCTGGAAGTTGCCAAAGTGGGGCACCAACAATGTAAGGTCAGCGTCTAGAAGTAGAGTGAAACACACCCATACAGGCTTCACAGACATAGCTTCTGCTTTCTAAAACCCAGATTACTTACATTTCCTTCCTTTTCATGCATTGAAGTGCATTTTCTTCAAAGACAAAATGATCTTAGCTATGTTGACTGTGGAAAACCAAAATTTCAGTAATGCATGAATAAGTGGACATATTGTCTGTGATTATATTGAACAGTTAGGAATACCCAAGGAATTATTTTGTTTCTGGCACTAGGACAAAATAATCTGGGAAGGTGTCAGGTCACCTTCCTTATTCCTTGGGTCTGAACTCCATCTGTTGCCAAGTGATGTTTGTTACTCTGTTACTGGTGGTAGCTGCGGGGGAGCGGGAGTCATGTTGGACTTGAAGACGGAATACAGTTGGACTAGAATATTGTTCAATTTACTCACTGTTCTGGATCTTTAGGCAAAGTATTTCACCTTCTTTGTCAGAACAAACCTCTGTTTTTTCATTGGTAAATGGGAATACTAATAATCCAATTCATCAAAGGCTGAGGACTAAGTAAAGTCTATGCACAAAGATTGTGTAAATCACAGATTGCTCAAACAGATTTTAGATGCATTGATACTGGAAAAACTTTGTATCTTCAAAAGTAAAAATTTTGTATCGGTTAATGTTGTCCAAAGGTAATGTTGGCTTACTGGCCTGTTCAAGTATCCTTTCTAATCTTGGGACTATATTCAGTGATATTCTCTTACTGAAAGAGTGTATTGAATCTGTTCTTTTGGGTAATTCTTCTCATCCTGGGATGGTATACTAGTGTATAAGTAGTTATCTCTTGCTATACAACATAGTAGTCCTAAACTGTAACAGGTGGAAACACAGTCATTTATCATCTCACAGTTGCTGTGGGTCAGGATTCTGGGTGAAGCCTAATTAAGTGGTTCTGGCTGGTGTCTCTCACGTGGCTACGATCAAAGTGTCTTCTGGGGCTGCAGTTATCACAAGGCATGACTAGGGTTGGATCTGCTCACCTAAGTAGTTGTTGGCAGGCTTCAGAAGCTGTTTCCAAACTTATTCCTGCAGAGGACCACCTCACCTCATAGCGTTGGTGAGAGACAACATCCATGGCAGAACTACAGTCTTTTTATAATCAGAAGTGACTTACCATCACTTCTGCTGTGTTCTGCTTCTTAGATGCAAATAAATAAGCCCTGCCCACACTCAAGGGAAGAGGGTGACCCAGGGGTGGGACTACCAGGAGGTGGAAGTCATCAGGGCCATCTTGGAGGCGGCCTGCCACGGCCCTTGTGTGGTGGAGTGGAGTGGGGGTGGATTGACTCCCCAAGTCTGGTTTTGTAATTGGAGCTGTAGTTAGTTATTTTCAGTATTCTCAGGTGACAGTAGCATTTTGAACTTGTTGGAGCCTGGGCTAAAGCCTTGTGCTCTACTTTGCAGTTCTGATGTGATGAAGATGCATAACTATTGTTCAGCACCCTTGGCTGGACTGTGGAGGTGGTCATGTAGAACCTGAAGCCTGCTTTAGTGGTTTTTGAAGTGGTGTCAGAGGGAATAAAATGAAAACACCCTCAATGTAGCTTTTGTTTTTATAAGAATGTAATTGTACCTTTTTATGGTATAATTATGTTTTTAAAAATTTTGCAAGGGGCTTGATAACTTGTAAGAACAACACTTTCTGGGCTATAATTTAGGCTTCTCGGAGATCCCACGTACGTGGTGTTTGGAGAGGGTTGTAGGTATCATTCTTTGGTCAGATAAATAATATCATGATTGTTCAGTTCCTCTAAGGAAGATTTTTTAGGCATTTAAGAAATTACTGTTTTTTAAATTCTGAGTAGTCTGCTGACTTGTGTGGTATCATGTTATCTGTTAAAAGAGAACAAATTGACTTAAAATTAAATTTTATTAAACTAAAATAAATGTAGATTTTGTTGTATTTCTCTGTCCGTTTTCAAAACCAAAATTCCCTTTTGCAGAAAAGTAGCTCGGCAGAGAAGGAACAACAAAACACATGGGACAGGGAGTCAGTGTACCTGTGTTTTAGTCCTGACCTTGCCCTTAAATGTGTGTTTGACTGTGGGATGTTGTTTTACAATTTCTGGCTTCAACCTTCTCATAGAATGTTTTCTTCCAACTATGAAATGCTGCTGACTTTCTACCTCTCTAGGACAGTCTTGGTGGTAACAGTAAGACGGCAATGGTAGCTACCGTGAGTCCGGCAGCTGATAACTATGACGAGACCCTTTCAACTCTGCGGTACGCAGATCGCGCCAAGAACATCGTGAACCACGCTGTGGTGAATGAGGATCCTAATGCACGAATTATCCGGGATCTGAGGGAAGAAGTAGAGAAACTCCGAGAGCAGCTAACCAAAGCAGAGGTATAAGGCACCGCCGAGCAATGCTTTATGGGTCTAGGAAAATCTAGTTAAGCTAGAACTTGAATATTTTTCCCCTTTAGCTGACAGTGATGAGTAATTTACTTAAAATTTTTGAATTTCCTGTAGGAAGAGAAATTTGAGATGAGTAATAAGTAAAGGAAGATAGATTGTCCTGATTGGAATTTAGAGAGTTATTACAGGTATTAAAGGATTGAATGGGAGGAAAGAATAAAGAGAATTTAGAGAACGTTTTATTCCACAGTATAGGCAGCAGACTAGAGAGAAGAGGTGTAATAGAACAAGGGAGAGTAAAAGAGACATTTGAAAAGATGTATATAATTTATTTTTAGTGTGTAGAAAATGGTAGAGAGTGGGCACAGGCTACTTGGAAGAAGAATTAAATAGATTTTTGTATAATTTGCTTAGTGGTTGGAGTCAGAATGGAAGTGTTAAGGAGGACTTGCACACCTTAATCTAGTTGTGCATGTTGTGGCTCAATTTGGTTTGTAGAAAATACATTTTATACCAGCAGTGCCCATCTATTTAGTGGGATTCGCTTTCCACTATTCTTTGAACATTCTATTGTGGTATTTATGTTCCATTACTGAGTTTGAAACCTACACAGTTCTCACCTGCAACTGGATGCTCATCCTCTTGTCAAAAGAGGAATAAAATAGCAGCAGCATGATTCCTGCTTTCATTAGCCTTTCTGTTCCCACGGTTTGCCAGCACTGCGGGACCCTTTCCTGGGACTGGGACTGCAGTCCTTTGTTTGTCGAACCACGTTTTCTGGTCATCTGTTGGTAAAATACATGGTCCAAACAGTGATCCCAGTCATTTTTTGCCTGTTGAATTTTATCCTGTTTTTATAGTGATAATTTTCAAGTTCATCAGGAGACTTTGAAATTTTGTTTCTGTGTTCCTGATATTAATAACCCCAGCTAGTTTGCAACTCGTACAAATTTAGTCTAGGTACTTGAATTAATACCTGAAGTCATCAGTAAAGACTAGGGTGAATCACGTATGACTTTAGATATATGACTGATTGGGACTTAAAAAATAAGCCCTTCGTAATTTGAACTGTCAAAATGAAAAAGTTGTCTTCCTTTCAGACGCATCTTGGATGGCTGGGTTTGTTCATGGGACCCACACAGTGGGGTCACTGTGGGTCAGCGACAGTCATTTATGACTTAGGAAGATCAGAGACCTGAGTGAGAGGACATAGATTGTTATTTTTGTTTTTCTGGATTTATCTAATTCTTTCTTCAGTGTATTGTATGGACAGTTCATGAAATAAACATTTTGCTTATAGGCAATGAAATCTCCAGAGCTAAAAGAGCGGCTGGAAGAATCAGAGAAGCTAATCCAGGAAATGACCGTGACCTGGGAGGAGAAATTAAGGACTACGGAGGAGATTGCCCAGGTTCGTGGTTCTCGACCTAGAGAGAAACCGCATGGCAGTTTGTGTGTGGCAGTTCAGGTGGTGCTTCTGGTTCTTGTTAGTTTTTGCTTTGAAGATGGCAAATCCAGCACCACTAATCAGAATCTAGAGCTAAGAGTTTATACTTTACAAAGTTTATGTGAAGGATAAAAAAAGACATAATTACAATTAATTATTCATTATGTAATAAATAATTTTTAGGGCCATGAGAAAGGTTTTTAATGAAATAGCTACTTTGTAGTCCCTGGCTCTGAACATCCAGTTCTATTAAGGATTTTGTACACCTGAGGAAACGCACCCAGACCACAAAATTATTACTACTAGGTATTAGGCTATGAGATGTATGTTTCCCCGTGACAACTCAGTAAAAGTAATACGAAATTCCTAAATCTGCGGTAACTGTCTCTCGTTTTTTAAATGTTAATATAAGGAGAGTTGTGAGATGTTGGGGTGGGCACATTAATGTTTGGAGAGAATCCTGTGACCTCCAACTAGGTCACACAGGACTTCCACTGTGGCTTTCCTGTCAGATGCTTCATGCAGCCTCTGCTTTCGACCTGTGTGTGCTGCTGCGCAGCCCAGTGCCCCTTCAAGCAGTCTAGTCTGTGGTCGCTCAGCTCTAACTGTAGCTATTTAATACAAGTCTTTTATTCTTTTATTTCTGCTCATTGGCCTTAGTTTGTTCTTCCAAATAATAACAGCCAATATTTATTGCTTACACGCGTGAGTTGGGGCCTAGGCTGAGCACTTTTAAATGCAGTAAAAAAAGTGCCTCAAGAGGAAGAAAGGCTCATGTCCTTATGAAAATAGTACTTGAATGCATATGTAAGTTTTGTTTTGATAAATTTATAAGACCAACGTTTTGAGTGCTCACTCTGTGTTATGCATTGTACTTCAAAGCCACAGTAGATAGATGGGATTCATGTCCGCATAGAGAAATGGGCAAGTTAACTATTACCAAGTGTGAGAACAAGTATGCTCCAGCTAGAAAATACAGGTGTACAGCCTCTTAAGCTAAAGAGAACATTCTCGACTCTTTCAGGGACCTGGACGATGTCCCATACGACTGTAGCACAGGTTTTGCAAGCAGGAATGACATGATGTGCAGATGGGAATAAATTAAGTGGGTCAGAGTGAAGGGCCTGGTGCACTCTGTTGAGGGAATTGGGCTTTCATCCTGGCGGGGGAGTCACCGAGATACCAAACAGGAGAGTGTATTGAGAACTTGGCTCTTCAGAAACATTACAGTAGAGTAAAACAAGTGTACATTTGTTCACAAGTACAGAATTAAATGATTGAAAGATGAATTCAAGATGTTAGATATTTTCAAGAATGGAAATTGAGGGCTCAGTAGTATACTTGGTAGTTATTTGTAATGGCATTATTTTTCAAAATGGAAAAGTATTCATCAACAAAATAACATTATATAGTTTGGAAAGAAAAAGGTAATAATCTATAATACTGTAATGTAACATATTTACTAACATATTTGAATTATGAACTTATTCAATAATTACTCTAACATAAGACCTTTCATATTTCCTTATGTCGATAGCTGTGGAGTTAATACTTCTCTGATGCATTTACAGGAGCGACAGAAACAACTGGAGAGCCTCGGAATATCTCTTCAATCTTCTGGAATTAAAGTTGGGGATGATAAGTGTTTCCTTGTTAATCTGAATGCTGATCCTGCTTTGAATGAACTTCTAGTTTACTATTTAAAGGTGAAGTAATAGGCTTTGCTGTATTTCCTGCCATGAAATAGAACAGTGTTTCACAGCATTTTTTTTAGAACTTGGAGAACCACACTTATTCAAAATAATGAATTAGCCAATTGTTTTTCTTTGAATAAGCTTAAGTATAGAAAAATCTTGAGTTTCTGGAATAGTTTTTCTTTTTAGTTTTTGAGTGATGTCGTTCAAGCTTATAATATAAAAAATGATATTCTGACTTATTTCTAACAAATTAAGTAGCTTAACTACTATTGTTTAATGTAATTTATATCAGGGACTTAAGCAGATAACTTTAAAGCTTAAGGAATGACTTTTAAAACTGACTCATTAGTAGACTAAAGCTTTTATGGTTTATATGAAACCTGCCTTTTTGTGTATGGTTTGTTGGCTCCTAAGAGGAAATGTTTAAAGACAGTCATTTGTATAACCACTTGATGTGAAATTTGTATTTCCACTAACTCCTAGGAAAATTTAAAAATTTGGATTATCAAATTATAAAAAAAGAATGGGCCCTGGCTGGTGTCACTCAATGGATCAAGTGCCCAAAGGGTCATAGGTTCGATTCCCAGTCAGGGCACATGCCTGGGTTACAGGCCAGTTCTCAGTGGGGGGCACACAAGAAGCAACCACATGTTGTTGTTTCCCTCTCTTTCTCCCTCCCTATTTATCCCTCAAAAAATAAATAAATAAATAAATAAATAAATAAATAAATAAAATTTAAAAATAAAAGAGGATCTTTTTAAAAAAATTTTTTAAATATTGGGAGGGTCAGAGTGTGGAAAAGGAGAACAACAAATAATGGTAGACACTGAAAGCTATAACTAGTAGGTTATAGGAAGACAAGAGAAAAATTCATAAATCCCGAGACTACCTAAATTTATGAGATGCTACCCAAAACTTTTTACTAAGCTCAGAGCATAAATTAATTATATAATGGACTATATGATTTTAATGGGAGGTTAATAAATGTTAGGAGAAGAATTTTCTCCCTCATACTACATGTGGGTTTAACTAAGGTGACTAGGAAAGTAAAGATAATGAGCTGGTAAAGTTGGAAACGGCTTTAAAATGAGAGAATTGTGTGGTTTCATTTCTAAAGAGATTAAAGAATTCATGACTCATTGGCTAGTTTCCCAGTTTTTGTCAAAGTTATCCAGCATAATTGCTTGGTGTAATTTTTAATAGCATGTTTTCTTACTCTGTGAGTTAAATTGTGTCTTTGATACTTACAGTTGTGTGCATTCTCAGGTACTGAGAGTAGGAGGGAGTTGCCCTGTGTTTCTAGTCCATATCACTGTGTAACAGATGTTCAGTCTCAAGTCCAATCTCAAGTCCTTTGCTCTCCTCTGCAGATGCTTCCTCTATAAATGGGAGTTTTCTCTGGCTACCTCACAGAGTTCCGGTTAGGATTAAATGAGATTGTACATATAGAAGCACTGTATAAACCAAAGCACTGTACAAATATAAAATATTCCACATATCATACTCATATTTGATATTCTCTGTGGTACCTTATGTGCATTATTCTTATCTGTTGAAAAAATATATATTGCATATTTTATCACATTACTTATGTGCTTCTAGACAATGTTGCTAGCATTTTCTGTTAGAAATTTAGCTGCAGATATTTACATGGTTTAGGAGAGGTGCAGTGTTAGAATAGGACTTAAATATCCTGCCCTTTTTGTTTCTCAGAACTATGAATTCTTTCTCTTTCCGATGTGGCAAATTTCAAATTGGAACACACAAACACAGACACCCAACAAGAGAAAATCTGATTCATATCTGTTCCTTAACTAAAAAGTTAAACAAAGACACTATTTAAAGACTTTTGGAGGGGAGTCAAAATATTTCTGGTCATATTGTGTGGAGGTGTCAGGCTTCTGTTTCAGACTGTGTGGTCAGCCCTGCTCTGGCCGAATTTGAGGCAGTGTTGGTTTCTTCACTGTCCCAGCTAACCCCAGGACAAGAGTGTATTCATGACCAAGCACATTCAGAAGGATGATCTCAGTGCAACAACAGCTCTTGCTTCAGTAAAGCTGTATCATGATGTGGGATGAGGAATTCGGAGGCTGAGCATTTTGGTTTTTTTGCTTTCAAATTTTTAAGTCAGTTGAGATGCTGGACAGATGACTTCACATCTCTGGGTGACTTTTGGCAATCCATTTGTAAAGTGAGAGCGCTGGATTAAAATATCTCTGATGTTCTTTCTAGTTCCAAGTTGTATGCAAGTTGGATTCATCCAGAACAGAATCCTCCATTTATTTGTTCTGTCTAGAACTGGCAGCAGTAAGGTTTGGTGGCCAAACCATAGATAGAACATAAGTCACAAGATAATTTTGGAATTTATTTGCATTATAGGCAGTCCTTGCTTTGCATAGTTCTAATATACACAAATTCTAGTTCCAGGAGTTAGTAAATAATGTTGATACTGCTGCCAGTAGCGAGATTCTAGCTGCATAGCCAGAGGAGCGCAGTGAAGGTGAACTTATTGAGGTAAACAATGAAAGTGGTTGTGATGATAAAAATAAGGATGTCTCAAGACAACACTCAGATAAGGAGCTCCTGCAGATATTTTGCAACACTAAAAGCACAAAGGACAAAGTGATAGAAGCTTAGAAAGGAGTACGACAGTGTGCCAAGGCTTGGGAAATAATCTCATTCCCTATTTTACTGTGTGTGCAGAAGATGGCCAGCACTGTTCAGACAACTCTGGATAAACTTTAACAAAGAAATTAGATGCTTTAAATGTCAGTGTTTCTAATGTCCTAAATTATAGCATACTAAATAAACATGCTTAACTGTTTTTCATCTCCCTCTACATTATAACAATAAGAGAATCCTTAATGTTTTCACAGACACTTTTAAAGGTCACAAAATAATCGCAGGTTTTCCCATTGCTTATTAAGATCTCCTTGCACAATTATTTTTATGGTCCTGCCCTCTCTGGTGCAAAGCAAGTCTGCCTGGAGCTGTGAGGTGAATGTGGAGGTTAATCCCAGTGGGAGCCAAGCTTCCAGAGGGAAGAGCTGCTCCCTTTACCTTAAAAATACTGTGGTAGTGAAGCACTTTTTTTCCTAAAAAGTTCTATGAAAACATATTAGAAAAAAGAACGGGGTGGGAAGTTAGCATCCAAATTCAAACACACAGAGATGATCACAGTTAATATTTGGTATTTTACTGATTAGTTACTCCTAAGCTTATGATTGCCTGTACCTTCACAGAATTTATTTACTGATTAGTTACTGATAAACCTCCATAATGTTTTTTCCTCTTCATTATTTTTATTGCAGTGTTGAGAACACTATAGGAACCATCAAAAAGCTTATTGTTTAACTTGTTTAAATATCAAGGAGTAAGGCCTTGGCAGAGTTGAGCTTTTAGAACCTCATATTTGAAATTCCAGCAAATCATTATCCAGATTAGGATAGATTATAGCCTTACATGAGAGGTTTAAGTCATCATATATAGTGTGAGCTCTGTAACTAGGATCTTGTCTGTCTTTTGTCTGTCCTGGCTCAGTGCTTAGCTCAGAATAGGTGCTCAGTATATTTGTTGAAAAATAGAATTTTTTCTTCTAGAATTTGAATTAGACAATAATGTATTTGAGTTACTATCTTAGCTCTGATAATTTTTAATTCAGTCTACCAGCAGATATTTAGCGTCCACTGTGTGCTGTGTACGGCACTCACTGTCGGAGAAGATGAGAGCGTCCCCATAGGCTGCCGTCTGAAAACACTACTGCAGTAGGTAGTGTTGACCTGAGAAACCTCCAGACTGGAGAGGATTTTGATGAGTTTGTTTGAGCCAAGGGATGACATGCCTGGAGGCAAGATCTCCAGGGCTCCCCAGAATGACAGTTTTGAAATTTCTTTTATACTTTGGAATGAAGAAAACGTGAAGGTGGGAGAAGGCAAGGTACTGGATAGTTAAGATTACTCGCGCCCTCTGAAAGATCTGAAAAAAGGATTTCTCTGGCATTTCAAAGGTGTGTTAATGTAGATGCACAAAAACAATGGGCAGGGCTTGCTTTGGGGCAAAGGTAATAAGCCTTTTTTATAGACCTGGAGTGACTACCCTCCATGACCTGCCCAGCTAGGAATTCTGTGATCAGACCAGCTTGTGAGGTTACTTTTGGTCAGGTTTGTTGAAGAACCATGTTTTCATCCACAGTAGTAAACTGAGGAGGTACTAGTGTTGTCAGGGCCCAGAGGAGAGAGGGTCAGTGTTGGCTGACAGCGAACCTTCAAGGAGGAGATGAATTTAGAAGTGCAGGGTCCGGTACAAATAATGCCCTTATTTCATTCTAAATCTTTTATTACAAAATTATAAGCATGTAATTCTGTAACAACAATGTCACGCTCAAGCACACCATATGACATTTTAGGTGAAATGTTCAAATTAAAACTATAAATTATTATGCCCATATTATTACCCTACTAGTCACACTCAAGCAGGCCTTACTTCTGCCAGACTCTGTAGTGTTGAAAGATATTTCATATTTAGATAAGGGAGAAGAGCATTTCATACAAAGCAAACAGGAATAAGGGCAAAGACTGGGAATGAACCTGTCTGCAATCTTGGGGTGGCGTTATTAGGAGTTGGTTCTACATTCAAGCTCCAATCTAGGCTATAGTTCAAGGCTATTCTCCTCTTTTACCCTCAGGACAAAAAAGGATTCCAAAGGTACAGCTAGAAATTCTACTAGAATTTCTCAGGGGAGGGGGAAAGTGATTATATGTAGAAATGGCCTCAGGCAAGTGCAGTGGGGCTCTTTCCTGTTTTTAGGTGGTCTTGGGCCCTTTTTCTCTTTGGATTCTTTTTTCTTTTTCATTTTTTTAAGGGAAGAGGGAACCCAAGTGGGGAATGGAGATAGGCATGGAATAGATTCTGTTACTGAATGTCACAAAAGCATTACTTGTAGTTTAAACCGGGTCAAGCCCTGTTCTCCAGGTTAGGGAGGAATGCGATTGGCCAGGAAGCTTCAGCTAATAGTGAGCAGTAGACATTTGCCTGGAATGTCCTCTGTATTACATACATACCCTGAGGATCGAACAGGATATCACAGGGTGCTTCCGGATCCCACCTCTTTGTTTCCTTGGAAACACCACTGCAGTGTTGCTGAGAGAAGAAACCCCCAGAAAGGGGGAAGTGAAAATACTAGCGGGGAAGAGGCCTTGTTATGAGATAGAGATGCCAGATGAGATGGGAAGAATTGGAACGCAGAGTAAAGTTAGATGTATTACCTGTAAAGAAGAGGAGAGAATCATCTTCCTTTGAGTCTGAAAAGAAAGCTAAGGGAAATGATGGTTCATTTATTTTTCTTTTATATTTTTTAATGCCTGTAAGTGCTGAGCCTGTATTAGTGGGGGTGGGTATGACTGTTCTGTCTTCTCTCGAGTTTCCATGTTAGCTGTGGAGATGGCAGAGCTATGTCATTTCTGACACAGTCAGAGCTACATCGGGAATTCAAATAGGAAAGTGATGGGGTGGCAATTTCTGGTTGTCAGTTTAGGATATGCCTCTCTGAGGGTGTACCTGTAAAAACAGAGATGGAATTGGTAAGACACCACCAGGGTCAAGATCAGGAGAAGAACATTTCAGACAGAAGAACCAGCCAGTGTACTCAAAGAACAGGTAAAAGGCCAATGTGGCTGGGTATTGCTCCAGGAGAGGGAGGGGTGGGAGTGCACAGATTAGAGTGTTTTGTAAACCTGGTAAGAATTTGGACTTCATTAGACCTTCAAAGGGAAGTCATAGACAGAGGATTTTACATAGGGGATCACATGATCAGCTGTTATGATGGGAGTAGATGGGACTGGAGGGGGTGGAAGTGAAAGAATAGTGGGCAGCTCCCATGTTCACCCAGGCAAGAGACTGGGATGTGTGATGGTAGAAGTGGGGAAAAATGAGCTGATCCCTTACATGTTTTGGAGAGGAGAGTCTGTAAGGATTTTCCTGATTGACCTGGGGCTGAGGGAGGCTCCTCAGGGGTAGAGAGGACTTGAAGACAGCACTTAAGCTTTTTAGTTGACTAACTAGCTGGTGGCAGTGCCGTTATTGCTGGGGACAGAGTCATTGGGTCAGTGGTGGGGCTTTGGGGGTGAGCAGCAGTTCTGCTCTGGCCTTTTCACTTTGAAATATCTTTAGACATCCAAGTTGTTCCTGGTAGGCAAGAAATAATGGTGATTGAGACTAGGGTAGTGGAAGTAGAGGTAGGAAAATAATGCAACCAAAGTCTGTCGTTCGTGGTTGGTGATTTAATTGACATGTAGGCAGTATTTAAAGCTCAGGGGACTGGATGAGATCACTGTGGTCAGGAGTCTGCAGCCTAGTCCAAATCTGGCTTCCTGCTAGTTTTTATATGTCCCAGCAGCCATGAATGGTTTTTACATTGTTTAAGTGGTTGAAAAAAATCAAATGAATCTTAATATTTCGAGCACATGAACATGATATGAAGTACAAATTTAAGTGCTCATAAATCAGGTTTTATTGGAAAGTAGCCACTCTTACTGATTTGTGTATTGTCTGGCTGCTTTCACACTATAAGAACAGAGCTGAGTATTACGTGTGACTCACAAAGCCTAAAGTATTTCATGTCTGACCCCTGACCTCACTGTGTAGAAAGAGAAGGTGCCCTAGGACACATCCAGGTCATGTCAACACTTAATCATGACAGGCGGTCAAATGTTGAAGCTCAGAAGAGGGAGCTTGATTTTTACATCAGTTTTCTCAGCAACCTGCCAAAAAGTAATGCTGGTGATGGAGGTGCATAGAATTGAGTGAGTGGGTGGGTGGTTTATAGTAACAAGAACACATCTATTGTATCTTTTCTGAGGTTTAGGGAGACCATATGATTCACAAAATAATTATAGTCTTTTCAAATTCTTTGTGTTTGAATAATGTTTTATATTTGTATTTCATTTACCTTGATTGAGACACCAGGTAAGTGATGTGCAGCATTAGCAACTGCACTTTTCAGACTGATATCTTTGATCTGTCATTGACACATGGCTCATGGCCCTGAGAGTGGTATAAAGTACTTGGAATCAAGATTGCAATGGAAAATAATGATTATAGTATAGACATTACAATAGAACTAGTTTTTTGGTTTAAAGGGTGTAACTCGACTTGGTACATTATTCCTTAAAGGATGTAGAATTTGTAGAATGAGTTTCAGAGAAAGCCAGAAAGTCCCCATGCTGTTCCGTGCACTTTAAAAATCTCTTGGCTAAGGTAATGGATCAGTGTAATAGGGCTCAGAGCAGATGATTTCACTTTGCATACATGTTATAATACAGTATTAACCAGTGAATCTGATTCCTTTGTAGGATCATACATTGATAGGTTCAGCAAATTCCCAAGATATCCAGCTATGTGGAATGGGAATTCTTCCTGAACACTGTATTATAGACATCATGCCAGAAGGCCAGGTTATACTGACTCCTCAAAAGAACACCAGGTAATGTACTTTAATTAGTGTTACAATAATTTTTAAGAGCAAAAAAAGTATACCAGTTGCAGATGGTATACAGGACATTTGACCTTAGTTTGCTTTTTAAAAATGTTTTATTTATTGATTTTTTTAGAGAGAGAGAGAGAGAGAGAAACATCGATTTGTTCCACTTATTTATGCATTTGTTGGTTGATTCTTGTATGTGCCCTGACCAGGGATTGAACCCACAGTCTTGGCATGTTGGGATGACATTTTAACAACTGAGCTCCCTGGCCGGGGCTTGGTTTGCTTTTAAGTTCACTTAATGAGGGTAGCCAGTTGGTTAGTTTCCTGTTAACTTTTTAGTATCTCTTAAACCCATGTCTTCCTTTCTGTACCCACTGCCACAGCCTTATTTAAGTAAGGCCCTCATCAGATCCTCATCAGATGAGTGCAGCTGGACCCCCTGCCAGCACCCTCGACTTTTTCTTGTGTTACACACCGTACAGCCACGTGGCTTTCTACTGTTTTCAATACAAAATTTCTTACATCCCTCCTGTTTTTCTCCTGTATCTCTGCCTCTGCCATTTCTTTAGCCAACTAACTCCTCTCTGACCTCCAAGGGTTACCTCTGTCATGCTCTGTTTTGGGGATTCCCTGTTTGGTCTAAATTAAGGGGCCCCCACTACATATTCCCAGTGCACCTTATGCTTCCTGTTAGGTTAACACTGTATTGTATTCTTATGGGCTATTGATCTTTATTACCCCTTGGGACTGTTAGCTCCTTGAGGATGAGGACCTTTTTTATTTTTGCATTCTCTATCTTTAGCACTTAGTCTAAGACTAGTGTATATGTAAGTGCTCAGTAAGTAGTGAATGAGCAAAGAGGCATAATGTGATTTAATTAAATATTTGTTAATTCGTTTTCTTAAGCTATAAAACTGTTACTGCCCTGTTGGATAACTGTCTAAACTTACGGGTGATGGTTAACTGAATTACATTGATCTTCTGAATGTTGATCCATTTCATGATTAATATTAAAAAATCATTAACATCATCACTAATTTCATCTCCAAAGTTTAGACATTGGGAAGTTATCAAGCTCCCGGTGAAGGATACCACTGAGAAAGAAAAAGAGGGCAGAAGCTGGCCTGGCACTCCCGGCCTGGCCCCCCTAGCTAGGGCATGCTATTTCCTATTAAGTCACCTCACGGAACAGAACTTAGACAAGATTACTCCGAGGGTGTGACTGAGTGAGACAGAGCAGGCCACATGATAACTTTGTTTGAGCAATGAGAAAAATCAAGGTTACTGTGCCAAATACAAAACACCCAATGCTGTTTATTACATACCCCATTGAAGAATTACTCCTGCTTTCTGACAACATCCTGTATAGAGAGGCCCCCACTTCCTTAGACCCTCCTCCAGATCCTCCAGCCGCGGGCCCTTCTCAGCACTTCCGGCTGACAGCCTGCTTCCCCTGACATGCCTTGTCCCTCTGCATGAGTGATCCACCCAGCCCGTTCAACTGCAGGAATGATCCTGTGGTCTTTGGTTTGAGGATATTGACACAAGTTTCCCAAAACTCTCATTTTCACTTGAAAGCTTGCAATTTGCACTTGGCAACAAGTACTGTCGGTTGTTTTCCTTGAAGTGACAGGCTGGCTTTGTTTATTTTCAAGAAGATGTCTGCCAAAAGACCACTTTGTGTATGTCTCGTATTCAAGACAGTCACCATACTTTGGCATGTATCGACACAGTGCTTTTTTGTGCACTTCTCATTTTGTCACCTGAAATGCATGCAAGGTTGTGCACTCAAGGATGAAGATGTGATACAGATTAGGGTTGTTACTGCTCTATCAAGGACATTTGCAGTCAGAACTCGTTTTCGATTGTGTGGGTGTGGCGGTGAATGAGCCTGTGACTGCTGGTGGTATTTTGGCGCCACTGCCTTGGTTTGTGCTGAAACACCAACAGTTTTGCTCATTGTCAGTACAAATGTCAACGCAGTGAAAAAGGGCAGGTTAGTAACCCTTATAAAAATAGCTTTGTTCTCTGGGGACCTGTGCTGAATGTGCTTTGAGAACTATTATATTCATGCTTTCATTTACTAATCATGGCTTAACTGCTGTAGCTTTTTAAAATAAGGCTATGTATGTGTTTGCCTTGAATTAAATTTCTCATTGGATTTAGGGAATCTGGATCATAAAGGCTAAAATCTGCTGATTTTAGTAGGTCCCTTCTTGTCATGACTGTGTTTTCTGAGCTTGTACCTTGAATAATCCCATAGGAGTATAAAGACCAGTTACTTACCTGGTGGTGGTATAAAAAAACCACCAGGTAAGTGATATCTAGACAAAGAGTAAGACTTTGTGTGTATGCACATATAAAAAAATAACTGACAGTACAGTGCCGGGAAAGTGCTTTAGGAACTTAAGGAAACTAAGACACTAGGCTGTAGTGATGAGCAGCCTCTTACAGGAAGTAGAAATCAAACTGGGCCTTGAGAGCTGAGCGGGACCTGGGGGACTGGAGAGGAATGGGAGCCCTATCTCAGTTTGTAGGACTGCTGCGAAGCTGGCTTTGGAGGAAGAGTCAGCCATGTTTAGTGGACAGAACATAAAGTTTGTTTTTGTTTGTTTGTTTTTGCTGAAGTTGAGAGTTCAGTGGGAGAGGGAAAGGAGGAAATGAAGAAGACTTCCTTTTTTTGTAAAAGGCAAAAGAGTTGTATGATTTGAAGAGAAACCAGAGTATGGAGCTTCCTTTTTTGGACCTTTAATGTCAAGTTAAAGAACTTGACCTTTATCCTGTATCTAAGCAAATGAGTTATTCAGCAGGAGAGAGGTGTAATGACACTGGTATTCTAGGAATATCAATATTATAGCGGTAAGAATAATTTTCTGTTTACTTCCTGCCCTCTCCCAATTCTTCATTTAACATTTTTCTACCCACCATTTCTTCTGTTGAACTCCATTGTCAAGATAAGCAGTCAAGTCAGCCTGACAAATCTGTGTACTGACAATGTATGGACGTTTTACTATGGCCAGTGGCAGAAAAATTGGACATTGGCCTCATTTCCTATTACTGATATCTGTAGATCTGGAGCCCAGTTGGTTGACTGACTCTTTTTATGCATGAGATTGGACGTACTTGTTTTAGTCATAACATATATTGTTACCATCTTTCTGTTATTGGCTCTAATGGTTCCATACTTACTCCTTATTATGTTATATACCAAATTGAGAACTTCGATAAACAGGATAATTATTATACTTAGTACCATAAGCATTTTAGGTAAATTCACAAAGAAGGAGATATGAATAATAAAATTCACCAAGGGCAGGTTTTATCTTGGGGGTTTGAGTATTCTGTTTTTCCTGGTAACTGGATCTCTGTGGAGAATTAAAGGAGACAGCAGGATAATCACTATTTACATGTCAGGCCTCTTCTCCCCACAGGACATTTGTGAATGGCTCTTCAGTGTCCAGCCCTGTGCAGCTGCACCACGGGGACAGGATATTGTGGGGCAACAACCACTTCTTCAGGTATGACATCACTCACGGCTCTTACAGGAGGTTGTTGAAGGCCGTACTCTAAAACAGGAATGTGTATTGAAAATTGAACATAGCTCCACAAATATTCTGCATGTTAATGTATGTATATATTTGCTATGTGCACCATAATTATATACTTATACAAGGTGGGGCAAAAGTAGGTTTACAGTTGTGAGTACACAAAACAGAGTTTATTCCTATATTATTATCTACTCTTTTCCATAAAAACAAGTGTAAACCTGCTTTTGCCCTACCCTGTGTATATGTTTGTTCACTATATGGTTTGAGCCCGAGGGAATGTGAATGATACACTCAGGAAAAATACCGAGTTTCCTGAGACATTTTTCCTTTTTATTTCTCAGTGGAAGATGATTGTTATACCATGTGGTATAAAAATTCATTAAATTTTTTTCTGACATGCTTATCTTTTTATTTGTTTGGGGGTTTTTGTTTTTTGTTTTTTTGAAATAGGAGAAGCAGTGGTTTTAGTTTCCTTATTCATAAAAAAAGGTGTTTTTGTTTTTTTTTTTTTTTGCTGCAAGTAACAGCAAACTTGACCATAGTGACTTAAGTCGATAATTTGTTTCTTTGACAAAATGCAAAATCCAAAGGAAGATGGTTGTTGGCATTGGCTGAGCCCCTCAAAACTGTCATGGCAGAAGTCTTGTCATTGTCGTGATGTTTCCCTGTGGTCTAAAGAAGGCCACAGTGCTCCGGAAGTCTTGTCCACGTCCCCTGCAGCCTTCCACTTTGGTCTCATTTGCTGGAATTTGCTGCCTGGCTGAGAGGGAGGCTGAGAAAGAAAGAATCAGTCTGGGACTGCACACATTGCTTCTCATACAAAATTCCTGTTGTGTTATCAAGGAAAGGACGGCTGGGTATTGTATAAAATTAAAATTCTAGTCTGTTTCTCTTCTTGTCACTGTGCTTCAGATATGAAACTGACTTTTCTCAGAACTCTTGGAGATCTTTTGCTTGTAGGCCAGCTGATATTTTGATGACTGAAGAGTTTATTCCTATACTATTATTTATTTATCTCTTCTTCGGTCATCAAAATATCAGCTGGCCTATAAGCAAAAGAGGGTAGAGGGGTACAAAGTGTGTGGGAAATATTTGTATTTTTTTCTTTCTCAAACTGAATCAAGTGTACATGGCTTGGCTTAGTATTCAAGGCCTTCCTAGTTTGGGTTAAGTTGGTCTTTTCAGTATTACCCCTCACAACTTCTGCTGTGCAAATTTTGAGTCCTGTGTTGTTTCATTCGTGACTTTTCCTGGCTTGTAACAGTCATGAGGCCTTGTGTCACACTCTGGGTTGTAACTGTTTGCACTTGCATATGTGTTTTATTTCTACTACTGGAATGTAAACTGATCTAGTAATTGCCTTATATTTACATGATACCCCCTTGGCATCTAGAAAGTGCCAGTATTTAATGAGTGAAATTAATGTGTTATCTTTATTTAAAAAATAATCTTTTTCCCCAAGATTGAATTTACCTAAGAAGAAAAAGAAAGCAGACCGAGAGAATGAGGACCAAGACACCTCCATGAAGAACGATGCCAGTTCTGAGCAGCTGGACGTAGATGGGGACTCCTCCAGCGAGGTGTCCAGTGAGATCAACTTCAACTACGAGTACGCGCAGATGGAGGTTACCATGAAGGCTCTGGCTAATAATGGTGAGACCTGTTGTGCATTTTAGAATCTTTTTAAAATTAAACTTTTTTTTAATGTAAGTGTAGTTGGTATACTACCTTATATCGCTTATATTAGTTTCAGGTGTACAATATAGTGATTCAGCATGTTTATACTTTACAGTATAATCACCCCACTAATTCCAGTAGTCATCTGTCACCTTGCAAACTTATCACAATATTATTAACTCTATTCCCCTTTTCACCCATCCCCTCCACCCTTCCTTCTGGTAACCATCCCTTTGATCTCTGTTTCTTTTAAAGTTGATGGAGAGTTAAAAGTGTCTATGACTGACATGCTTTAAATATTAACAAAAAAAATTCATTAGGTTGTTCTCTGTACTCTATTCTCTTGTGTCTTTGGCTTCAATTTGTTATACTTATAAAAACTTGCCTTCTTTCTACCTTGATATACAAGTCACTGCAAACTTTGTTCTCACTGATAGAATTTCTCAGGTTTAAAACTTGATCATCTGGCCCTGACTGGTATAGCTCAGTGGACTGAGCGCAGGCCTGTGAACCAGACAATCGGGGTTCGATTTCCAGTCAGGGCACATGCCTGGGTTGCAGGCCAGTTCCCAGAAGCGGACACACGAGAGGCAACCATACATTGATATTTCTCTCCCTCTCTCCTTTCCTTCTCCTCTAAAGATAAATAAAATCTAAAAAAAAAATAGAATTATTAAAAAAACTTGATCATCATTGGATCATGATTGCAGTGGATTTCTGGAACATTAACCACATGTTGGGTAATGTGCGGAACACATAATAAACCTGCTTTTTCTGCAAGGGAGATAGTTTGGCACATATCAGACAGAACAGATAAGTAATTGGGAGTAAAGAAAGCTAAATTTATCCCAAACTCTCTTTAAAAATCTTATTTTTATTAGGATGACAACATTGTAGAATAACATTTGAAGTATATCGTGTTGTAGTTTACCTTTTGTTCATTATTTACTTTTTTATAAAAATCTTACTAGATCCAATGCAGTCAATATTGAACAGCCTAGAACAACAGCATGAAGAAGAAAAGCGATCTGCGCTGGAGCGTCAGAGGCTCATGTACGAGCATGAACTGGAGCAGCTACGCAGGAGGCTGTCCCCCGAGAAACAGAACTGCCGTAGCGCAGACCGGTTTTCTTTCCACTCCCCCAGTGCTCAGCAGCGCTTGAGACAGTGGGCTGAAGAGAGGTAGGTGGTGCCTAGGGTCTTTAGTGTATGCATAAGCGGGTGCTCATCACTTTTAACCCACAAGGGTAATAAGATACGGAGTGGAAAAATCTAGACCTTACTTTAGAAAAATTATATTAAAAGGGAGTGGTACAGCTAAGAACCATTTATGGAGAAAATGGAGATTGTCAGTTTATGTTGACTTATTTAAAAGCTGTCCGTGTTCAGTGCTGCCCTGTTTCCAGTTTGTATGGCTTTTGGATTTGAATAAACAAGTATCTGTACTTAGAAGTTATGCTCTATCATTGTATTATACTTTAGGTTCTGAAACTTGGTTAGATGCTTTTTTAAAAAGAAAGAAAGGTGGTTATCTGGATGATTAACTCAGGTAGGCAAAGCATGGTGCTAATGAGATGCAGATTGCAAGTTTGGTCTCTGTACTGCCTAATTAGCATTGCACTAAAATGTCTTATCCATGGTTGCACACTATACTTAACTAAACTCTGGCTCTTCAAAGTTTGGTCTGCCCACAGGCAGCATCCATGTCACCTAGAGATTAATAGAAATACTGCATTTCAGGTCCCACCCCAGTCTACTGAGTCAGAATCTTCAATTTATCAAGTTCCCCAGTTGATTTGTACGCAGAATCCAAGTTTTGAAGCACTTCCCTAATCTAGGGCCCTTTTGTTACAAGAGCATGTGCCAGTGCATATAACGTAGCCCAGATACAAGCGCGTGCACGGGTCAGTGTCGGCGATGCATTCCCTGTGCGCGAAAGACAGTTGTAAAGCTAGGGTGGCAGCTTGGCATTAAGTTGTCATGTACCGTATAATATTCCGATGTGCTGCTTGATGACTATCTCCTCCCTCCCCCCATTTTTTTTTTAAGAGAAACGACACTGAATAACAGTCTGATGAGGCTGAGGGAACAAATTGTTAAAGCCAATCTGTTGGTGAGAGAAGCTAATTTTATTGCAGAAGAACTGGATAAAAGAACAGAGTATAAAGTAACCCTACAGATTCTAGCCTCCAGCCTTGATGCCAACAGCAAGGTGAGCTTGCCGTTAATGGAAAAAACCCAGATGTCACTGGATAAAGCTGCTTCATATTTCACCAGTGTTTATTAAATGCCAGTGGGTTTGGCCTCATCCCCATCTAGACTCTCCACAATCCAGTTCTTTTACACTCGTCCTCCTCTCTCGAGTAGAATGTACTTCCTTTTAATTCTCTGCCTTTGTGCATATATGTCCATCATCCACTGGAAATACCCTCTCCACTCCCCTACCCAGACCTACCAATTTATGTCACTCAACTCTTTTTCTTCAAATCTATTTAAATTATTTCTGAGAAGTCTTTTCTGATGAGGTTTCCCCAAGTGTTTTTCCTTTATTCTGTTACAGCTCTTCAGCCACTGCCTTATTAGGTTATTTTGCTTAAACCATGTTGTTTTCTATTTGCTAATAGATTGCTCTGAAAAACTGTTCATCAGTTATTTTTCATGTGTATTCAAGATTATAAATCTCTCTTGGTATGGTGTTATAAACTTCATAAAATGTAGGGGGAAAGTCCCATCAAAATCTTCTGTCTCTGCCATTCAGGAACAACTCTTTTCTTTCATATTTAGGTTCTTTTCTAACTCTTGATCAGGTGGTTCATACATGAGTTCTGATGAATTAGGTAGAATTTTGTATTCAGGTAAACATTTGAGTGTCTTTGTGGTTTGTTTCTCTTACAGTATTTGACACAGCAAAGCTTTAATGAACCCTTCCTGGGTGGTCAATTCTAATTTGATAAGAGGGACTACCTCTTTTTTTCTCTTATAGCGTCAGAGCATCAAGGTCATTTTTTTGCTTAGTATAAATTTGGCGAATATGATGCCTAATGTTTTTAGTAAGAAAGGTATTATAAATGTGGTGTAATCATTATTTTGTAGAGAATTATCTTTTAACATCTATTCTGTGTGTAGTTGAAAGATTTTACTCACTCAGAACTTTATTTTGCTTGTTGGTATTGTAGGACAAGCCATACGTGCAGGTGGAATTCATGGATAGAAGATACTAGAGGAAAGCCAATTATGGTCAAAAGGTACAGGGCTCAGCTTCTTCTAGAGGACTGAGAAGAGGAAGGTCTTCTTCCATCCTGTAGGATTGAGTTGAAAAAACAGAACTGTGGATAGTTTTTGCCCATTAGCCATGACTGTAGCCCTTTTCTGTGTGTCCTGGCTTGGGCTTTGTTGGAAGTAGCAGCCCTGCCTTCTGGAAGCCAGGTCAACACCTAGAAGTAACTCAAGCCACTTTGAGCATCTCTCTCTTCCCAGACATCTGATAGTGTGTTTATGGGGGCATTTTTTTTTGTTTTGTCTTGCTGGTATAGAGATGACCCATGTTGCTAGAGTTGAAGCAGCCATTATTAACAGAAGGCTGCTAATCCCCTCCATTATTGATTTAATAGATTAGTAGTTTTAGATTTCAGCCAGAGAGAGGAGCTGGACAAGGAAGTATTTCTTGAGGTGGTCTCCTAAACTCAGGCTGGGTTTTGCACATTTGTATCCAACAAACTTTTTTTTTTTTCGTACTTGAAAACTCTTATTTCATGTAATGTACTGTCCATGGTGTAAACACTGTTTTTTCTGGTCCTTACTCTTGTCTTTGTACTCAACTGTGTCTGGTGATTTTTGAGAAGGGGCAGAAATTTCTTCTTCTTTCCTCCCACCCCTAATACCTGTCGTAGTTATGTGCAGGAGGAGCACGTCATGATGCTGCAGCATATTGCTCATTGCTATTTAGCTCCAGTTCCTGTATTGTCCCTCTGAAAGGCTACTACCCACAGATCACTAATGAGATTTTTGTATTTATTCTCTAGGTGGCTGAATATAAGGTAAAGGGGCCATTAGTAAGAGAGTGGTGGTTTTTTATCTTCAGAATTCTAAAGTCTTTGTTGTATTATGTAAATCCTGTTTTTTTTTAATGATCGTAGGCAAGATGTTAAGCATCATTGGCATATTTCATAATTCTATAAGGTTCTAAGTAGGCATTTCAGAACAGTTGATAAATTTATCCAGTAAATCACTTCCAGCCAAGATGAAGGCATAGGTAGACACACTGTGCCTCCTCGCACAACCAAAATTAAGGACAACAAAAATTGAGAAGCAAAAAAAACCCAGATCTGACAGAAACTTGAACTGTAGGGAAGTCCAACAACCATTCGTTCAGACCGGTAAGAGGGGCAGAGTCGGCAGCAAGCAGAGAGGGGTCATGGCAGGAAAAAGCAGTGGTTGGTGGTCCCAGGTACGCAGGTGGCAGCTGGTAGACCCCAGGTGTGGGGTGGCAACGAGAATACTCAGTGAGCCACACAAGGCTGCCGGCTGACTGGACACACATTCGTGCACAGATAAACCAGGCAAAAATGGGGAGCGAGTCAGACCAAGCAACCCAGGGCCCCAGTGACAGGAATTAAAGCCTAAAAGCAGTGATTGAAAACACTTGTGGGAGTTGAGGTGCCAGAAGAGACTCCCAGCTTCACAGGAGAATTTGTTGGAGAGACCCACAGGGTCCTAGAACATACACAAGCTCACCCACCCAGGAACCAGCACCAGAAGGACCCAATTTGCTTGTGGGAAGCAGCAGAAGGGACTAAAATAGGAAAGTGGAGCAAACACCATTGATCCCTCTCTGAACCCGCCCCCACATACAGTGTCACAACCCAGCAACATGGGTTGTCCCGCTCTGGTGAACGCCTAAGGCTCCACTCCTCATACATAACAAGTGCAACCAGACCCCTCTCCCCCAAAAAAGGCTCAAATGGAAGAACAGATCAAAAACCCAGAGCCAATATATCTAAGTGACCAAGAGATAGCCAACCTATCAGATGCACAGTTCAAAGCACTGGTGATCAGGATGCTCACAGAATTGGTTGATTTGGGTCGCAAATTGGATGAAAAAATGAAGGCTACACTAAGTGAAATGAAGGGAAATGCACAGGGATCCAATAGTGATGGGAAAAAAACTGGGACTCAAATCAATGGAGTGAACCAGAAGGAAGAAAAAACAACCAAACAAACAGAAAATAATGAAAAAATAAGATTTCAAAAAAATGAGGAGAGACTTACCAACATCCAGGACATTTTTAAACATTCCAACATCCGAATTATAGGGGTACCAGAAGAAGAAGAGGAAGAGCAACAAGTGGGAAACTTATTTGAACAAATAATAAAGAAGAACTTCCTCAATCTGGCAAAGTCAATAGACTCCCAAGGAGTCCAGGAAGCTCAGAGAGTCCCAAAGAAGGTGGACCCAAGGAGGAACACACCAAGGCACATCATAATTACATTACCCGAGATTAAAATGAAGGAGAGAATTCTAGAAGCAGCAAGAGATAAGGGGACAGTCACCTACAAAGGAGTTCCCATCAGACTGTCAGCAGATTTCTCAAAAGAGACCTTGTAGGCAAGAAGAGGCTGGAAAGAAGTATTCCAAGTCATGAAATCCAAAGACCTACATCCAAGATTGTGCTATCCAGCAAAGCTTTCGTGTAGAATGGAAGGGCAGATAAAGTGCTTACCAGATAAAGTCAAGTTAAAGGAGTTCATCATCACTCAGCTGTTATTATATGAAATGTTAAAGGGACTTATCTAAGAAAAAGAAGATAAAAAATATGAACAGTAAAAAGACAGCAAACCCACAGTTATTAACAACCATACCTAAAACAAAAGCAAACTAGGCAAACAACTAGAACAGGAACAGAACCATAGAAATGGAGATCACATGAAGGGTTAGCAACAGGGGAGTGGGAGGAGGAGAGAGGGGGAAAAGGTACAGAGAATAAGTAGCATAGATGGTAGGTAGAAAATAGACCGGGGGAGGGCAAGCATAGTATGGGAAATGTAGAAGCTAAAGAACTTAAGACAGATGAACATGAACTAAAGGGGGGGATGGTGGGGGAGGGGTGTGCAGTATGGAGGGGAATGAAGGGGGGGAAGTGGGACAACTGTAATAGCATAATCAATAAAATATATTTTAAAATGTATCCAGTAAATCTAAACTGATTAGAAAACTGATAGATACATCTCTCTGCAAGAGATACACAGGGGCATTTTTATTTTCTACTTCGTGTTTTTTAAAAGTTTAAATATTTTTTTTACATAAAAAAACACATTGCTTTTGTATGCTAGAAAACTTCAACAAATGCTATATTTTCAGGCAAAAATTTACATACAGTAACATAAAATTAACCATTTTAAAGTGAACAGTTCAGTGGCATTTGGTGCAACTAGCATGTCCAGTCATATAACGGCCTGAATAAAACAGTGTTGACTTCCTGTTAACCATGGTCTTGTCTTTTGTGTTTTAAATTTAAACTTCTAGCCGATTGCCATGAAAACTTAAATATTGCTTGCTTGGCTATAAAGGCATTATGTTAAGCTTGTGACATTTCTGGGATGCTTGGCAATTAACAGAATAAAGAACGATAGCAGTTCCAGTTTTGGTTGGTGTTAACTGGCGGGTATAGAGTGTTCAGGTTCGACTTCCATGGTGTGTATCTTTGTGTTTTACTTAGTCACTTTTATTGTCTTTGCAGCGAGGCTCTCTTCTTAGTGAACCTGCAATCCAGGTGAGAAGAAAAGGAAAAGGAAAGCAGATTTGGTCTTTGGAAAAATTGGACAACAGGTTGTTGGATATGAGAGACCTTTATCAGGAGTGGAAGGAGTGTGAAGAAGATACCCCAGTAAGTTATTTAAGAAAAATTACATAATGGGTACTTATCAAAGGGACCGAGCATTCTGCAATGAGACTGCCCATTTAGGGAAAATTGCCTTTTTTTCTCCTAAAATAGTAATCCTGTTTCTAGGGTATTTATTTTGATCCTTTAAGTTGTTTAGCTAATCAAGAGTTTTAATAACCTGTTCCTTGTGCATCTTCCTTTTCTAGTCACTGTATATTTTCATGGCAAGATTTTTACATAAAGGAGAAGAAACGATAAAAGTAATAATGTATTCATGGGGATATAAAGTATAGCATACTGTACTATAATCACTATGTATGGTGTCAGATGGGTACCAGACTAATTGGAGTGGTCACTTAGCAAGGTATATAATCACTGTGTTGTACTTCTGAAACCAAAGTAGTATCACATGTGAACTGTAATTGAAAAATAAATTTTTTTAAATTAAAAGAAAGAGCCCTGGCTGGTGTGGCTCAGTGGCTTGAGCATTGGCCTGTGAACCAAAGGGTCACTGGTTCAGTTCCCATTCGGGGCACATACCTGGGTTGTGGCCAGGTCCGCAGTTGGAGCTAGCAAGAGGCGACTACACCTTGATGTTTCTCTCCCTCTGTTTCTCCCTCCCTTCCTTCGTCTCTCTCTAAAAATAAATAAATAAAATATTTTTTTAAATTAAAAGAAATAAAGTAATGACATTATTAGGATTGCTTTCTCATAGTTGAAGAATGCTGACCATATATTCTAAAATAGGAATGAGCAGCTGGGGCACGGAGAGAGGGGGTGAGAGGGAGAGATACAGTGCTATACTTCAGCCATGTTTAATGACTTTATTAGAGTGCATCAGAAAGTGGTTGAGTTCATTTATTTTCATCGATTTTCTGAAGTTGTGCATTCTGAATCTCTTTCAAGGTGATACGGTCTTACTTCAAGCGTGCTGATCCATTCTATGATGAGCAGGAAAACCACAGTCTCATTGGTGTGGCTAACGTCTTCCTGGAGTCCCTCTTCTATCGTGTGAAGTTACAGTATGCTGTTCCTATTGTCAACCAGAAAGGAGAGGTTCGCTTTCTCTTCATGTGTCATGTCCTGCAGGGAAAAGGGTATCGATAATATATCATTGTTACCGTTTTTCATCAGTAATAACAAGTGATAGTTGTATGTGTGAGTAACACCTGTGGTGTGTTTTCATACTGCTTCATGGTGATTATTCCAAGTACTTTGGGGGAAAGTGACTCTTAGAACCTAGACTTTTAAATTCCCATATATCATTAACTTAATCACTTGAGTCTAAAACAGAAGAAAGAAGAAAATGTGGAAAAAGCATCCATTTTCCTCCTTACTGCGGCAGGTGGCAGGTCGGCTGCATGTGGAGGTGATGCGGACCAGTGGTGACATCGTGGAAAGGATCGCTGGCGGGGATGACGCTGCAGACGCCTCTGTAGATAAGGAAGCCCCTGAGAACAAACTGACATGTATGGTAAGTCCCAGTTTCATTTAAAAAACATAGAAGCGAGGTTGATAGGATTGTGGGTTTTTAAATGATGAATGTTGTGTTTTTTTTCAAATTTTGAAAAAAGCTTTCTGAATAAATGTTTAGTGCTTAGTTTTTCATCATATGTTCTGATGTACTTACTGGTTAGCCAAGCACTTCCACTACCTTCCTCTGTGAAGCCTTGGGTAAGTTACCTCTTTCCTCTGGGCCATTCCACTCCAAAATTGTATGAATTTGTGTTTATTGGAATTTCTTTATAGAGAAACCAAGTTTTTTCACACAAATTTCCTCTTTTTCTTGGGCCTCTTGATTCCTGCTGACGCTGGAAATTTATCCCAGCCCTAGTCCTGTTTCTAAGCTCCTGCCGTAAGTCACTCTTTACCCTCTTTTCCCACATGCTTTTTAGTCCTTTTCCCCCGTGTGCCTTTCGCTTTTGCTATTGCCATGCCCTCATTCCAGCCCCCTTTCTTCCTGCTCTTCCCATGCATGCCATTCATGAACTGTGCGTTGAGTCTCATCTGCCAGACACTGTGCCAGGTAACACAATATAAAGATGACTAAGATAGATTCCTGCCTCCAGGAGCGACCTGTGTAGTTCGTGGGTATGTGTAAGGGGGACACATGCTGGACAGAAGACTTCACTATTGTGTAACCCTGGTGCTCTGAGAGAGTAGACGAGATGTTCTGGGACACAAGAGGAGGTAATTCATTAATTCTGATGATAAGGTCCCAGGAAATTTTCTGGATAAATGAGATTCAGAGTGAACTTGAAGGAGAGTGTATTATGTAAAACTGTGCTCCCTAGTCTGCTGTGGTATTTTCAAAGAAAATTGCTAGGCAGATTTTTGGTGGGTCATCACATTTCTGACTCCTGCTCAGTCAGCAGAGGTAGTGCCTCCTGTGTCACTCGTGGCAATGAAAAAAAAAATCCCTCGTACATTTTCAGACACACTCTAGTGGGCCAGCGTGCCATTGGTTGAGAATCACAGAGGAACCAGTTGGAAAGGTTTTTGAGGGAAAGAAATCAACCTAGACTTCCAGCGTGTGAGTGAGGAGGAGACCATGAAAACGCCAAGTAGAGGAGGCCCATGCTGAACTCTTACTTCATCACCCATCCTAGCTCCAGTCCTGTGTCTCAGCAGATATTTCTGGAATGGAAGTTGGTATTGAAAGAACTAAGCAGGATTACCTGCAAGGTATGGGGAAGCTAAGGCTGTTAAAAGCTGGTTTATTTTCTGCAGGTTCTTGCATATATTTAAGGAGTCCTCAGATGTTTAAGTTAGTTACTTCAGTGTGAGGAGGGAAGTCCTTAATTCACTAAAAGGTGAATCTTCATTGTAGTATATTTGATTTCAGAACATGGCCTTGACAGTATGGGATTATCAAAAGTGGAGACATAGTTTTAATGACTCTATATGGCCCACCTTAAAGGTGACGGACAGTAAATGCAACTGTGTGAAAGGTCAGCTGCGTGAGTTCACTATTAGTAAAGTAACATACAAGGATACTATATCACTTGGGAAATTTTTCTTTATCACTGAAAAAAAGTAGTATATCCTGGGTAACAAGTTTTTTAAAAATATAAAGTTAAAAAATCTTAAGATATTTTAAAATGGAAGATGCCAAGCATATAAAAGTAGTGTGTTCTCATTCAGTTGTGAGTCCATGGTCAGTCTAGTCCCATTCATACACCCAAGCCACTTCCGTGCTGAGCCCTGCCCTTGGATTATTTTGAAGCAATCCCAGAAATCATATTTTATCTATAAATAGTTTAGTATCTCAAAAGAAGAACATTTTAAAAAATCCAATAAACCCATGTCATAATAAAAATTTATACTTTCTTAAATATCATGAAGTATCCAGTCATTTTCTTTGATTGTCTTACTTGATGTGTCTATGAGTCTGTTTTAATCTTCAGGCTATCACTTGTGTGTGTTCTCGCTCTGTCTCTCTCTTTTATTCTCTCTTAACCTACAATTTATTTATCATAAAAAGTGGGTTATTGTCTTATATTCTCTCATAGTCTAGATTTACTGATAGGTATTGTTTAACATGTTAAGATGTATTTTCCATACTTAGATAATTGCTACTTAGATACACAGGCGATGTATGGGGAGGGGAGTAGCAAGGATACTTGGTAGGCAGTGGTGTGTTCTTCCATTAGAAAGTACATTATGTTTGGTTCTCTTATGGAGTTGTTAGCAATCGTTGGTGTTTATTATCTAGATATTTCATTAGCCATTAGAAACGATGCTACTATGATTCTGCCTTTCCTTCATTTATTAGCTAGAGTTTTTCTATAGAAAGAATCTTTGTATTATCAACTATATTGCTATCCAGAGATACAGTTTGAATGGTAAATGTTCTTCTCTTCTATTATCTACTAATTTTCAGAATAATGAATTGGTTTTCGTCCTAATATCCAAAAGCAGCTAAGGGGATTTTTTTTGGTTTCAGTCTTAACATCATTATGAACCCTTGGATTTAAACATATTTGATGTGGTTCCCATCCATTGTATTTATTGCCTGTATTGAAATCAAATGATCCATGTTTGGCCTGTGGGGCCTCTTTGGTTGGTTCAGGGGTTCTTTGACAGAACCCTGACCCTCTTCGACTCTGCTAGCTTTCCTGCATTCCAATGTGATGAATTGGTCTCATCAGTGCATTTCCTGTCCTAGACTTGAAATCAGTCATTTTCCAGGGAACCTGATTCCTTTTAGTGAAATGTGGTTTTTAGAGACCGTATCCCGAGCATGTAATACAGCCTTTGGTATAAAAGAAGGAAGACAAATGATATGACTAAAAAAAACATTGTTAGTAAAAATGAAACCAGTCTGGGGACACTTAAGATACATGGGTAATGAGAGTCACTAGCCCATAAAAGAAGTTTGGATTTATTTTTCTGGGATGCAAAAAGGCTTGTGCATATTAACATTGATATTTTAAATTACATTAAATACAAGTAGTGGGTTTTAAAATTCCAGACATCACTGTTTTCTGATGTTCCTGGGCTCTGTTATCTTGAGCAGGGCAAGCTGAGTGAAGTCTGTGGTATTCTGACACCTTGTGGCAATTTTTGGTTTCTGTAGGCAAAAACAAAAAAGCACAAACCCTGCGTTCTAGACATCAGGATATTCCTCATTCCTGTTACCCTTCATTCCTGGCTGTCCCTTTCCTGAGAAGCTGCCTGTAGGGAAGAGCTCAGTATGTGAAATCTTGTTTTCTTGTTTATTTCAACCTTAAAATTGAGATTGATTTCTAAGAAAAAATGGCTTTCAGATGGAATTCAATCACAAGGAGATGCTCAAGGCCTGGTAGTGTTTCATTCATTTCATTTTGTTGGTAATGGTCTTCCTCACACCATTGTCATTGGGTAGCTATCCTGTTTGCCTAGGAGGAAAGCTAAGCCTATGAAAACTAAGATGTTGAGTAATTTGCTCAAAAAACACGCTAATAAGTGACAGATTTTTATTTAGATCTATGTACTCCAAAGTCTTGTAATCTTCCCAAATACCACAGTACCTCACCTTAAAGAATATAATAAGCACTTTCAATACTTAGTGAAAAAGTGATAGTTTTAAAATTTTAACAAAAAATTAAATGCTGAATACAGATCACTGTATTTGGTTTGGATGAATAAAATGTGTTCGTCAATCCATCTTTCACAGTTTGTCAGGGAATTGCTGTCTAGATTTTTCAAACTCTTATTGCCATCATGGGAAAACTTGGATAATAGCAGGAGTTCCCATTCATTGCTTCCCCACTGTGGACCTGGTATAGAAGAAAATAAAGTCATTTGCTTTGTGAGATTTTCTGAGTCATTATTAAGGCTTCCTGAAGTGTTAAGACATTTGTATTTGTGGTTGCTGACCATAATAACTTCTGCCACACACTCAGATCTAGTGTGCATTCTACAAAGTGCAAGGAAGTGACCAGGCAAAGAGTAAACAAATGATCAATGTCCAGTCATATGAAAGTTGGCCTAATCAGTTATGAAATCAGAATTTCATTTAGCTTAATTAATCTTAGAATATAGTTTCCTTCATAGTTCGAGGAGTTTTAAAATATTACAATTTCAAAGTCACAAAAACTTCAGCTTGAAAACTCAATTTGATGCTGCTTGTCAAATGAAATATTTAGAATACTTGGCTACTTTAAAATCTGTTATGGGCATTTCTTTGGAGACATTTGGGTCTGATTAGACATATTTCTAATTGCACATGGTTGTCACAAAATCCTGTACTTCTGTAGTCCAGGGTGCGTGTGTGTGTGTGTATGTGTGTGTTTTTATATATATGTATATTTTTAATTTGTCTCTCCTCCCTAAATGTGCATGGAAAAGGCATTCATTAAATGTTGGTGCAGAGAGAATGGTCAGTGTGTACCATCTTTAATCTCCATCATTCTTTACCCCTCCAAATCTGTAAAGTATACATTCCTAATGCCTTTACAGTTTTCTCCAAAATGCTCTAGTAGCATGTAATATTCAACTTGAGAGACTTGTTTTTTTATACTTTAAAATATCAAATACATTTTTGCCTCTTTCTGAATATTTACCATTTATTGGCACATACACTGATTTTGTTCTTCATTCATCATTCTTCTTGATAATCTTGTGTTTTTATGATATATCCATTAGCCACATTTTCATCATTTAATGGTGTCAGTGTTTGAGAACTATTTTCTTCTGAGTTGATTATTATAAGATGATGATTATGATGGTGTTGATGATGTTATAAGGAACTAGAATTTGTATTTTTCATTAGCCTATAAATGCTTTAAAATGTCCACCTTTGTAGTCAAGGATGTCACCCTATGTCAGCCTCTTGCTAAATAGGACTGCTGTTACCATTCCACAGATGCAGAAATACAGCCCCTGAGTGAATGGGATTTGGCCAACATAAACCAGTAGTTAGTGTGACACAGTCAGGACTGGAGTCCATATGTCTGACTAAAAGTATTTCTTGGAACTTTCTGAGTTAGAAACTAACAGAACCTTCCTTTTCTTTTAGGTTAAAATACTCCAAGCCACTGGGTTGCCACAGCATTTGTCCCACTCTGTATTCTGCAAATACAGCTTCTGGGATCAGCAGGAGCCGGTCATGGTTGAGACCGAAATGGATACCTCGTCCTCTCCTGTTAGCAAGGAACCTCAGTGCATGGTTGTCTTTGATCATTGCCATGTAAGTTTGTTTTCCAGACCTGGCCCCTATTTAATTCACTCAGGCAAAAACAAAACAATAAAGGGAGCCTTATTTTGTTGGATAATTTAGTTCCGATATGTGCTTTGGACCAGCATTTCTTGGGGTTGTACTGTAGTAAAAATCTGAAATGTTCATTATCAATAATATACCTTAAACTTACACAATGTTATATGTCAATTATGTCTCAGTAAAGCTAGTGGGGGTGGGAAAGCACCAAAGTAAAGTGTCAATGCATTTAACTCCTCCACTATCAAAACTTTGTGAAAATATATATACACTCACGTATGTGTATGTATGTGTACATATGTGCGCTCTTCCCCAAAAGGAATTTGTGTTTTGTATTAGATTATTGGAGAAATTGTCATCTAACAAGGTGAAGAAGCTAGTGGTTTGGAGATAGTGAAGACTGAAGAGGACAGGAACTAACTTTATTGAGCACCTGCTGCTCCTCTAGGCCCTCGAATGTCTCTCACTCATCCTTACCACCATTGTGTTTGATCAGTGTGCGTTTTCTCAGCAGAAGCAGCCAGCTTCAGAGAGGTCAATGTGCTGTGCTAATAACTGGCAGAGTCAGGACTGTCGGATTTCGGATGCTTTTTTCTAACTGTGGCACAGTTAAGCTATCTCATTTTTTCAAGAGAGAAGCCTCTTTCTAATTTGTTTAAAACTTAGAAATACCTTTAGTATATTAAAGATCAAGACAGAGAAAGAGATGGAGATTCTATCACTTTAAACTGTTTCAGAGATTAATCTTAACTATTGCAAAATGCTGTCTTAAATCTATCTTGTAAAGATGGACAGGTTGGGAGAATTTTTTTAAATTAGGTGACTTTCTTTTGTACTAATGACCATTATTTATTTCCTTCTTCTCCTATCATTGGAGATAGCATCCCCAAAACTGGGGAAAATTGTTTTTTCAACACACTGCTACCTTACTGCATATAATAACTTCTATATCAAGGCATTATAGACCATTGTTGTAATTCTTAATACAATTGTTTATACTCTTTGAAATGGCTCCCAAAATATTGCCGACCAAATAGAATACAATGCTAGTCTTTCACAATAGATTTTCAAGGTGAAACATCTTCTAAAAATCAGAGCTAAAATTATTTTTAAAGCCTAGAATCTTAGACCACGTGAACATTCATTATGGATGTACTGTAACAGCAGTTCTGGAACTGAAACATTCTTTTTTATTTCTCTTCTCCATGGGGAAGTAAATATATGATGTTGGGTATAAGTAGTCATAAGGTTGCCAGAAAGTGTTTCCTCTTCTGTAATTATTTTCTTTTAGGAGTTTTCTGTTAACATCACTGAAGACTTTATTGAACACCTTTCAGAAGGGGCGTTGGCAATTGAAATATATGGCCATAAAGTGACTGATCCTCGAAGAAACCCAGCGCTGTGGGATTTGGGGATTATCCAAGCAAAAACACGTAGTCTTCGGGACAGGTGACTCTGAGATACCCATCTGATTCCATGTGTAATTTTTACAAAGTGATAGGGATTAGTACTGCCACTAATAAAGGGTTTCCTTCCCTCAGCACTGTCAGTGTTCCAGGAATGGATGGTGGTGTCGCCAGGGTAGTAATAGCACAATTAAACTTCTTCAGAGAAGTGAACTTGGAAGACTGATAGAAGAGTTAAATATATGGGTATTTAAGAATAAAGAGTGAAATAAATTTTTGGGGAATGAATGGCTTATCATTATGAATTACCTGTAATTAATCAACTGTAGAGAAAAGGGACCATGGTGTACTCTAGAATTCAGGCTTACTTGTTCTTCTTCAGCTCAAAGTTCTTTTCAGCTGGTGTCAGTGATGGGAGGGGGCAGGCTCATTTGTTGACCAGGATTTTAAAAAGAAGAGTTAAAAGAAATGACTGAAAGTGCATATACTTGTACTTTTCACCTATTATAAATAAGAACCAGATTTTCTTTTTGTGGCATTTAGAAAGTTTTAGCAAATACTAAATTAGACATGGAGATTTTTTTCCCTGATGCTCTTTGATGTGAGCAAAGATACATGTCAAGTCACTAAAGCACACAGGTCCACCTTTATCTATTTATGAAAAGACAATCGCTGCACTTGCTTCTGTCCAACTGGTGACAGTGCTTAGATTTTTAAATAATCACTTTGAAATAGGCTTGTTATTATCACACATTTTTGAACAAAATAAAGGAACCATTTCAAATTCTAGTGCTCTGCAGAGAAACTCCTCTAGAAATGAACTGTAGAAATGATCCCCGAAAGTGTAGTCTTAGTTCTGATGCTGTTTGTTTAAGTTTGCTTTTAATATATCTGTTAATATGTACTTGCACATTACTCATTGAACTACAGATCATTCTATTGAGTTACTTGTTTTGGAAATCATTATTGTTGTTAATTCTCATGTGTAAGAGCCTAACCTGCTGTATTGACATAGAAATGTATGACTTTCCAAGAATTTCAACTATTTCTTAGATGGAGTGAAGTCACCAGGAAAATGGAATTCTGGGTTCAGATTCTGGAACAGAATGAGAATGGTGAACACTGCCCTGTGGAAGTAATTTCTGCAAAGGACGTGCCCACAGGAGGCATCTTCCAACTCCGGCAGGTAACATTATGAATGTTATTCCGAGTGTTCGCATTAGAGTCTTTGGTGCCATAGAGCTGAATATTAGATTTCTTTTTATAGAAATGTCAGCGATAATTACAGCTAGATGGCCAACTCCATTTCTGGTGTTAAAATAATCTACTTCATGTGTATTTTTTAATTTAAAAATATTTCTATTTATAATATTTTAAAACTAGCTTTTGTTAGGTTTAAGTAAGAAAGAGATAAGCTTTAAAGAACCACTTAAAATTGAATTGTACAAAATAAGGCAAACATGTTAAGCAGTGTTAGAATATTTATAAAGGCAAGGAGAAGCAATGTGACGTGGCAGAAAGAACAAAACTCCAGAGTCTTAACGTGCTAGGGTTCAGCTTTGGGTCTCCCATGGCTTAGCTGAGCATCCATGAGCAAGTCCAGTCACCTCTCAGAACCTTTTCTCAGGTGGAACTTGGAGGTGGTGATAATGCCAACTTTGTAGGACTGGTATGAAGATTGGTGATACTGTCCATGATGTACAGTGCTTGGTACATGGGAGGTGAGAAGTGTTTTTTCCTCCTGGCACCAACCAGTTTTCTGCATACACCAAGTGGTTTCCTGCAATTCAATTCAGTTTGGACCTTAACTGCCAGAGTTAGCTCAGACCCCACAGGTTTAAGGGTACAGACTTAATCACAAAACTACCCTCGTTTCAGGTACCAGCTGCAAGTGTCAGGTTCCCAGGTTACCCATGCTTCTGTTTGATTTGGTTACAAAGTCGAGAGTTCCTACAACTCTCCTCCTTAGGTGTGATAACTTGCTAGAATGACTCACAAAACTTGGGAAAGCCTCTTACATACTGTTACCAGTTGATTATAAAGGATACAGTGCAGGAACAGCCAAATGGAAAAGATGCATGGGTGGGCAAGGTATGGGATGAGCTTCCACGTCCTCTCTGGGTGTGACACCATCCCAGCACTTAGATTTGTTCATCAACCAGGAAGCTCTCCAAACCCCACCTTTGTAAGTTTTTATGGCTGTTCCATTACGTAGGCATAATTGAGGACAGCACTGGCCTTTGACGATACTTGGTCCCCAGCCCCTCTCACTGCTCTTGAGGGGTGAGGTTGACAGCTCCAACTTCTAACCAAGGCTTAGTCTTTCTGATGACCAGCCCCCTCTTGAAGTTATCTGGTGGCCTGCCAAGAGTTGACAAATTAAGTCACTTCATTAAAAGATGGGCCTATAACTGTGAACACTTAGAGTTTTAGGATCTGTCTGCCAGGAACTAAGGACAGAGACCAAGTATCTCTTTATGATACCATAGGAGGTGTTAAGTAAACACGGCCAGGTAGATGTGCGCACCTGCCAGAATCGGTTCAGCAGGAAGGTAGGTAGGAATCACCACTTACCCCAGGCAGGTTGTGATCTCTGGTGCCTGTGCCGCCAGCTGAAGAAAAGAGAGTATCTTCTCTCCGGGAGATCTGGCAATACTCTTTTTTTTTTTGCCATGCTTTACATTAATTCAACATATAGTAGAATATTGCATCCTGTGATAGTTTCCATGCTTTAGAACAATAGTCAAATACTAGAATAGCTGTAGGGAATGAATGTTTAAATCATTTCAAGCAAAATATGAGAAAAGGTTAAAGGAGAAAGGCAGTTTGCTTAAATATTTAAATTCCTGGATGTTTTAGTAGGAGGAAGATGATAAGCACTTATTTTCTGACCCCAGCAAATGAATTTTAGTAAATTAATTCATATATGGTCAAGGAACTAAAAGCAAAAGGAAATTAGTTTAAATTATAGCATGAGTTATGCATATAAAATAGGATTCTTAAGGGTGTGAAGAACATCTTTTTCTGAACGTCTGTTGAAGCTATATATATCTTTTTTAGATGCCTTAGAAATTCATCTCCTGGAAGGCCAGACCAGGTATTTTTGTAGTTTAGTATAAAGGGAATATTTGAGTATTTGTCATAGTTCTGATGACCTTTATTATCAGTATTCAAAGATATTTTGGGTTTATCAGGAAAGACTTTTTTTGAAGGATGTGCATCTTGACCTGGATGCTGAAAGAATCACACAAAGGCAGGAAAGGTGTTTCATATGTAAATGGCAACAATAAAGAATAAACATACAGAGACTGGAATTAGGTAAGTTTAGTTAGAAAGTAAAGTGGAAGAAGCTGGAAAGCAGAGGTTACAGAAGCATGTGGCAGGTAGTTAATTCATGGAGGGCTGTGGGTGATGGGCTTGTTGAATTCAATATATTTTAAAGTTGGAACTACTATTCTTGAACAGGAAAATGGCCAAGGAAAACTGATTAGGTCAACATACGAAATTTCTGTTTGTATATTTAAAAAATAGTCGAATATCAGCAGTTAGAAGTTCAATGTAATAGTTTACGCATACTTTTTCTTTGGAACATGTAGCCATTCTTTTCCCTCCTTTTTCCCCCTCTCTTTATCTTGATTTCTCCTCAAAGTATGGAAGTATGTTCTTTCCATACTTTGGGCACCTTTCACATTTGGGCACACATGTAAAGTGACTACTGTCAACCTGGCTGGGATGCTTAGTTGGTCAGAGCATCAGCCCGATTGAACACAGGGCACATACAAGAATCAGCCAGTGAAATACATAAGTGGAACAACAAAAACTGATGTTTCTCTTTCTCTCTCTCTTATTCTGTCTCTCTTCCCCCCTCCTTCTCTTTCTCTCTCTAAAATCAACTTAAAAAAATTAAAAGAGACCACTTTCTCTCTTAGACAAAATAAATAAACAAAAGGTAGGTAATTAAAATGACTGAACTGTTTTAAACAACTAAAATGTTTCCTTAGGTACTCTTTTCACAAAAGATCTGATGCTTAGTCCTTGGAAAAGATTTAATCAGAAGATGGCAGTAACCTGTCTTTTCAAATCTAGTTTGTTAGGTTGGTCAGTGCCTTAGCTGGTTTAGGGAAACAAAATCTGATGGAAGAGGGGAAGAGTAACTGACTTGACATTGTATATTCAAAATCAATTTTTTAAGTTCTATTTTATAATTCTAGAATTTATAAACCAACTTTGAAGTCAACAATTTGGGAATACTGGGAATTTAAACAATGCATTCATTGTAAATATACAGCCACCCAGTATTCTGAAAATATGCTTAAGAAGAGATAGGTTCTCCTTTATCATTCTTCCTTTTGCAGCTTGCTTTAAAATTGTTTTATTTTGGGATTAATGCAGTGGATCCAGGATAGTAGTAATCATTCTTATTTCTACTTTGCTTATTTTTTAAAGTAGGTTCTATTATATATGCTGGTTTGGTAGCCTGCTCTTCTTTAAAAGTCTAGTTAACATCTGTCACCCATACTCTTTAAACTTTAACTGCCTATTTTTCTACAGCCATATTTTAATGACTAACATTTTATTACCTATAGTAAAGTTGTAAGTAGTTATCAATATTGTACAACATTTAATTTCTAACTAGTTTTTTGTTATTCTTCACATTGCTTTGCAATTCTTTATGTACGTTCATGATTATTTACTTAGATGAGATTCCTGGAAAATTGAATTTCGAGATCAAGGAAAACTTACATTTTTAAGGCAAATTGCTCTGCAGAAAGCTTTGCCAACTTATATTCCTGCTAGTAATGTATGTAGTTACTTCAGGCAGTGTTGGAAGTTGCCTTTTTAAAAGATAATAGCAAGCTTAGTGAGCAGAAATAAGTGTGTATCTTGTTTACTTTATTTTGTATTTATTTGATTATTAGTAAGTTGAACATTGTTTATTGACTACCTATTTGCTCTTTAGAATGTTTTCTTTTAATGTTTCTTTTTGTTGAAAAATATGTAAATTATATATTTGGGCTGTGTCTTTCTACATACTTAAAAGATAAATAATTTTTCATGATTAATGTTTCAATTTGTGGTTTACTATTCAACATTTAAAGTACAATGAGATAGTGGCTCCAAGTTCAGTGCTGTTCCCAACATCAGCCTGTAGGGGTCTCTCTATACCAAACTTTTAGGAATTGAAGTGCTTTTAAGAAACTGTTCAAATCGTTGGTGATGCAGGGGCAGTCCCGGCGAGTCCAAGTGGAAGTGAAGACTGTGCAGGAGTCCGGGACATTACCTCTGATGGAAGAATGTATATTGTCTGTTGGAATCGGATGTGTGAAAGTTACAGCACTCAGATCCCTCAAGACACAGGAGACCTTCCATGTAAGTGTCTCTGCCTGTGATGTTCTTGTTGAAAGACCCAACCAGACAAGAGAGCCTCAGAAACCTGCTTTCTGCTGGTAATTCTTTCAGTATTTCTGAGGGAAATACTGTTTCCTTGATGCCTTGTTTTCCTTTGATGCCTTTAAAATTTTTTGTATTGTATCTGAATGGCCTCATTGCACCACACTGTTGGTTTTGCCCAGGTACCTGGCAAACCGAGGGTTAATAAAAACATCTCAGCCTGCAGAAACCAACCTCCCCCATCACCAGCCCTCCACAGAAACCCCCTACTGGCTTGTGAAGACTATTTGCCAGCAGGTGTTTGATTTCCCCTGGGGAGTGGGACTACAAACGCAGCAGGGAAAGTATTGTACTGGTTCCAGAAAAGGTCAAATATGTGTTTTTCACTTTCCCTACGAGAAACTCAAGGTTTTACTCCAACTTCCTGAAAACTGTAAAACCTAGAGCGAGGGTTCACATAGGTGGAAGATGAAGCAGTATATTCATTAAATTGGAAAATATGAAGCATGGGGAAAAATTCAGATTGTTTAGTGTAGACTGATTCTTGGATAATTGTTTTGGTTCTGCATCATGTATTTTTTCTTTTAGGAGGAAGTGGAGGACATGGACAGCTACCAGGTAATGAGGCACCTGTTAGCCTCACCGAAGTGGCCTGATTAAAGTACTGAATTACTCATTCCTGTACTGTCACTTAATGACACAACTCATTTTTATTCAAATATTGCTTTTTCCTCAAATTAAAACAGTGTGGGGAACCATGAGTGTTTAACAGACTAAAGCCATAGGTTAGAAAATCTGTTTAGTGTAGGAAAATTATTCGTGACTGTTATCCTTTTCCAAACCTGGAGTCTCCCCATCCAGGTTTCCTACAGATCTGTCTCTTCAGAGTCTCTCCCTTGCTCTGTCTGTCCGTGGGCGGTGTCACCTACCCCTTTTCCTGTGAGACTGCGTCACACGGGTCTTCAGTCAAGCCTGGTGCCCAGAGGTTTTCCTCATTTTAGGCCAGGGCTTTCTTTCCCACTGCATGGAGTCAAACAGATTGCGTTTTGTTTCTCCTCCTGCCCTCCCCTTTTCCTGATCTCCTGCGGGATTTGGTTTATGTCTGCTAAGTTTTATCGTGTTAGTCTTGTCAGGATGCTCAGAGCTCTTTGGATCCCCATTATGTCATCCAGTGTAGTCACTCTCCTGGTTTTGCATCGTTCTAATTGGATAAAAATGTCTGCCTTCCTATATAAGTCACTGATAAAAATGTTGTGTCAGAGGGGGTTAAATACAAAGTCCTATGGCACAACAACAGAGACTTCTTTTAAGCTGACGTTATTCCATTAATCACCGTTCTTTGGATGTGATATTTCAGTCATTTCTGATTTCATTCAAATAGACTCATTGTACATTTCTCCATCTTGTCCATGAGAATGTCTGGAGCTATTTGGTTAAGTGCCTTAGTGAAATCCAGATACACACCAGTTCCACAGCATTCCACTGATCTACCCAGTCTTATAACTTTGTTACAAAAGGAAATGAGGTAAGATCAGTATGTAGTCAGGTGTTGACTGGTAAAGATGTTTGGCTGTTGGTAATGGCCCCTGTTCCCTCTCCCTTCCTCCCACCGAAACAAGGGAAAGAAGCATTTACAGGTTGTTTATAGAGACTTACGAAACCTGCTGAAGGCCGGAGTGAAGAACTTTGAAGAATTGTAATGATTGTTCTAAGGGGTGTAAATCTGAAGATTATTGAGTAGTATTTGTGGTTTTTATCCAACATAAAGACCTCATAGAAGATCTTAGTTGAAAGTGCCTGGAGTTCTACACATTGAGCCAATAGGAAAAAGACTGGTTCTGGACAACAGAGAACGTCTGATGTCAGAAAGTCTCTCAGAAAGTCTTAGTCTAGAACAACAGTGCTTTAATTTCTGAAAGTTTCTAATCTGAATGATAGTTGGAGTCAACTACTGGTGGTAATAAAGACATTAGTGATGATACTTAACAGTTTCAAAGCACATTAGAGTAATGTAAGATAGAGCGTCAGTTTCAGATACATTGCCTACACTTTGTATATCCTATCCTATCATTTTCCTTGTTTTCTTCCAGGATCGGGATTTAGAGAGACTACGTAGAAAATGGCTAAATGCGTTAACGAAACGTCAGGAGTACTTAGATCAACAACTGCAAAAGCTTGTCAGTAAACATGGTAGGAAAAGCAAGTTAAATACTTCCCTTCCCCTGCATCAAGGCGTAATTAATCCCCATTTGCAACCACATAAATTAGAAGTAGATGAAGACCTCAATTACGGGGATGGCCAGAGCATAAGAATGTTATTTGTGTCATATCCATTCAAAAGAACATTCATCTAATTGTAATGACATCTTTGCATAGGTCTCCCACAGCCCCCAACAAAGAAAGAGAAAATACAGCACACAAAGTGCATATTGTCCTTCAGAAAGAACATTTCTTGATTTATTGTCCAGAAGCACTTGAATCCTCTGACTCTGGAGGAATCATTCATGTGCTTCTCCACGAACTGAGGATGGCCTCCGTAAGAGCACACCAACCTCTCTAGCTTATGGTTTTCTTATCACACAGTTTTTATCATGAATTAGGGAAGTCACAAGTTTCTATGAACCTTCATCAACCAATAATTGAAATGGAAAAGCCTGTCACTATGCAGGACAAAAGTGTAAGCAGCAAGTGAGGTAACCTTATTGGATCCTCATTCCTGATGTTCTAGATAAAACAGAGGATGATGCCGACCGCGAAGCTCAACTGCTAGAGATGAGGCTGACCCTAACTGAAGAAAGGAATGCAGTCATGGTCCCCTCCGCCGGCAGTGGGATTCCAGGGGCTCCAGCAGAATGGTACAGATGCCACTGTGTGTCTCCTAAAGTCCTAAATAAGCCAGCTGCTTTCTATATGATTTTTTGCCTGTGCTTTAATTAATGGAAGACTCATTATAGCATATGGGAAAAAAGTTGTTTGATTAGAGGAAGTGTTAAATTATTTTCATGAGTTGGAATAATGATAGCCTAAAACTGTTTTATTAAATAATATTGTTATTGGCTCAAATAATTAAGATTTCTGAGAATCAAAATCAATATTTAGTACAAGTGCACTTAGCATTTAAAAAAATAGTTAATATGTTAATTACTTGGGTCATTCCCTTAAAAGACCATTTGGTCATTGTAAATTGCATCTCTAGGAGTTTTTGCTTTGGGTGCTCTCTAAAACTGTACTGTCAGCAAGTGTCTGTGCCACTTTATAGAAATTAAAAATAGTAAATTAAGCCATATGTGGCCCTTAAGGATATAATTTTATAAGAAAGTAACTTCACACAAGGGAGCCTCATTTATAAACAGGTCTCTGTGTCCTAGAAGACTGCACTCTGGTTTCGGAGCGTGTGGTGGTGGAGCACAAGAGCACTGGTGAAGAGACACACCACTTGCTGTGGCATCTCTGATGTGAAATTATAGCAAAGCCAACAGCAGAGTTGTGATTGGCCTGACCTGGGGCAGCTCTGACTTTATATTAAGGCAGTATCATGAAGTACATGCTGCTGAGACAGTCTGCATGTGATTTGTTCATTATGTTTTAGGACCCCGGTTCCTGGGATGGAAACACACATTCCTGTTATATTCCTTGACTTAAATGGTGAGTCGGCAGGTGCTTCCTGAAGGCTTACCTCTACGAATTAGTGTCCATGCAACACTTAGATTCTCATGAAGTATGCGTTTAGGCAATTCTCTAAGCCCAAGGTTAAAGTTCATTTTATATGTGCCAAAGGACTCTGATACTTGGCCAGGAGTGACTTTTCTATAAGAACAGTATCTTGTAACAGTAATAGGTATGTTTCATCATGATACGTCCTCACACTTCATTCTACAACCCGTAGTGCTCTGTGTGTGCTTCGTTCTTTCATCAGTCTGGGAAGTTAAGTGCACTTAAAATATTTCCTTCTTTAATTCTTTTTTTTTAAAATATTTTATTTATTTATTTTTCGAGAGAGGGGAAGGGAAGGAGAAAGAGTGGGAGAGAAATATCAATGTATGGTTGCCTCTCATGAGTCCCCTGCTGGGAACTGGCCTGCAACCCAGGCATGTGCCCTGACTGGGAATCGAACCACGATACTCTGGTTCGCAGGCCCGCGCTCAATCCACTGAGCTATGCCAGCCAGGGCTTTCCTTCTTTAATTCTTAGGAAAAACTTCTCCCTGAAAAGGACTAATAACTAGTGACTGCTTGTGTAGCCTATTTTCTTTTATCTGCTGCTTCCTTAGCATTACCTAATAAATTTCTCACTTTTTCTGTGAGTTTTTATGTCATTCATTCCTATATTGCCTATTTTAAAAAGATTTCATTTATTTCTAGAGAGAGGGGAAGGGAGGGAGAAGGAGAGGGAGACATACCTCAATGTGTGAGAGAAACGTTGATCAGCTGCCTCTCACACCCCCGCAGTCCGGGACCTGGCCTGCAGCCCAGGCATGTGCCCACCTGGAAACCACACGGGTGACCTTTCAGCTTGTGGGACGATGTGCAGCCCACTGAGCCATACCCGTCGGGACTGCCTGTTTTTTAATGTCATTTTTTCTGACATTTTCCTGTCATGTAAAAATATTTTGGATATGACTGCATCTTACATATACTCTGTCTAAGGAGGGGAAAGATGAAAAGATGGATTAAGGTAAAAATAAGTTCAAAGCCAGCAGTTAAATTCCTAAAACATGTACAGAACAGCCGTGTACTAAAATGAACTCCCCTGAATGGGCAACATTGGACGTCCTCAGGTTTTTCTCCCACCTAGCTGGAGGTGAGTTGTGACGTCTGAGGGTTCTGCATCTTGTACCCATTAGCCTATTTAGACACGTGGAAGATCCACTTCTGCCGTCTGCCCACTCGATGTGGTTCTCATGTATTGCCGCAGCGCCCTTTCCTACCTTGTTCTCTTGAGGCTTGGAATCTGAGGGGGACTCTGGCCTAGTCTTATGTTGGGTTCCTGGATAGGTAAGATGGTGGGGGGGAAGGAGAGAGAGAGAGGATAAGAAAGTGGAGAAGACTAACTCTAAAGAAGACCTGTTGGTATGGATATTCCTAGACATGATTGGGACCTTGGTCAGCCTTATGCCCATTCTTGGTCAGCCTAAGTCCACATACTAAAAGAGATACAATCTTCTGATGGATAGAGAGTTGGGAGAGCACAGGGCAACGCTCCAGTTTCTAGTTCATGTAGCCAGTGGCTTCTTTTGTTGAATGTAACTGTCAGATAATTGGAATCACTTTCACTTCTTGTTTCTTCAGTGCACTAAAATATAGGGAGTTTGGGTTATAATCTTATCATTAACATTTATGGACTGACTTTGAGTAACCCCTTGGGGTATTTTGGCTTCAGTTGCTTCTTTCATGGAAAATAAGGCATAAAGGTAGGAGATGGGATAAGATAATTTCTTGAGGCAGTGTTTAAGATCTGTGAGCTGTTTAATGGTCATCACCTGTGTCATGTAAGATCTTAGAGTGAAAAGAGTGAAATTTGAGGCAGAAGGATGTTAGTACTGAGCACTTTGAGATTTAATTGGCAGGGGTTATCCTTTAAAATGATCTTCGTACTTAATGGAACTGCTTTCATTTCAGTTGATGATTTCAGCTCTCAGGATAATCTTGATGACCCAGAACCTGGTGGTTGGGATGCTACCCTCACTGGGGAAGAAGAGGATGAGTTCTTTGAATTGCAGATTGTAAAACAGCATGATGGAGAGGTAAATAAAACATTACTCGGGAAGACTGGATGAAGAGTAGTTTCTTTAACTTTTCCACGAGCCTTTTGAAACAATCAGCAAGGTCATTATTTCATTGCTTACATTTCTTAAGAAACATAAATGAAAACTTTTCATTATGACTTCCAGAAAGCAGGGAACCACCCCCAGAAGGCGTGGCCCATGAGATCGCGCCCACGCACTGCTGCGCCGCCTCTCCTGGTGAAGGCTCTGTCAGTGTGCTCAGGCCAGGCCAGGCTGGTCCGCTCCCTGGGAGATGCTACTGAAGGGGAGCAGTGAAAGGGCGCCATGCTTGGGATTCGCTTTGAAATTCTTCAGTAAAGCTTTTTAAAAAGGAAAAAAAATCAGTGAAGCCAGTGTGGCAAAATCCTAATAATGTTTGAATCCGAGGGGGCTCATTTTAAAATTTGGAGTATATTAGAAAAATTAGAAACGATTTTAAGGAAGGGAAGCTGATAGGATGCTTTAAAGGCCACATCACCCAGGGGTACAACTAAGATGTGCAACCTGAGTCTCACAGGGTGGAAACAATCAGACACATCCAGTTGTGGTCCACTCTGTGAAAGGGAGGGCCCGCACCCTTCCTTAGTAAGTCTGTGTAGTGAGCGATCGAGAAAGGCTGCAGAACCATTTCAGATTAGAGTAGACTAAAGGGACAGTGACAACTAAATGTCATTTGTGATCCTGGATTGGAACAGTTGAAAAATTTGAGCTTGAACTCTGTGTTACAATATATAGTAGTATTATACTGATGTTAAATTTCCTGAATATGGTAATTATCCTATGGTAAGTCAAGGATGCCCTTGCTCTTAGATGAGAGTTGCTGAAGTATTTAGGGGTGTAGAGTTGTATGTCTGTTACTTACTCTGAAGCAGTCCAGCAAATAATAACAACAATATTAATAATACTGTGTGCATGTGTTGTGAGAAAGAGGAAAGGAAAAGTGGCAAGTCTTAACAGCTGATGAAACTAGATGAAAGATATAGGAGTTCATTCTACTGAATTTGAAATTTTTTTTAATGTTTGAACATTCTTCAAAATAAGAATTTCAAAGCCAGCCAGCCAAGAACATTCTGTCCCATACTTCCCAGACTAGGGTGGTTGAGGCTGCATCCTCACATTCCACGGCTTCGCAGGGCAGGTCTCTTAGCAGACTCCCTCATGACGGGCACGCAGCAGTTCAGCCCCAGCCAAGGTGTGTCTTTGTCAGGCTTCTTGTTGTTAGGAGGAGATGGAGAAGCATGTTCTTTCTGTCTTCTGTGCAGGTGAAAGCAGAAGCCTCCTGGGACTCCGCAGTGCACAGCTGTCCTCAGCTCAGTAAAGGCACACCTGCGGATGAGCGGGTGTATCTGATTGTGCGGGTGACGGTCCAGCTCAGCCACCCAGCTGACATGCAGCTGGTATTACGCAAACGAATCTGCGTCAGTGTTCATGGCCGGCAGGTGAGGCATTAATCCCAGTTGAAGAAATGACTTGAACTACATGCCTGACATGAGAGCAGGGCCTTGGAGTGACTGCTCTGGCCTCCTGTCCCCACAGGCGCCGTGAGGCATCGAGCTCTTCTTTTCAGGGGAACTGTTCCTGTCCTGTCCTGTCACTGTGCTGGCTTCAGTTCTAGAACATGTCATCCTGACTGCCTCTCAGACAGTATTAGATTGTTATGCTGAATCTTTCTGACTGCATGTTCACACATTACGCCCATTTTCCGGGGTGTCACAGAGCAGCCTCGTCAAGGTGAAGTTCGCTGTGTGTGTTTTGACTTTTCATCTGGGTTGGATAAGATGAGAAGGTTCACTGCAGTTTAGCCTTTGTTTGTACTTCTCACCCTTTGCTTTCCATACCTTTCCTTTCTTTCAGTCATCTCCACTCATTTGCTGATTCATAAATTTAGGAAGTGTACCCTGTCAGGCTTTGGGGTAAAAGACGAGTAAGAAACAGGCTCTGTCCTTAAAGAGCCGATGCCCGTGGGCATGTACGGATGGCACTCTGCTCTGCTGTGACGGTGCCCTGATGCAGGTGCCCACCGTGCGCTGGAGGTCGCAGGAGCAGAGGGGACGGGGCAGACAGGCAGTCAGGTCAGGCTTCGGGGAGAAGAGGATTACAGGGAACTGCTTGTTCACAGGCCGGGAAGGCGCTGCTGGCTGTTCCTTGGGAGGGGAAATGCCATGCGGGGCAGTGTGGATGGGGGGCATGGCAGGGTGTGCTGCGGAGGCCAGGGCTGTGGCTGCCCTTGCAGCTGCAGCCAGGTCACAAAGGGCTGGGTGCCATGTGAGGGGCTTAGTAGAACATTTCTAGGTGGGTGTAAAGTATTTCTGTTGTTGGTTTTGCAACTATAGGATTTGGGAGGTTGGTTCTAGGGATTCTTTTTAACTGCCTGTGCTCACTCTTCAGAGGCCTTCTCAGTGCACTGACTCAAACCAGGAGAGATGAACATAAGTCTTTTCATTTAAAAGAGCACAGTCATGGTTGACAGAGTCCTAGATGTAATCTCCATCCCTAAAAATTAATCTTTAGCTCTAAATGTCACATGGGTATTGGTCTTTGAAATGAAGACTGGCGGTAATGCTGTTAAAATTGCCGCTCTTTAGCTGGGCATCCAACATCAGTCTAACCCAGGTCGTCGGGTTAGCCGTAGATGCATATGGTGTGTCTCCCACTCACTCTCCTCTCGGTCTCCCTCTTCTCGGAAGGCTTGCAGGGGTTGAAAACGACATGCTGTTCCCGGGGAGCATTTTAAAGAGTTATTTGCCACTCCAGAACTGGAGAATCTGGTTCCCGGCCACTGAGACAGACCTGGTACCAGCTGCATAGAATTTGTAACAGAAAGGGCACTTCATGCCGTCACTAAGTTTTTCTTGTTTAAATTTTTTGTTGTTGGGACAAGGAATTGTCACATTTCCCCCCCGTTTGAAATGATTTGATAATATCAAATTGATATTGAATGAAACAATAGTATTTTAGGGCATGGCAGTTTCCTCCCTCTTTCAGATATTTAATTTCTTACAGCAAGAACAGGGACCTCCTTAGGACCCTCATACATGCAGGTCAGCTTCAGTCATTCCATAGATGCAGAAAATGAGAAAGAAAGATGAGAGCAGCACTCACACTTCCCGCTGCACCCCCAATTCCCCCCGCACCCCAATTCCCCCACACCCACAATTCCCCTGCGCCCCCAATTCCCCCACACCCACAATTCCCCCACACCCACAATTCCCCCACACCCACAATTCCCCCGCGCCCACAATTCCCCCACACCCCCAATTCCCCCCCACCCACAATTCCCCCACACCCCCAATTCCCCCACACCCACAATTCCCCCACACCCCCAATTCCCCCGCACCCACAGTTCCCCCGCGCCCCCAATTCCCCCACACCCACGGCTGCACTCTGACCAGTGTGACTGGCAGTGGCTCCAAGCTGCAAGGCTGACAAGAGAGTGAAGGGATGAAATAAATGGTCTCTTTGCATTCTGAGAAGCTACAGTCTTTTTAAAAATTAACTGAAGATTACTAAATAGGACTGAAATTATTCAGTAGGTTTATAAAAATAGTATTTCTAAGATGAAGCAGCTTGATTTTTAAAAATTTTCTTCGGAGGTTTTCACATATTTCCTGCTTCCCTTTTGCATGAGGAAACAGGTTCAGTGTTAGTTTAATATTCTCTCTTATCTTTATGCACCAATTGTATTCTGCCCTCATCCCTGCTCTCTTCAACCTCTACAGGATGTTCAGTCTTAGCAGCATCTTCAAATGAGTCATCTATGCATTAATTCAACAGTTCAATTCTGAACTGTGCGAGGAGCACAGTCAGCATAAACAATGACCATGCACTCTTAAATCATTCTTCATAACGATCCTGCTTTGGTCAAGAATTTAATGCCTGAACTTGTCAATATTCATGGTACAAGATGTCTGTCGTGCTGCCAAAAAAAAAAGTGTAAGAGTCACCAGGCTTTGCTTACATCTTAGTAAGAAGGTCATTTTGTTGTGCAGAAGTCAACAGCCTTATTTCTGTAGCCTTTAAGGGGGGTTGAACCAGTGGCGTGATGTCAGTTTCCAGAGGGTGGGGTCTGTTCTATCCATAGATGGGGGATGGGACCTGCCACCCACTGCACACATGTAGACACACAGGTATCTAAACTTGGTTTTGTGTGCCGAGACAAAGTTGAGAAACCTGTATTTATGGATTTGGATTTCCACTTGCGTATATCGGAAATATGCTGTGTTTCTTTTTGGCTGGAGTGAATGCAATATCCTTTATGCTGTTTCTATGTTAATGTAAACTCAGTTTTTGAGGTGGGGAACCATGCCTTCTATTTTGTTCTCTAGGGTTTTGCTCAGAGTCTCCTAAAAAAGATGTCTCATCGAAGTTCTATTCCTGGCTGTGGAGTGACTTTTGAAATTGTCTCCAATATTCCAGAGGTAAAAGATCACATGAAATTTGAATTTACTAAAAATAAACATGTAAAAAGAGCTAACACCCTATAAATCACCTACCCAAGAAACATGTGCTAAATGGAAATGTATATTTAGGGAAATACTATAGATTTTTAGAGAAATTTCCTAATCTTAACCTGGCTCAGTAAAATGTACTTTACTGAGTTTAAGGGTTCTGGTTTTAGTATTTTGTCAAAGAAGAACATTGTTTTGAAAAGCAAATCAACACCTCTTTACACATAAAAGGTAAAGAGTAATAAGAGGTACAAACTTTCAGTTATAAAATAGAGTCACAGGGATGTGATGTACAGCTTAGAGGAAATACTCAGTGATACCTTAACGACTTTGTCTGGTAGCGGATTGTTACTAGACTCACTGTGATGGTCACATTGTAAGGTGTGTAAATGTCAGATCGCGATGTTTAACACCTGAAACTAATGTAATATTGTATGTCAACTATACTTTAATAAGTAATATATCTTTTAAAAGACATAAAATAATATCATAACCCTCAAAAGGAAGTGATGATGCACAGCAGAGAGATTTAGGGTTTCGTTTTAGAATCACACAGAAATCTTGTGTAGGTTATTCTGAGCCTAATTTTTTTCATTTATCAGCTGAGGTTAACGATACCTTCTGAAAAGGGTTAAGGTTTATATAAATGAGACGGTGCATGCAAATTGTTGTGTGTACGCTAAACTATAAGTTAATTGCTGTTATAATAAGTTAGTTATGTTTTATTATCATTTCTCTTACAAACTAAGTGAAATATTCATAAGAATTAAACAAATGGAGCTTACAACATCCCGGACAGAAGCTTATTGGGGGGTACAGTGCATACAGCTTCTGAATATTTAACCCCTGATGTAGACAGACTTTTTCCCCTGGGCACCAGCCCTAGTGGCAGTGCAGGCCCTCCCTGCAGCGGTGGACAGACGGGAGAGCGGTCCCTCTGTCACGCTCAGGGCCAGAAGCAGGGAGGGAGTGAGGAGGTGCAGACACCCACTGCAGAAGAGGGACCTGGGGTGTGACCCTGGGGGGACACTCCCTCCAGGCCACGCCATCCCCACCAGCCTCCTTCCCTTCGTTGAGGGTTCAGTAGTTGTGCATTGATTTCTGTTAAGTTTTTGAACAATACAGGAAATACATCTTTTAATCCAGAGATCAGCATTTGTAAGAACAAAAAGATTCCACAGTATTGGGGCTTTATTTTATATTTCTTGTATTACAAAACACTGCCATATAGTAACTTTTTTTCCTGGATATTCAAAGTGCTAAACTTACACAGTAAATATTAACCGTTAAACTATTTAATTTGGAGCATGCTGAACAAATGTTAAGTCTGTTTTCAGAGGTAGACTACCTGCAGAATCTTGGGTCTGTAATAGGTCTCTCTCTATATTATGTGTTTAACTGGAGACTTGCTGTTTGTTCTCTGCATCTGAATGTTTCTATGTGTTTCCAGTTGTTTCATATCTTAACTCTCTAAATGGTCCAATGCAGCTGAGAAACTGTAGTGAGCCACTGTCACCTTTTCCTCTTCCCTCTTCGTCTCTGTCCCCACTCACTTCTCCCCTCCTGTTTGTAGTTTCCTTATGCTCTTTAAGAGTGCATTTATTCTTCAGGCGATACAGTTTTAAAGGGAAGAAATGTGGGGGAATCAGCTGAAAGACAAACGCATGAGGTAGCCCTCATGTGGTTGGGCTACCTGCTGATAATTAGCTGAGCATCTCGGTTGGCAGACTTTACTTTCACATTACCAAATCCCGAAGATAGAGGAAAAGCAAGACTTAAAGCTTGGAGCGTAAGGACTACACTTAGTTTATTTTTTATTTAAAAACAAAAAGATCTCTTAAGCTCATTTCATCATGAAAAAGCCCTGAAAACCTCTTTTGTCTTCCATACTGCAGAAGCTTGGTGGCGAGAAGGGGCCTTAGGCCATAGGGCAACAAGAAACACCCTCACCTCTCTCTTTTTAATTAGCAACCAGATTGCTTCCATTGCTGGTGGGAGTACAGAATAATTCCCAGTAATTCTGCTTCCACGCCCTTACCCAAGAGAAGGAAAGCATGTGTCCATACAAACTTGCACAAGTGTATTCACAGCAGCTGATTCAGAATAACCTGAAACTGGAAACAACCCATACGCCCATCAGCAGATGAATGGGGAAATAAACTGTGGTATCTCCATACTGTGGAATCTTGCTCAGCTATACAAAGAAATGAACTATATGAATGAGTCGCAGAGTCACTATGCTGAGTGAGAGAAGCTAGACACGAAAGAGTATGATTCCATTTAAAGCTTTACACAGGTGGAACTCTTAACATCTGTGGTCAAAGAAATTATCGTGTCTGAGGAAGGCTAAGGATTGACGGTGAAGCTCACAAATGAACTTCCAGAGGCAAATGAGATGTTTTATATCTTGATAAGTGTGTAGGTAGCATGGAGATATGTGCATTTCTTAAAACTCAAGTTCCCCTTTCTTAGAGAATCAGGATAACGTCTGTTGCCTTCAGACACCAAAAAGTATTGTGTTGAGGGGTTAAAAAAATATGTACTCTATCAGAGGCAGGAGATGGAAGTTCTAGTCTTGTGTCTTTTGCTAATTACATGGCCTTCCTCTTTCCTCATCTACAAAACAAAGATGATTTCTTCTTTTCCGGGTTAGTAAAAGGCTCAGATACATTACTGTAGTAGTCAAAAGTCTTCCAAAAATCTTCCAAAGGTATCATCTTCCAAAGTCTTCCTTATTTTCTCTGTTCTAATGTTCATTTAAAATTTTAAAAATATTTTTGAAGTTAGAATGTGTCTTATAATTCATGATATCTTAAAATCCTTTAGCAGAACTTTTTTTTCTCCTTAGGAGTATATAAATGACGTTTTTTTCCCCTTAAAGTTGATGACATCTTAAGATGCAATGACATATGGATATATGTTGTGTAGTTTTTGACATTATTCCAGCAAATTCACAAGTGAAATATCTGATTTTCCCTAAGCAGAGTGATTTGTTATGACCTAAGTTTGCTTGGCCCGATTAAACACATCAACAAACTCTCCCCCTGACTTGTGAATACCCCATTTATACGCACGGCCCACCCTGGCAGAGGAGAGGGTTGGTCTCTACCAGAAGGCACAGTGGGATTGGCCTAGATGCTTCTCTTCATGGTCAGCTCTGCCACTCCAGTGCCGAGGAGGGAGGCCCGTGGTGGGGGCTGCCGTGTCTTGGACATGTAGTCTGTAGCAGGCCTCGGAGTGCCCGCATTGCAACCCAGCCCTTCTTCCCACTGTCATCCTCCGTACCCACATCTGCCTCCGCTTGGTGTTTGGATCCCACTATTGTCCAGCTGTCACCCCAGCTCCCCGTTCTTCTCTCCTGCCCCGTGAGATATGTTCCTGAAGTGCTGTGCTGGATACATTTCCAGCTGGCCCACCAAATCCTTTTCAACCTGGGATGTCTTTGTTTGCGATGGGAATAAAATACAGAACAGTTTTGTTGAGAGTGTGCTATTTCAGCTGTGCTGTTTAACTAGCTTTTCAAGGCAACCTGACCACCATTTATACATGGATTTTTGTGGGAAGATACATTTTGAACTCCTAAAGCTGACTTTAAAATAGAACTTTGGAATACATCCCATTTGTTAGTTCATTACTTGGGGGTGTGTGTGTGTGTGTGTGTGTGTGTGTGTGTGTGTGTGTGTGTAGATCGAGAAGCTTTTACAGTGTTTTCTTCTGCAATGTACTTAATTTAATACACAACCTCCCATTCTCCAGGATGCCCAGGGAGTAGAGGAACGAGAAACATTAGCAAGAATGGCAGCTAATGTTGAAAACACGGCTTCTGCTGACTCAGAGGCCTATATCGAAAAATACCTCAGAAGCGTGCTGGCTGTGGAGAACCTCCTCACTTTAGACCGCCTGCGCCAGGTCAGCCAGTGGGCCGATCCCGTGGGCGGCTTCCTGCGGCCCGCAGCACTGCTGCGTGCAAACTTGGGGAGCATCTGCCTACGTGGGGCACAGCAGTTCGGCTCGACCCTGCCAGTGTAGTCTTCGAAGATGCAGAGGCTCCGTTTGGAGAGTTGCTCTTTCCTAGATACTGAAGGGTATCTAGTTGCCTTGAAGTAATAGGAGAAAATATTTAACTCTTGCTGGCTAAAGAACTATTTTAAAAATTCTTTCATACAGAGAAGTAATGTTGCTGAAGAAATATGCAGAGCCCTGGTTGGTGTAGCTCAGTGGACTGAGCGCGGGCCTGCGAACCAGATAGTCACGGTTCGATTCCCAGTCAGGGCACGTGCCTGGGTTGCAGGCTGGTTCCCTGCAGGCCACTTTCCAGCAGGGGATGCACAAAAGGCAACCAGACATTGATGTTTCTCCTCCTCTGCCCTTCTTTTCCCCTCTAAAGATAAATAAAAATCTTTAAAAAATTACTTAAAAAAATATGCAGTAACAAGGCACAGTGGGCCCTTCTTTGCTTAGCTGGATGCACCTGCTATAGCATTAGGGCAGTTTGTAGAAGTTCTGGGAGAACAAATGCTATCAGTAAACTTAACCTTAGGGAAACCCTAAACCTTATTTTACCTAGCAACATTGAGACCTTTTTTTAATCAAACACACTAATGAAAAATAAAAGTGAGTGGTCTAATTTTCATGATCTTTCTCTGGAACTGACTTCTGTCAGCTTGAGGCTGGAGTCAGGAGGTGAAGAAGAGAATGGTCTAGCTTACCCGTCAGCTATATAACGAACTTCGAGTAGTGCACGGTGACTCTGATGGGCCATTCCTCCTGTGCCCATCATTTACAGAACTCGGAGTGTGTGTCTGTGGCAGGTAGCTCAAAGCTTGCTGTTGATAGTGTCCCTTCGGGGGTGTGCCTCTAACCGTAGTCTTCCTCTGTTTTCCAACTGACAGGAAGTTGCAGTGAAGGAGCAGTTGACAGGAAAAGGGAAGCTGAGTAGGAGGAGCATTAGCTCCCCCAGCGTGAACAGAGTGAGTAGCTCCCCCGTACCGTGCCCTGCTTATGGTCTCCCTTCTCTTCTCCTCTTTCCTCGAGTAGCTCTTTGCCATCCTTTAAATCTCATCTCGGGTGTCGTTTCCTTTCCTGAGCTGATCAGAGTGCCTCGGTTCTCTTCCCTGGAGCACCTGTGCGTGCCTCTGTCACGGTCCTCAGCAGTGTCAGGGGGAAGGTACTCGTTTGAGTGCCTCTCCAGCATTTCTCGTGTATCCTCATATCCCCAGTGCCTAGTCGGTGACCGGGAGCTCGGTGTTTGCTGAACTAGAGCAAAACCAGCCAAGAGCCGAGGGCGAGCCATTTGAGTTTTCTGGGCTTAATTATATTTAAATTGAGGAGACGCCTGGGCTAGGTTACAAGCTCACTTTCTTACAGGATAGTATAAAAGAGTAAAATAAGTTAGGTTTGTCTTAAGTTTGTTGTTTTTCAAAACATAAATGTATAATTTCTGTGCATATTAAGCATATAAATAATTCTTCACAAAGAAGTGTGCTGTGGCCCTGTGATTTGTCTCTCCTTTTCTTACTTTTGATAAAGATGTGGATGCGAGGAGCATTATATCTTTGTCTGAACCTCACACCAAGAAAAACCACAGTACAAGCATTGTGATGAAAGGCAGATGACCCTTAGCATTAGCGTTTGAGAGACAGTGGTGACAGGTGGCCCCTGAATGACTGAATGACATCACTAATGGTCTCTGACTGAAAGATTGGAGTGTTCTCAGAGTTTAAGAAGTATCACTGTACTTCAATAGTAATACTTCTTATTCCTTCAGAGCAGGGTATATTAAAGTGGACTGATATATGCAGAGATTTGGTAAGAGAATCTCCTGTGGTTTAAAAGAAATGGTTTGTTTGTATACATTTGCTATGAATACTCAGGAAGCAGACTCTAAGATCAGGAGAGGGTAAGATAACCAGTAACCTGGTACCTTTTAAATGGGAGGGGGTAAACAAATGAATGATCTCTTACTTAGGCCCAGTTGGTCGTTGCCTCAGTGGACACTGGATATCTGATCTTGTACAAGCCCCCATCATAAAGTTGTTGATAACCAGTCCAGTTAAAAAGCACGTGCCTGACAATGTTGCAGAGACCACGGGTCTGAGTTTGCACGGCTGGCTGTGACAGCCTCTGAGCTGCCGTCCGACTGTACCATCCTGCTGTTGCGGTTTTCAAAGTCCTGCTTTCCAGGACCGCAGGTCTGCATGCCTTCACATAAACAGGACTAATCGCCCTTTGTTTCTTCCTCAGTTGTCTGGCAGCCGGCAAGACCTCGTTCCGTCCTGCAGCCTCGGCAGCAACAAGGTACGCGTTCTGAGCTGCCCTTGTCAGTCTCAGGCCTCTTTCCCAAAGGTCACACCCTCGCCCCGTCGTCCAGAAGCTCTCCCGCCCTGCCGGACACATGAAGTCTGGTGGAGTGTGTGCACAGGTTGCATCTTTGTATCTGACAGTCAGAATGCGAGTTAATAAACCCTCTCGTTACTCTAAATTTGTAGGGGTTAAACTGGTTAGTAAGTTCATATTTCTGTTTAAAACATTCTTCCTGTTTCTGTCAGAAAAGGACTTCAAATCAGGTTTTTAATAGTAAAATATTGATACAATGATGGAAAATGTATGAGGAATAAGAAAAATATACCTAAAAGTTAGTATTTTTTTTTGTTAGAAGACAGGAAATTAAGAGAGCAGAAATTCTGTTAGCTGGAATTTACTTATTTGTTAAACTGGCTTCCCCCAACTTAACAGTTTTAAGCGTGGATAAATCATTATTATTTATTTAAAGGGATATCTTGAAATTTTCATAACTAAATGTCACATTACAGTTTTTTGTCTGGTATGTTTTTGAAGGTTCTAGTCAGGTATTGGTACTCTCAAATGTGGGTAGCATGCTCTGTATTTGATATCTTAATCCTTGAGGAGGTTAAAAGTGAATGGTGTTTATAAAGTAGTCTGATATCAGGCAATCATTTCAAAATACAATGTAAAAAAAAAGAAAATTCTTACCAGTTTTGCAGGTAACATTTGAATGTTTGCTTTGAAACATTCAGCATTCCTATATTATGCTATATCACAAACTTTTCAGACATAATTATTCAAAGGATGGATATAGAATGAAAATAAAAATATGATATGTATGTGTAAAAATCTTTTAGAGATAAACTAGATGGAAAATTTTTTTAATTTCTTGAACATTGTGGCCAAAATGTCTTCATGTTTTCTATTTCCCTTTCATTTCGTTATGTGTAAATGAAGAAGATAGTAGTATCTACTTGAAAGAAAATCACTGTGCTTCACTGACACCAGATAAATAGAATAAAGGAACAAAGGCGCTGCAATAGGCACATGACTAGGTAGAGTAGGGGCCCAGGGGAGGGGGCGGGGGATCCAGAGAGGGCAGAGAGGAGTTTCAACTCCTGTAAGTTTCACGTGGAAAAGATGGTAAGCCCCCCACCCCTCAGACAGGGCGGGACTTGGAGCAACAGCCTGAACGCCTCCCAGAGGGATGAACACGCTTGCTATGTGGGCGGCAGTACATGCAGCGTGAGTCAAGCAGAGGGCCTGCGGCGGGTGGAACGCAGAGAAAAGGGGCCTGACTCTGAGTTCTGGCATGAGGTGCCAAGGCGCAGTGGGGGAGTTGGGGGCCACTGAGGCAGTAACAGGGCAGCAACGTGCTCACACTGGAATTGGAAAGGCGGTTTTTACCACTTCACCCGAACCCCACTTGTGTTCCTGGTTATGACCCGTAAAATTACATTAGAATAATGTAGGCCGTACAAGTGTATGCCATTATCAATGCAAAGGTGTGCAAACAATTTTAATTGGAGGGTGGCGAGGTGAGGTAGAGGAGGAGATTCAGCAGTGGAGAGGGGAAAGAGAGGTTGACAGTATATGAGACAGAATCTCCAGAATTCTGTGGAAGTGAAGAATGAGCAAGGGAGGAGACTAGGGTGACATCTGGGTTTCAAGGTGACAGTGTACAGAGACAGGCTTGGGGAAGAAAACGATTTAGTTCAGTTTTGGGCATTAAGGTGCTGTGGCAGTTCAGGCATCTGGAAGCCGGGAGTGAAGACACAGTTGAACTAGTGGGAGGGATTCTGTCACAAGGGGAAGCCATGAGGGCAGGTGCAGGAGCAGAAGCGCCGGAGCGCCTGACCGGAGTCCTCCTAGAGGAGGAAGACCCAGGAGGCAGAGTGGCTGGGAGACGGGAGAAAGGCTTTACGGGCTCCTTCCAGGATTCTTTAGAGACTGTCAAATGACTGGAGAGACTTTTGATGTGATAGCTAAAGAGTTTTCGGAGCCCTTTCCCTGGGCAGTTTCTGTGAGGGACTGGGGAGAAGTTAGCTGGACACGTCATTTAAATAATACAATGTGACACATTTCTGTCGCTGTACCAGGGCTTGACGTGTTTGAACCATCTCGATTTCTTACTTCTTGGTGTGCCTGGGGAGCTTAGCAAAGACGCGGGAAGTCTGACTTCCTTCCTCTCAGACTGTCCTTGTGTCCTTTCCCCGCTCTGTTGCAGTATGTAGTTTAAGTTGTCAGACACTTCAAAAGGATTAAATAGTCTTTCCTTCCCAGTTTGTGGTCTTTCTCAAACTTGGCCTCTCGTGGCCCTCCCCGAGCACAGCAGACCCACCCTCTGACAAACAAACATTGGACGTCATCAGGGAAGACGGAGGTGCCGGCACCCTGTTACTGTGTTCCCAGTTCAGCTGGGGACCTCTCGTTTTGTCTTCTTTTGAACCCTTGGCAGCCACGAGCCCTGAAACTGTAACTGGGCTTTAATCAGCATCGTCGGCGTCCCGTGGGCATCACTTAACCTTCTCGCCGTTTCCAGATCTGCAGGGTGAATGAATGTTCACATAAAATTAGAGAGACCTTCTGCTTTTCTCTAGGGGAAAGGCAGAGGAAAACTTTCTGAGACAGCTTTGTATGGGCGGGCCTGTTTAATAAGTAAGGAAATTCATGGGATACAGGGTTGTGACTGTGATGTTAGGAAACCAAGTGGAAAGAATACAAAGCTATGAAGTTTGGATTTCAGGCCCACGTCAGCAGGAGGTACAGAGCAGCTCCCTCATTTTCACGTGAGGGGCCCCCCAGTAGTTCTGTCATCCACAGCAGAGCATCTTAAAAGATTTTCAGTGGAAATAAATATTCCTAAATTTTTATTTTCTTACTAGTGAGAAAAGAACCTCTCCTCATCCCACCACCATTAATAAATAGCAAGGAACAGATTTCTCCCTGTGGCCTTTTAAATGAAACAATGAACAACATCTTCACATATGGCATTGCCTTGAATTCAAAGTTTGTTATTAATGCTACCCGTAATAGAGTTCCTTAGGACTGGGTAGTGTTTGAACTGATCGACATGCAATTATCCAAATCCTGTTAAATCACTTTGCACAGCAGCAGTGCTTACGTACATGTGAACTGGCCTGTACAGGAGGGTGTCCACTGTAACGTGGTTTTTAATTGCAGATGATTAGAAACAAACTAAATGTCCCTTGGTTTAGTCTGGTTAAGTACATGTTATCTGTGCTTGGGTGTGCACACACATGCACAACTAAATAAATGGGATGCCACATAGCTGTAAAAATAATTAGCAACCTCTCTGGGTACCAATATGGAAATTTAGTATATAAACTTAGTGTATCACCAGGATACACTAAGGGAATAAAAATAAAGTGCAGGATGTAGTGTGCTTTGTTTACTGTGTATGTATATGTGCAATATATTCTATATATGTATACTATCTATACTGTGTACTATATAGCATATAGTATAGTTTGTATTATTAAAGGAAGCGACAAGAGGGAAGCATGTGTGACTGTTCACGTGTTTGCTTATACAGCCACAGGAGGACATAGGAGACACTAATGCCACTTCTTACCTACCTGTGGAGAAGATACAGCTCTGGGGGGGACTGAGCAGGCAGGGTTGAGGCAGGCCACTTCTCACTGTATGAATGTATGTATGTATGTACGTATGTATGCTTTGTTGTATTAATTTGGGTTTGGATCATGTAAACATACCTCTTTAAAAATAAATTAAAATGTAAAAATTGTTTACCTTTTAAGTCATTAGAAGTTTTTGTTTTTTTCGTATATAGTGGTTTGAGAAGGCCTCTAGTTGGTTTATCGTTAACAATTTGTGCACAAAACACTAAAGGAAAGATTACTGAAGAAATCGTTTTGGAAAATCTCCGAGACCCATGATGTTTTTTCTTTTCTTTGGGGGACTTCCTGTGTTCTTCAGTTTGCAGAGACCCAGGGAGAGGTAGTTAATCCACTGGGTTTTCCTAATGAGTGGGGTGCAAGTGGCCCCCTGCTACCCCAAACTGCCCACTCTTGCTTCTGCCTTGGGGTTAGGAATGCATTTTTAAATGTGGCTTTGGTAAGATGACTAAATCTGACATTGCACTACTAATTTTTTTTATTCTTACCCTTTTGTAAAAATAACCCTGGTTGTCAGAACGTATGATTCCTTTCAAATGTTCCTGTTAACTGAATCTAAGACTGTAAAAGTATCTGTCGAAGGGACCGGGAGTTAAGGCATCATGTTGAATTTAGGAGGCTCTGGAATAGGAGGAGATGGAGTTAACTTGTAGTAAGCAAACAGTATAAATAAATACTTGAAAATTTGTAAGATGTTCTTTTCTTAAGCATGGGATGGGGGGGGTGTGAAAAAATGGCCAAAGTGCTCTGAGCATCCTTTTGACATCATAGAACTTTACTCATCTGGGGTTTTTTTGCACAAAAGTACATAATGTTACAGAGAGTTGAGTCAGAAATACAGTTTTACCCTGTACTTGATGATGCTTAAAATGCTAGAAAATTTGTTTCGAAGTAATTGAAAGTTATAATTACATCAGTTACATCCACCTTACAAACTTGCATACCCTTTTTTTCTGGGTTCTTTGTTTACATTAACCTATGTGTTCATTTCCTGATCTTGATGGATGCTGTCAGAACTATACAGTAAGAATTTGGCGTGCGCTGTCTTCCCTGTGTGGAATTGGAACATTGAGGTTAGCTGAAATAATGTGTCAAAGCAGGAGTGGCCACAGAGTAGGTTCAGGTCACCCTTCTCTCCTGATTTTCAGTTTTAGTATCATGGTGAAGATTAATCACTTGGAAGCAAAGCCACACTAAGAGGTGTGATGGGGGCAGGAGCAGAGAGTCTGATAGGGCTGGGGAGGTGAGAGGAGGTAGTGGGGGTACTGAGAACGATCTCAGTCTGACCTGGAGCACTTTAATTCTGGCTAGTTGTGCCTTGCGTTCCCTTATTTACTGATGCTGGACACATATTACAGTTGCAGTAGTTTCACTGAGCTCTGTCAACATTGATTTTATTAACTACTCCCAACTTTTAAGTTTACCTTAGGGCCTACAAGAAATCACTGTTAATAAGCTTTTCAATTAAAAATATAAAATACCCCTAATTGCAGTGATGTTGTCATTTATTGTCACTGAATATTTCATCATGATTGTTAAGGCAGTTTTTTTTATAGATCAAATGAAAACTTTGCAAACTTTTTTGAAAACAGATTTTATTTTTATTTTTAGAGAGAGAGGAAAGGAAGGAGAAAGAGGGAGAGGAACTTCGATGTGCAAGAGAAACATCAGGTGGTAGTCTCTTGCACGTTCCCAACTGGGGACCTAGTATGCAACCCAGTCATGTGCTGTGACTGGGAATTGAACCAGTGGCCTTTTGGTCTGCAGGCTGGTGCTTAATTCACTGAGCCAGGGAAGCAGCAAATGTTCTATGACCAGACTACCAGGATAGGCTCATATTTAGGTGCACAGTTAATTTCAGCAGATTGTTTTTTCATCTAAAAATTTGCTGTGTGTTGAAATCTTTGCAATTCATGGAATACTGTCAGCGTTTGAAATAATGGTATTTCTAAAGCCAGTTTAGATGGAATTGTATTTTTAATAAGTTAGTAAGATAGTGTGTTTGTCATCTTCTGATTGGAGTTTTTGATATAAATTAAAGCAGCCAGAAGCTCGAATGAGTATCTGGTTAACAAAACTGAACTCTGTGTTGTGGATTGAGCATGGGCCTGTGAACCAGACAATCACAGTTCGATTCCCAGTCAGGGCACATGCCGGGGTAGCAGGCCAGTTCCCTGCAGGCCAGTTCCCAGCAGGGGACGCATGAAAGGCAACCATACATTGATGTTCCTCTCCCTCTCTCCTTCCCTTCCCCTCTAAAGATAAATAAATAAAATCTTTAAAAAAATATTTAAAAAAAAACTGAACTCTGTGTTTTGCACACATTACTTTCCTGAAAACTGCCATCAGTGGGTCAGTTAATTGGTAAAGGCTGATGCCGAATGTGAACACTTCTTTAGTTGCATTAGAAGGCACCTTTGGATCTGGAATGTCACTTCTCTGTATTACATCTTTGTCATTTTCCCAGTGAGAACGGACCTCTTTACAGAAAGCCTGCAGCATCTCTGTCAGAGGAGCCATAATGGGGAGGCCGAGGGCGTGCGGGGGACCAGACCACACTCTCAAGCCATCTGAGAGACTCCTGTGTTTCTCCCTGTTCAGTTTCGCCTTTCAGCATGGTGCTTGTTACAGATAACGGCTCTCTCGAAGAGGGTTGTATTTCCTGGATTCAGCCTGGGAGCACAAATAATCCCTAAAACGTGTGAAGCCAGTGTGGGAATTCAAAGTGAAGTCAGAGTTTTTCTTTCTTGCCCCCTCATCTAGGCTGATTCTGAAGTTTGATAGACAGGCAGAATGTTAGAAACAAATCACAGATTTATCTTTTTAGATTCAAAGTGATGGGGTGAAGATTACTGTGGTATAAGTGAAAAAAAAAACAAAAACCCACCAAACTCTTACTTTGAGAACTGAGCTCATAAGAGAGCAGACCAGTCCAGCGGTCCATTGTCTGGCCAGGTGCTTTTTATTTGTTGTCCTGAGTTCATCTCCCTCTGAAGCACCTTTGACTGAGATGCTTCCATCCCCACCCCCAACAACCCCAGTGTGTCAGTAAAGGAATAGGATTTCAGAAGGAATATGTTGGTGTAGACATGTTTGGTGGGAAGCAACTGTAGAACATCAAGCATATACAATTTATTGGAAAGACATGAATGGCCTTGTCCCCGGGGGGCAGTGTGTATAGCTAGCCCCTGGACCTCGGGTTTCATTTCTGGCAAAAGGATGGCACGTGCACTGCAGGGGAGACAGAATGGAGTGAATGATGCCAGCGGAGTGCTTCTCCAGAGATCTGCCCGAGTCCGAGAGGAGGGGGGAGCGTTATACCCGGTTTATCATCCAAGTTTGTTGTCCCCTCGGAAGCAGAGCTCCATCTATCCCAGAGTGATTGGAGACACTCTGTGTCCTTGTGTCTGGTTGGCGAGACCTGGGAACAGTCAGCATTCGAGATTGTTCAAGGTTGAGGTGACAGTTAAGGTAGATGGATGAAGTGAAATGTGTCTCCGTTTTTCATTATCTGATAGGGCTAACAGTATGGCTAAGGCGGTATTAATTAAGGTACTGTGTGCATCCTTTCAAATGTTCTCACCTGCGATATTTGAATATATGAGACAGTAAGAGCTGTTGCTTTCATTCTGATTTGGGAGCAGCATTGTGTGTGGAAATGTCAACTGGGAAAAATTACTTGGGAAGCTAGCAGGGCCCCGAGAGCACATGGGGGAGAGGTGGCACCTACGTTATTTGTCACTGGACCATTATACACCAAACAGCCAAGGTGCTGACTCCAGATCAGCTACTTAGTTTTACTAAGGGACAGAATACCACTCTGTCAGCTGCCAAAGAAGGCAGAAAATGCTAAAATCTGAAAATAAATTTATTCTCAAATTAACATGTTTTCAAAGCAGCCTTGCATGAGCTTGACACTGTAAACAGCATGAGGCTTCTCCTCTGCAAAGCTCCACAGAGACTGACCTTAGTGTTCAGCCACCTGACTGTAACGTCCGGGAATACACAGAGCTGTAGCTTCCCAGACAGATAATCAAATTTAAATGCAAAAAACATTAATGAAGCATTAACGTATGTAAATTGTTGTGTGATTCATAGTAACACAACTGCTCCTGCCGTGAAGTATTTCAGAAGTCACAGCTTTTTAAATCGTCCCTTTGTGTCTGTTTTGTTTCCTTGCTTCCCAATGCTAAACATCATACCATTTTTTAAGAATATCAAGTGCTGAGAGCATTCCTAAGGAAAAGTGTTCTCTAAGGTAAACAGAATCCAGATCACTTAGGGCTTATTGATTTTATGATCAGTACTTACAATGTTGCTAAAAGCAGATAGGTTTCCAATACATATCTGAACCCGAAGAGGTCTTTTACACCTCAGTCCATCTTCAAGAGCAGTGGGGAACTGGCTTTGCAGGCCATTACTAATGAAAACTCAAGTGGTCGTTAGGGTCGCTCATCTGTGAAACACTGGCCTAAATTAATATAAAATACCTTTATTTAACTCTAGTGAAAGAGAAGTCAGAATGATTATCAGAGGATCACAAGGGAACTTAAAACTTTTAAAACATTTAAAAGATTTGCATCTCATCTCCATTGCTGGTTGCAATATTTGGTTGGGGTTTGCTTCTTTTCCTAAATGAGACCGATGTTAAAAGTGCTTTGATGACATCACCATTGGTATGCCTCACCACAAGTATCAGAATGGTAAATGGTAAATGGTAAAAGTATACATTGCCTGGCAGGCATTGTTCTGGTATTATGCAGCAAGATCTCTGTAATGAGAATTTATAAAATAAGTTGAGAGTACAATAAAACTTGTTAATTCAGAGACTTCCATTATTGGCATCCTGTGATTACTTGATTGGGGCTTACCTGGAACTTATCTTCAATGTCCACTTAAAATGAGAAGCGTGGTAATGCACTATTTGAGAGTCTTGACTTCCGTGAATGATACATGAATGGGTGGAAAGAGACCCTCCTGAAAAGGAGAGACCCCCACCACTGCTAGAGTTGTTGCTGCATTTCAGGAGAGAATCTGCGATGAAAAAGGTACCTTGAGGCAGAAGAGCAGGAAGCAGGACGTCCGGGAGGATTTCAGAAGGAATATGTTGGTGTAGACATGTTCGGTGGGAAGCAACACGGGGTGGTTGGAGGGATGTCAGGAGGAACTGAGGATACTGTGTGTGGTAAACTGGAGAGGAATCCAAGTGTGAGTTGTCACTGTTATTAGGGAAATTAATACTCTAAAGAAGATGCAAAGTACAAGAGGAAGAGCACTTATGTAATCAAACTGATCGTGTCCTGTCAAAGAAATAAAGCTTTAGTAATGTACAAAAGTTTTTTTTCTTAAATATCTTCAGATTTCTGTTGTTGTTGTTAAGTGATTGATTTGAATTGAAATTTCCAATTTTGTCCTTAATAGGGCCGGTGGGAAAGTCAGCAGGATGTGTCACAGATCGTGGTTCCCAGAGGAGCAGCTCCAGTCGCCCCAGCCCTCCCTGGTGGTCCCCAAAATAACCATTCTCCTGACCCAGGTAAGTTTCATCTTTACTTGTCAGCCACTGTCATGAAATTTGAACAGCTTTCAGAAACAGTTTAAGTCAGGATGGCCTATCAGGTAACCACCATCCTACCAGGTCATGTCCATCTGGGATTTTCCCTTTGTCTCCACAGGTTAAATTACATTGCGTTTTGAAAGTCAAACTTGGCTTGCATTCCTGTGACAGATGCCCCTTGATCATGACATGTTCTCCTTTATACCTGCTTTTCTTCTTGCTAGCATTTCATGGATTTTTGTGTACATGTCTACAGTGAATATCTGTCAGTACTTCTCTCATAACGATAATGTCTTTGATAGCGTTAGTGTCCTGATCCTGTTGGTCTCATAAAGCGACTTGGGAGATATTTTCTTATTTGTTTTTCTGAAAGTTTTTGTAAGTATGGTGTTACTTCTTCCCTAAATGTTGGACAGGATTCACCAAGGACATTCTCTGGGCTTTTCTCTGTGGGAAGATTTGACATTATGACTTCACTTTCTTTAATACAGGGCTGCTTAATTTTTTGTCATTTCCTTCTGAATCCATTTTCATAAGTTGCATTTTTCAAGGATTTTCCTATTTCATCTAAATTATTAAATTTGTTAATAAATGTTTCAATGTTTCCTTATTGCCCCTTTAATATTTATAAGATCTATGTTTTTTAATTCTCCAACAGATAATTTTTGTTTTCGTTTTTCTTGAATACTTTGAGGTAGGTTTATCAGTGTCCATAGTCTTCTCACAGAACTAAATTTTGGCTTTATTTTCTGTTTCATTGATTTCTGTTATTTCTTCATTTCACAGATTTTGGCATGCTGTGCTTTTATTATCATTATATTCAAAATATTTTCTGATTTCCCTCTGATTTATTTTCTGAGCCATGGATTATTGAGCATGTTCATTTATTTCATATACTTGAAACCAGTAAGACTGGTTTTTCATTTAATACCATAACTAGAGAATAAACTCTTTAACATTTCAGCCATTTGAGATTTTTGAGACTGTTCTGTCTTACGACCATTCTATTTATACTTGAAAAGCACGTCTCTTCTGTTTCAGGCACCGTGTTCTGGATAGTGATTAGGTCAGAGTGGTTGATAATCTCAATCTCCATCCTTACTGATTTTTTTTCTATTTGTTCTATCAATCACTAAGCAGAGGCATTGAATCTCCAAATATGGTTGTGAAAATTATCTGTTTTGAATCACAGAAATGGAGATCACATGGAGGGTTATCATTGGGGAGGGGAAGGGGGAGAGGGGAGAATGGGGCAAAGGCACAGGGAATAAGCATAGACGGTAGGTGCAAAACAGACAGGGAGAAGTTAAGAACAGTATAGGAAATGGAGAAGCCAAAAAATGTACACGCATGACCCACTGACATGTACTAAGGGGGTGGATACCAGCTAGAGGGGGCAGAGGGGGAAAAAGTGGGACGACGGTAATAAAATATACTTAAAAAAAGAAAATTGTCTGTTTTTCCCTTTAATTATATCAGGTTTTGCATCATTCAGTCACAAACACTGTTATTAGGTATATACTCATTAGGATTGTTATTTTTTTCCCTGAAGAAGCAACATTTCTCATTATGAAATGTCCCTGTAGATCTCTGGCAATAAATACTTTGAAATATGTCTTGCTTGATATTAATACAGCCATATTGACTTTCCCTTGCTTATTGTTTGCATGGGTGTATCTTTTTCTCAGTTTTTAAAATTTTAGCCCATATTTGTCTTTAAGTTAAAAATGATTGTTTATAGAGAGTGTATAGTTAGGACTAGCTATTATTTTAAATACTCTGACAATTTCTGTCTTTTAATTATTTTACATGTTTAGTTATTTTACATCTAACATTATTGTTATATCTGTCATGTTGCTGTTGGTTTCTGTTTAGCCTGTTTTTTCCAGTGTGACTTCCTTTTGCCTTCTTTTTGATTGAAAAATGTTTTAGACGATCATGTACTCTAACCACTAAGGTGTATACCCGAAACTAATACAAAATAATATTGAATGTAAACTGTAATTGAAAAATAAAAAAGAAAGAAACCAGTTGGGGAAGGATGGAGCTTTATACAGGCCCTCATAGCTATAAATGAGATAGTTATTCCTAGGAAAAGAAAAGAAAAATATTTTTTAGTGTTTGATTTTTATTCCCTCTTTTGGCTTTTGGGTAGTCCTGTATTTGTTTGTTCACTTATACGGATACAGTGTTTTATCCTTTATAAGTTGAATTAGATTTTCTTAAAAACTTAGTTTTATCCACTAAGGGGAAAGAAATCTCATGTCACAGGCAATTATCTGCACATTTGATCCCCGCCTTTGAGCAGTTAAGAGCAGGTAAGAAGGCGGTTGGTTCAGGACCTCCGTTCTTCCCTTGTAAAAGCAACTGAAACACTACTGTCTTCCTCAGAGGTCAGTTTCATCATTTTCACACAGGAAATAGCACGAAACTCTAAAGTTGAATAAGACGTAGTCCCTGACTTTGAAGAGTTTAAAGTCTAGGTAGTGAAGTGGTGCACGTGTGTGTCATCAGTGAAGTGAGTTAACAATGAAAAAGCCCGTTTTATTCCAGGGCAGAAGTTAGTGCTTGAACTAGTTAGTGACAAGGACTGGGGTTGGATTACCCTCTGCACACTAACAGGGACCCTGGAGACTAGAAGATTTTAGAAGTTACCCCAATTACTTCTCCTCGGTTAGAAAAGGGAACTCCAGCATGTCTGAGGGTAACTATAATAATACTGGGTTTTTAATATTAATTTGTAGAAGATAACCTATTTTGGTTTATGTTGTTAGACTTGCTTACAAATGATATATGTCAAGTTTACAATAAAGAAAATGTCTATGTAATTGTTTTTGCCTTATCTCTTTTCCTTCCCATGTTTTTACAGGACTCAGTAGCCTAGCAGCCTCCTACTTGAATCCAGTAAAATCCTTTGTGCCTCAGATGCCAAAGCTACTGAAGTCTCTCTTCCCCGTTCGAGATGAGAAAAGGGGCAAACAGCCATCTCCCCGTGCACATCAGGTAAAGCTCCGCGAAAGCAGCAGTGACCCTCCTCTGTGATGGATTGCAGGCAGACAGGTGGGATTGCCGGCAGACGGGCGCTCTGGTTGCGCTGGAGCTGGAGGGAGAGTGATGGCAGCAGTGAGGGCCATTGGAACTGGGCTTTTAGACCTGGGAAAAGCTTGTGGTAATTTCTCTTCCACTCTCTTCAGAGATAACAGAGCTGTTTAAACTTACTGACACTTGCAATCCTTTTTGCTTTTAAAAAATGCCAAGTACACTACTAATGTGATTTATGGTAATATCACTTAGAGCAACAATAGTAAAATTTATGAAGTGCACTTAGCGTTGCCTGTGTATTGCCAAACAGAAAATGTAATTCTATTTTTAATTCTTGATTTCATTTCATATTTCAAACAATTTTGTATGATTACTGTCCTTGCCACTCAACCTCTCTTTCCCCATTTACCTGTTCTTTCACTTAAAATATTAAAAGTGATCATTTGTCTTATTTCCCCTTTTTCTGTAAAACCCAACGCAGCCTTGGGATAAGTTTTAGAGAAAATGTTAAAGGGCTTTCCAGACAATCAGGAAACTATTCTTCGGAGATGGTGAATAGGAAGCCTATTGGAAATGCAATATCCAGACTTAACATAGGTGTGAATTCAGCAGCAAATGATGAATGAGGATTTATTTATACTCATTCAAAAACACATACAGTGCAAGTTCAGCTGTTGAAATAGGTCTTTTGACATCAGCTCCTCCACAGTCACTTAAACATTCAAGTGACAGAAATGCAGCTGAGTCCTTGTCTGAGACCTTAACTATTGAAAAGAATTTTCTGAGTTTATGAATGCAGATGCAGGGGCGATGGTGTTAGTTTTGTAAGGCCGCTGTGTGGATGTATAATTTTTCAGTATAGTGTTATATAAGCATACACATATGTATCCATGCACACATACTGGATGAATAAATTAAACATTGAGGTTTTGGAAATGTTTACATTTAGGCATACAGCAGGTACTTGACACATACCACAGTGAATCTGAGCTAAAAGGAATCACAAGTCTGATACTTAGTGGGGTTGGGGTAGGCAAAAATGGTCTTTCCAGGCATTTGTTATCACAGACTCTTCTCTTCTAAACTCCCACATCATTATTTTGCAAAGTATGATTAATGGACTGTCAGAATTTCCATAGTAACTTGTTTTTAAAGATTTTATTTACTTTTAGAGAGAGAGGAAGGGAGGGAGAAAGAAAGGGAGAGAAACATGGATCTCTCATACCCCCAGCCAGGAGACATGGCCTGCAACCCAGGCACATGCCCTGACTGAGAGTCAAACCAGCGACCCTTTGGTTCACAGGCCAGCACTCTGTCCACTGAGCCACACCAGCCAGGGCTCCATGGTAACTTTTTTAAAAAAGGTGACTAAAAAAGTATATATAGCCTGATCTCAACCCATATCTCACCTGGGGCACCTTATAATCTGCCTTTATAAGCAGCCAAGGTGATTCATATTCACTTTAAAGTTTGATAACTACCATTTTTGTATTGCTATTTGGTGAAGACAGAGTTAATATATATTAAAGGAAATTGGAATGGCATTAGAAGTCATTGAATTAGTCTACTATAGTTATAATTATTTTTTCAACTACTTTGAGGTTTTTTTTTCACTCTTGAGTTTTTGGTGTAACAAGTCAGATCACCTGCTACAATAAGTAATTATTTTTACCTTTTGACAATAGGTGATTGTTTCTTTTGATAAAACAATAATGTACTAGAAACACTTTGAGAACAATCTAGTGATTGGAGGATAACTGTAATTTGTAATGTCCAATTTAAGAGAGTTAGTCTTGCACTATTTTAGAATATCTTAGAGCAGCATTTACTCATTCAGCTTATTGTTTGAGCACATATGAGCAAAGCTGTTGGGGAAGTGGTCCTAAGTGTTTTATATTGTATAAGTAAATGAAAAGATAAATACAAAACTGGACTTAATGAAGATGCCCGGTAGTAGAGCTAAAATGTTCCAACTGGTTTGTGAACCACCCACTCCAATGAAGGAACTTTTGTTAAGGTCACCAGGGAGCTACATCTCTGCAGTCTGTGTCCCCACCTGGTGTGACCTTGCAGCAAGGTCAACATTCTCGAGACATTTGCATCCCAAGGTTTTATTCAGCACCACATGTGCCAGCTCTCCTGCTGACTGCTTAATCCTTTCTTTTTTTTTTTTTTTTTTCAGTTTTACTTAAGTATTTAATTAAGGTCATACTGTGCATTCTGTTAAGTTTTGTTGCAGTCTTTAAACTTTCTGATCGCCTTTCCAGGTTCATGTATCCTGGGAGCCGTACTACGTGCGCTGGAGCTCTGTCCTGGGCCCTCTTTTTCTTTTTCTTTCTAAACCTAATTCTTTCCTTGGGTAATGTCATTCAGTTCCATGGCTTTGACTGTTTATACACTGACAATGCTCACGTTTCTTCCTCCAGCCCAGAGTTCGCCCCTGTACTCCGGCTTTGTGGGATCTTCCTGGCCATTCAGCTTCTCTACTTACATGTCAGGCATTCACATTTCACAAGTCCAAGCATTACTATCTGTTTCAGCTCACAAGTCTGCTGACTCCCAACACACAGAATGCTTACCAAAAGACACGGCCATCTCAGTATGTAGTGTGAACATCCCCCTAGCTGTTTACATCTTACAAGTGGTGCATCTGTAAACATTGCATAGGTACGCTGCTTCTTCCAGTCGGTTCTTCCTGACCATGTCCATTTCCCATCGCTCACCCTGCCACTACCCTCTCTGGACTATTGCAGCTGCTACCTCTTGGTCTGCCCTGCCACTCAGTTACAAAGTAGCCAGAGTGACCCTCCAAAGCCTTACAGTTCGTAGCTTGAAACCTTCTACTACTTCTCACTGAAACTGAATAAAATCTAAATTCCTTACTCTGCTTGACAGCAACCTATATGATGTGGTCCCCTGATATTTATTTACTCTTATTCCCTTTATTTGCCTCTTTGTTCACCATACTAAGCCATGTTTTGTTTGTTTGTTTTTAATCCAGCAACATATGAAGCTCCTTTTGGTCTTAAGAGTTTTTTCCTTCCACTTGGACTGTGTTTTCCCAAGAGTGTTTCACTACTAGAGTGGCCAAGAAAGGCTGCTCTGGGGAAGTATCTTTGAGGTTGGAGTGGTCTTGGCAAACCACACTAAACCAACAGCCTCCACCGCCCACAGTGCACTGTTACCCTACTGTGTGTGTTCCTTGAGAGTCCTGTTGTGTCTCTGTGTTCATTATCTCCCCTCTGGAATGTAATCCTTGAGGGAAGGGCGTGTCCACAACAAAACATGTGGGTTAACTGTCTGTGACCTATAAACAGATGGTACTGGATAGTTAGCATGTACCAAGTGTCACACGGTGGTATGGGCTGTGTTTACAGTTGGAGGTGAGAGTGTCACATCTGAGTGGGAATTTGAGAAACAAGACATACTGATGAACTTTCTTCCCTAGACTGATGCACGGTTCCACTAAAAAACCACTCCTAAAACCAGGACACTGTCTTATCATGTTGGGGTTTAGTTGATCAAAGATGTTTATGTTCTTCTCAGTTCATGACTATATCTGCTAAAGCTCTAAGAGTAATAAATTCTAATTTTAAATGGCAATATGAATATAGAGGTTCCATTACTGGAGCCACTATAAATATGCTTTAAGTTCTTATACCCGTATTTTTTTATGCTTGGAAATGCAACACTTTATGCCAGCTAATTTCACAATAACAGTGAAAAGAACAGTGTGGTATTGGCTACTTTAGTATTGCCCTTTTTTTTACTCTAATGGCACCCCATTCACTTGAAAATTGAATTTGAAACCTAAGTAAGTTGAAAGTAAGTTGAGGTTCTTACTTTTTTTGATAACCCAGCCCTCCCCTCCTTATGGAGCCGCCAAGTCTTCTAGGGAAATTTTTGGCTTATTTCCAATGAGTTTGTGCCTCAGAGTTTCTCTACCACCAGGAGTCAAAGGGAGTGGAGGAGGAGGTTCTGTGATCTCCTAGGCTTACTCCGGACTTTGCAGTTCTAGAGTAATTAGCTCTGTCTCCTAATAGTGCTTTATCACTCTTCAGTAGTCTTGTCAGGGCCTTGCTTAAAGCAGAAGAGACCAGAAGTGATATAGTAGCTACTATGCTGGAAAATAGTGCAGCTGTTATCTTCCTCTTCTCAGTAATGTACTTCTACCAAAGTAGCATATGATTACACATGCTCTCTTTTTTTTAAAGGCAAGCATTATTATTGAGCCCTGGCCAGGTAGTTAGTTCAGTTAGTAGCTAAAACGTGTAGGTTTTAGAGTACCATCAAGACAGAACCCAAGAAAATAGAAATCAGTATATATACCTAAAAATAGAAATTAGAATCTGGATCAGTTTTATAGTATAGGAAGGGGTAAATACTGATATTAATATTGCATGACATAATAAATAAGATAATAAGTAACATTGTTTAAGATTTATAATGTGAAACAATGCACACAAACCCCTCGAAGCCCCGAAGTGGTTTGAGCATCAACAGACACATTATGTGGTACCCAGGTAGACTGCATTTGACAGCACATTCTTCTTTCTACCCTGCCTGCAACTTTCTCTTTTCATCAAGTTTCAAACCATTTCTCCATTTCCCACCTAAGTATGGTGAAAGCCATTAAAACTTCTTCCTTTTCCTGTTTCTGTCTGAGTTTAGTTTGGAGACTTTTAAAACTCCTCTGAAACAGTAACAGTACTGAAAAACACCAGCCCACCTACATAAACACTACCTGTGGGTGCTCTCTGGCATAATTGACCACGCTTAGATTACTGCGCTTGGTTCTGGATATGTTACTAGTAGAAATACATTGACCAATTGGAGTGATTTCAGAGAATAACGTCAGAAATGATTTATGAGGGAAGATTAAAGGAGTTATTTATAGTGGGACCAAACAGTGACTGAGAGAGCTGACTGTAGGCATTCACAGCAGAGCAGCACCAAAGGCG